AACAGGAGTCGGCCCCGCGAGTGCGAAGCTCGAAGCGCAAGCGCGGCCTCGGCGCCTATTCGGCATCGGAGCGTTCGAAGCGGCGGGCCAGCACCCAGGAAGTGGTGGCCAACCACAACGACAGGGCTCAGGGCGAGGTCAAGCAGCACAAGTCGGCCGGCCCCCTCTCTGCTGCCCATGCCGCCATGCAGGCCGTGCCGGACCCCCAGATTGGCCTGCGGAGCCTGCGCCAGCTGCATCTGTTCAAGTCTCTCTACCGCCGTCACTACATGATCCGCAACAGCTGGACCAACCCTGCGACGAAGCCCAGCCACGTAGCGTTTGCTGCCCATCCCCGGCACGTTATCACCTGCCTCCAGTTCGACGACGACAAGATCATCACGGGCAGCGACGATACCCTCATCCACATCTACGACACCAAGACGGGCAAGCTCCGCAAGAAGCTCGAGGGCCACGAGGGCGGCGTCTGGGCGCTCCAGTACGAAGGTAACATTTTGGTTTCGGGCTCGACGGACAGGTCGGTGCGGGTTTGGGATATTGAACGTGGACTTTGCCAGCAGGTTTTCTATGGACATACCAGCACAGTTCGCTGCTTGCAGATCCTCATGCCGACAGAGACTGGCGTTTCGTCGGATGGTACCCCCATTATGCAGCCGGAGAAGCCGCTGATCATCACGGGTTCCAGAGACAGCCAGCTGCGCGTCTGGCGTCTCCCCGAGGTTGGATCGCGGCGCTATATCCAGACGGGGCCCCCCGCCCAGGAGTCCGACTGCCCGTACTTCATCCGCGTCCTGACCGGGCATACGCACTCGGTCCGTGCCATCTCGGCCCACGGCGACATCTTGGTCAGCGGATCTTACGATAGCACCGTCCGCGTCTGGCGGATCAGCACGGGCGACTCCTTGCACGTGCTCCACGGCCACACGCAGAAGGTGTACTCGGTGGTGCTCGATCACGAGCGCAACCGCTGCATCTCGGGCTCCATGGACTCGCTGGTCAAGATCTGGGACCTTGCTACGGGCGCCTGTCTCTACACGCTGGAGGGCCACAGCCTCCTCGTGGGCCTGCTGGACCTTCGCGATGACCGCCTCGTCTCGGCCGCCGCCGACTCGACGCTCCGGATTTGGGACCCGCAGACGGGCAAGTGTAAGAACACCCTGATGGCGCACACGGGAGCCATCACTTGCTTCCAGCACGATGGCCGGAAGGTGATTAGCGGCAGCGAGAAGACGGTCAAGATGTGGGACGTCAGGACGGGAGAGTGCGTGCAGGATCTCCTGACGGACCTTTCCGGGGTGTGGCAAGTCAAGTTTGATGGAAGGCGATGCGTTGCCGCTGTGCAGAGAGATAACTTGACTTATGTGGAGGTGGGTTTCCCGGAGCTTTCCTCTCCTATTCACTCCTCTTCCAAGATGTATATGACTAACTTTGACGCAGATTCTTGATTTCGGCGCCGTTCGTGATGGACACCCCCCCGAGGAACTTGGACGCCGCATCCTCCTGAATGAACCAGAAGTTCGTGCCATGATCGAAGAGGAAGTTTGAAGCCTTGGAAAAGCGCGAGTACGTCTTGGTATCCATTTTTTTTCTTGCTTTACAAAAAGAACAACAAAAAGCACTGCGGACTACGAAAACGAAGGGAGCAGAGAATGCATATATAATAAGCATCTGGTATGGATATGGAAACCCGCATCTGAAGGGCGATACGACTCTGCCCTCGGCGTTTTGTTGTTATAGTACATGCGCTGTCTGAGAAACCAGTGTCGGCATTACGGAACACAGAGGAGGGGTGTGAGGCAAGGCGTTTGGGCTTTATATCTGTTTGTTGCGCTTTCATTGTTTTTCTCTTCTCCTCCCTTTATGCGGCTTGTGTTCTTCTTTTCTTCTGTTCCGGTTTCTCTAGCGATTGGAGAAGGCGATGGCAACAGGGGATAACATGGCATGGCACGTGTTTCTACTTGAACGGATTTGTTTTCACTCAGGGTCAGCGGAGGGGTTGCCGTGTGGAAAAGGCTGATTGAAAGGGGGCCATGCTGAAGGAAGTGGGAGGATCGTGGCATTGCGGACGATGTGATGAAGGACGGGATAGAGATGTGCGTGGTGCCTGGGGCGTGTTTATGTTGACTTTGTATAAAGACGATAGTGCTGTTATACAAATGGTTATGAGATATCGCTACGTATGCGTCGCTTGTGCCATGTCTGGAGGATGAGCGTGTGATCATCTGCTGCTGTCTTACGGAGCACCTCGTACGAAGTATTACATGAGCATCAGACCGTCGTACAATATGCGTGTGCTTTGTACGAGGAGAAGAAGAGGCATGGAGTGCGAGGAGGACGGATGAGGGACGAGGGATGGTGACTAAGCAAAGGAGTAACCGCTTGCCTCTTCCACGGCATTTCCCTTTTCGATGGTTCCATTCAGCATCTTTGAAACACGGCCCTGTCGGATTTAGGAAACCTCGCGTCGACTCCTCTGGTCTGCAGGCTCTTGGGATGATGCAATCTATTTGTGTTCTTTACAGGGATTGGAGGAACACATCAAAGGTGGTACAAAGGACATGTACCGTTGGAATGGCCTGCAGATGGACGGTTAAAAGGTAAGGGCAGGGGGGCAGTGGTGAGTGAGCGAGTGACGGAAGTGGGAGAAGAGAGAGAGGGGTTAGGGAGAGGAACAAAAAGCGGGCGCTAGACGCTGTGGGTTTTTGAACGAATGGAAGAATAAAAAGAATTGGATGGTGGAAACGGCTTGAGCCATGCATGGAGGCTGTTAACACGCTGGCAGCGAGGACCCATTTATTCGGGTTGGTGATAGGACGGGAGGGCTACCACTTGTCATGGCTAGTTGGTGAGGAGTTTTGAGGCCAGTCGAATGACGACCCCTGGCGATTTTTTGGGCTGCGGCTGGCTGGGCTAACGGGTGATTTTTGGGTGAGGCTTATGTGCTGTCCGGCTGGGGTTGATGGCTGGATGGCTGGGACGCTCATACGTGTTGTGACTTGTTGTTGTTATCAATGGATGAACATGTCATGTTGTATGGACTTTCTGATGAGGAAAGGACAGGACAGATAGACAGACAGAGGGGGGAGGAGAGACTCCGGGAGAGCAATTGGCTGCAGCAAGCAAAAGGCAAGGGGGTTGGTGGTTCGGCTTGGTTGGACTCCTCCCCCCCGTCGTCATGCAAAGGCGCCTGATTGCGGGAGCAAATCGGGGGACGAGGGGCGGAGCAGCCGGGCGGCAGACGGAGTGCTGCTCTGAGCGGGCGAGACGAACAGCACAAGGACAAGGAACGGGACAAGGGACAGGCTCATGCGGGATGCACGTACGAAGTACTACTTCAACGAGGGGCGTTGGTTTTTGGGGGAGAAGGGAGGCCTGTGCTTGTTGCGATTTTGCGGAGGGGAGGCAAGGGATGGATCTTGCGGAGCGTTTACGGAGCACTATGGGCGCGTGCGTATGTACGAGGGAGGATATACATAGTATACTAGTAGAGTTTGAAGACAGAGAGAGTGAGATAGAGAGAGCGGTTGAGGCGTTGGAACGGCATGGGATTCGTTGGAGGGGGAGGTGAGGCAAGGTGAGATTCTGTTTGCTTGTTGATGCCCGTCTTTTTCTTTCTCCGTCTTCTTCCCCTTGTGCTCTTCCTTTGTTGCGGCCCCTGGTCCGGTTGAGCGAGTCCGCGGGGTGTGAGTCAACCACCAGTCAGATCACACCAGCGGTTCCTCGGGTCTCCTGTTTCTGGGTGCTGGGTGCTGTCTGGTATCAAAATCCATCCTTGACTGCATTGCCGTGTCATCATTCACTGCGAGAGGGATGCGTGGGAACCGCAGTCTGCTTGTGCGTGTACATGTAATATATTGCAAGATATGTACGGAGTTAGGTATGTACATGTATGTATGTATGTATGTACAGTAGAGCGATAATGACGACGATGGAGAGGCGCAATCGGAAGCGAGAGGCGCTGCTGTCTGGTCCGTCCCATGTCGGCGGTTTGTTGTTTGCCTGCCATAGGCTGGTTGTTTTCCCCCAAAAGCGCGGGTGACATGACAGGGACGGGCGGCATGCGTTCGTTATTGGTGACTTGGATGCTTTCTTCTTTTGCTGGGATGCGGGCTTGGGCATCATTTTTGGAATGGGATGAATGACTTGTTCGAGTTGTTGTTGACGGTTACGGTGCTCTGGGGCTTTCTTTTAACGGTTGGATGCCCCCGATTCATTGGGACTTTTTGATTGAATTAGTATATATATGCTCTTGCATATCTTCTTTTGCGGTGTCTCTGGATTTTGATTCTTGGCTTTATTTGGTCTTACGTTCGGACTTGCATGGACAACGGCAACGAGCTACTACTACTACCAACAACACTGACTATCAAACCACGGGATATCATAACGGAAAGACAACAGCCGCGTCAACATCAAATGCAATAAGAAAACGACAAGAAGGAAGAAAAGACAAGTGAATATTAAACAACAAGACCATCAACGGGATCCCTCTCCCTCACCCAAGATCATCAGCCCTCACGGCCCTTCTCCTGAGCTGCGCGCCTTCGAACTAGACCGGCGGGTCCTTCAGGGATCCCAGCAGGGACGAGAAAAAAAAAAAAAAAAGGCCAGCCGGGAGATCCTCACCGACATATTCACTCAGCGAGGAGAGAGAGAGAGAAGCATTGATAGCCGTACTAAGGATAGTGGGGGGTTGGGTCAGTTGTCGTGACGTTCCCGACTTGTGGAATTATCGTCCCTGGCTTTATAGCAGAGCTTGGCCCTGCCCGCTGCTTCTTTTGTTCTTCTTTTGTTCTTCCTTATTTTCTGCTCAGATGACATTGAAAGCGACTGGGATCTTGGATATACCGCTTTGAGGACCTGGAGATACTACCTTTTTACTTGTTGAGGATACGAAGTGTTTGTTGAGATACATACGCAATTGGCGGACTGAAACAACGGGGACGAAGTCGATATCACGACAACATCAACAACATTCACCACAGACGGACACGGACACGTAGCAAGAATGAGCGGTTCTGGGGCGCCCGGCGGGTTGCCGCTGGATGCGACCATCACCATTGTCAACAACTCGGGCAAGATCATCAGCACCGTATGTTGGACCTCTTTCCCCCCCTCTTCTTCCCCCCCCTTTCTCTCTCCCTCACATACACTCTCCGCATCTCCATATCACCCCCCCCTTCACTATGCATCCCCCGTCTCCCCTGCTTCCGTAGCATCCCGACGTCTCACCGCATGCTAACCCGCCAAATGTGCCACAGGGAAAGCAGCTCCTGTCCATATGGAAGACGGCCCAGGCCTCGTACCGCGAGAAGAAGACGGAGCTCAACCAGGAGCGGGCCCAGGAGCGCGCCGCCGCCGCCGACAAGAGGCCGCCGCCCGTGCCCGTCAAGCGCGCCCAGACGTTCGACACGAGCCGGACCATCCCCCGCCGCCAGTACGACGAGCTCAGCGTCGCCAGCTCGCACCGCACCTTCAAAAGCTCCATCGCCAAGAAGCAGCTGCCGCCCGTGCCCAACCAGCTCGCGCTGACCGAGGGCAACCTGGAGAAGCTGTCCGAGGTGTCGAGCGTGGCGCCGTCGAAGCCGCCCTCGGCGTACAAGGGCTCGTATGCCGCGGACGCCGTGGTGCCGCGGGCGCTGGCCCGCACGCGCTCGGACCTGGAGATTGAGGCCAACAAGAGGATGAGCATGGGGAGCGACCTGCATCTTGCGTACGGCGACATCCCGCCGGACCTGGCGGACCGGGTGGACCTGGACCAGCACACCTCGCATCACTATCATGAGCCGGAAGGGCTGGACTTCCCAGAGGGCCATGTCGAGGACGAGAGGGAGCAGGCGGAGCAGCTGATCCACAAGATTGAGAATCTGCTGGACGAGGCGCACTGCGCGCAGCATTCGGCGACGGCCATCATCACGCACCTCCAGGAGCGGCCCGACGCGGCCGCCGCGGTGGCGCTGACCCTGGCGGAGCTGTCGGGCATCATCACGAAGCTGTCGCCCGGGTTCGCGGCCATCCTCAAGGGCACGTCGCCGGCCATCTTCGCGCTGCTGGCGTCGTCGCAGTTTTTGATCGGGACGGGCATCGCCGTGGGCGTCACGGTCGTCATGTTTGGCGGGTGGAAGATTGTGCAGCGGACGTTTGCCAAGAAGGCCGTCGCGTACGAGGGCGCAGCAGCTGCGCCGGCGGCGGCGGTGCCGCGGCTGGAGGAGCCCGTGGACGAGGCGATTGTGCTGGAGACGGTCGAGGTGGACATTAGCGGCATCGACACCTGGCGGAGGGGCATCGTGGACTGGGGGTACGAGAGCGCGGACCAGGAGCTCATGACGCCCGAGGCGGACCGGGTGGTGCGGGAGCGGAGGGCCAGCAAGGGCGGGCCGGAGGACTATTTCGATTCCAAGTCGCGGAGGAGCTCCAAGCCGCATCGGTCGAGCAGCAAGGCGCACTCTTCGTCGCATTCGTCGTCGTCTCACAAGTCGCACAAGTCGAGGCATGAGAGGGAGTCTTCTTCGTCTGATAAGAAGAGCAGCAGCAGCAGCAGTAGCAGCAGCAGTGGAAGCAAGAAGGATAAGGATGACTCGAGCAGCGTCAACTCGATGAGTCTGATCAAGAAGTCGATTGCCAGCAGGAAGAAGGCGCTTGACGAGAGCGGCGTCAAGAGCGAGGAGTTGCCGCTGCGGGCCAAGATGAGGCAGACGAATATGCTCAAGGCTTTGTTCAAGAGCAAGGAGCACAGGCAGACGCTGATCACTTAGGGGGGGAGGATGATATGTTCCATGCTGGATTACATGGGCTGGGAGACGGATGATGATGGGATGGAAATGACAACAAGCAAGCAAGCGATGAATTACAGTTTGGATAAAAGATGGTATTTTATATGGGTATATTAAGACTAGGAAATTGCGAAATTGCAGAATTGGGTATATATATGGATTACAGATACATTTCGTTATGGGCAATATATAGGCTTTGGATGGCTTCATCTTCGTTTCTCTCTTGATATGATGTTCTCCTTGATAGTTATCAGAAACAAAGGCTGGTGAAGATCGACGGTAGGTATCTATATGCTCTATACAGAAAACCCAGACATATGCCACCTTGGAGTCGTAGCGACGAGCTTGACTCCTACCATCTCATCTAAATCCCCCATACTCAAGCATCACAGCTCCAATCTCATATCCACCTCCTCATCCATCGGCTTCACAACGACAACCTCGGCCCTCTCCATCTCCCCTCCCCTATACGAATACGTAAACTCCCACCCGCTCCCCGCGCCCGCATGCTCCCCCTTCAAGTCCACAACCACGATGCCCGTCCTCGCGCCCGGAAACCGCTTAACGATCCTCCGCACCGCGTCCCGCGCGGCCTCGAGCGGCGTCATCCCGCGGCGGAGCGACTCGACGGCCTGGTAGCACGGCAGGAGCCGCATCATGAGGTCGCCGTCGCCCGTGGCCGCGCAGGCGCCGGCGTCGGAGTCGGCGTAGGAGCCGGAGCCCGGGATGGGGCCGTCGCCGACGCGGCCGGGGATCTTGTGCGAGGCGCCGTTTGTGGTTGTGCAGGCGGCGAGGTGGCCGGCGGGGGAGAGGGCGATGAGGGAGAGGGTGTCGTGGGAGGGGTCGTTGATTGCGTTGGAGGGTTTTGGTGTGAGGTTAAGCTTACTGGAGATGATGTTGGCGTTGGTGATGAGATTGGGGGAGTAAGGGCCGCAGGAAGAAAGGGGGTTGGGAAGAACGTTGGACCGATAGTTTGGCTGGCAGTTGCTGGACCGCCATTCATGGCACACTCGTAGTGAGTCTTCTGTTGATAGTGACTCCTCCGTGAAGCCATTCTCCAGGGCAAACTGTGTTGCCTGTTCACCCGCGAGCAGCGTGTGTCTCGTATAGTCGAGCACATGCCTCGCCACCCCGACGGCATCCTTTACTCGCCGCAGGTTGGCCACTGCGCCGGCGTTGAGCGTCTGGCCGTCAATGATGAGAGCGTCGAGCGTCGTTTCGCAGGATTCATCGGGGGAGCCGCCGAAGCCGACGGTAGTGTCGCATTGGTTGACCTGACATGCCTGGCAGCCTGCTTGGGCGGCGTCGAGGGCTAGGGAGGGGGATTGGGGACTGGATGTGAGGGCGAGGAAGGCGGCGTCTGTGGCGGCGGTGAAGGGGCCGGACCAGGTGTTGATAATGAGGGGCGGTGGAGTGAGGATCGCGCGTGTCGGGGGGAGGATGAGGGTGAAGGTGAGGGCGGTTGTGATGGTGGAGAGGGATATATGAGGGGGCATGGTTGATGTAAGTTGATTGTAGGTACAATATGTATGATATAGGCCACGTATCTGAAGGAAATGAGTAGATACAAAATCCGCACATAAAACAGCAATAGTATGTCTCTACAGATGTAACGCTGCCATTCTATACCAAGAGCCTCATCAACGCTCACTTCTCATACCAACGACCTGAAGCCATCTCGGTGCTCATTTGGCTTCCTCCCCACTCAGCCAATAATCCACCGCTCTTGCATAACATGCATCAATCGAAGCCTCAACTTCGGAGCTAATGCCCTTATACCATGTAATTTCAGGCCAGAAGCGGGGATTTCCGTACCTCCTCAAGTCCGGCCTCTCTCCAGCCTTTATTCCTCCTTCTCCTCTCATCTCCGTAGGCATCACTGAGGCAAGAAACCACAGACTTCTCTTGATCACAACCCGTAGACTCCAGCTGTTGGACTTTAGTAGATAGAACAATTCCATACAACACTTGCGACCATTACATGTTATAAAATGGCAGCAGTGTCCTCTTCTCCCATCAGTGACCCTGCGTCTGCGTCTGCATCTGCATCTGCAGTTCGCGGCTTCTTGCAGTGTGCTGTTGCGCTCTACCAAGATGTATTCGCCCTGCATAACGATGCGGATGGCGATGGTGATGGTGATGGTGACGAGCCCACGAAAGGCGGCCCTTCCACCGCAGGTCAACGCCTGGCTGCGCATGCTGGTCCGCTTGGCGGCTCTCTGAAGGCGCTCAAGGCTGTTCAACCCGCTGTCGACGGCGTTGATGTGCATCCGCTCAGCACTCTACCAGGAGCCTGTGCCAAAGTTGCACAAGATCTGATGCTGCATCTCGATGGGATCGCCAGTGAAATGCAACCCAAGGCGGCCGTTGATGGGACCAATCTGCGTGACTTGTGGTCCATTCGCGATGTTGCTGCCCTTGGGACGCGACTTCAGGAGTTGAGCCAGCGGTTCCATGATGTTGACAATGCATTCGAGTGAGTTGCTATACACATGTGTTAGATGCTCAAGCTTTCCTGCTGATACGCTGCCTTGTTTAGAGTCCGCCGGCTTCCTCTCCCCGACCTCACTCCGTTGGAACAGAAGAAGGACGCGTCCGAAGACAGAGATGCACCGCCAAAGGAAGAAGACGAAAAAGAAAAGGGAAAGCAGAAGATGAGGCGCATTCAAATCGTGCCCGGCGACAACCAGTTCATTGAGATTCCTGTCAAGCATCGACCGACGCCAGACTCCATCGTCCACGACTACATCCTCGACACTCTTTCTTACAAGAGCATGCATTTCAGAGAGCAAGAGGTCACAAAAGCCCATAGCAAGACTTTTGAGTGGGTGTTTCAACCTTCAACTTCCACCGAAGCTGGAAAGGAAGAAAGATCAGAGCACCCCTTTTCGACGTGGCTCCAAGGTAATGCTCTTGGCCCCATCTACTGGATCACTGGCAAGCCAGGATCGGGCAAGTCAACGCTCATCCGGTTTCTCTTCGACCACGAAGCCGCAAAGGAACGCCTCAACTCCTGGGCCGGTGACAAGCCTGTGCTGACGGCGGGATTCTTCTTCTGGACCAGCGGATCCCGAGAGCAGCGTTCGCAGGCGGGATTGCTGCGGTCCTTGCTCCATCAAATACTCTCAGAGCATCCAGAATTTGCTCCAGCGGCGTTCCCTGATCTGTGGAAGAAACTCAAGGCATTGACCACGAAAGAACGGGTTGCGTTGCAGTTGGACTGGTCTGTTGCGGACCTTTTGGAGGCGTTCCAGCGCGTCATGGATGCGGTGGTGCCGACAATGAATGTTTGCCTGTTCATTGACGGACTGGACGAGTTTGAAGGCGATCATACGGCCATTATCGATTTCTTCAAGAATCTGAGCTCGGAAGAAAAGGGGCAATCGATCAAGATCTGCCTGTCTTCTAGGCCGTGGGCCGTCTTCCAGGATGCGTTTGAGTATGCCGTCCCGAACTTGAGACTGCAGGATCTCACCTATAACGACATGCATCGCTATATGAGGGACAGACTGCGGCAGAACGTTTACATCCGAAGGCTCCTTAAGCAGGAGGCCGAAGCTGGAGAAGGACTGATCAGGGCCACGGTCGAAAAGGCTGATGGCGTGTTTCTCTGGGTAAGACTCGCTCTCAACGAGATGGTTCGCAAGTTTGACCAGGGCACTGGGCTGGCGGGCTTGTCTGAGACTATGCGAGCTTTGCCGACAGAGCTGAATGACCTATTCAACTTATTCTTCTTCGAGAACCAAGATCATGACGAGCTGGAGGAGGCAGCCATCATCTTTGGCCTCATGAACGCGCGCGAGCTCGTGGCCGACTTTATTCAGAATGATTCCGCCATCGCCCTCACCCTGTGGGAATTTGCGTTTGCTCTCAAGGGTGACGAAGACGATAAAGCTGCGGTATCTGAGGAGGTGAAGCAGGTATCCACCGCCACGGCTTATGAACGCTGCCAAATGGCCGTCTCTCTCATCATGAACCGATTCTCCGGTCTTCTTGGGATACATGCGCGCCCTGCATCCGGAGTCGCTCGTGGCCTTCGATTTGCCGACAAGGGTGAAGAAGACATGAGCGAAGTGATAGATGCGGCTGCACGACGAGTCACTTATATCCATCGCACGGTCCGTGACTGGTTCATGGAAGAGCCTGGAGTCATGGACCGTCTTGTCAGCAAGACACCTGCCGATTTTGATCCTCACTTGCGGCTGCTCCGGTCATATATCCTCCAGATGAAGAACCCCCTCGAGGAGATTGAGCATCATCGGCAGCTGGACGAGTGGTGGCCCGGCATTGCACTCGCCATGACGCATGCGAGATACGTGCAGAAAGACCCCCAGAATCTGCAGCGGGAAATGGTCAACGAGGTGGACAAGACGATTTCCTGGTACTGGCTGCGCAAGACTGATGATCCGTACGACCACTGGGCGAGATATGGACTGGGGCCGTATCGAATCTTTACGATTGCTGCGCCGTTGTGGCAGCCCTTTTTGTGTCTGGCCACCAAGTTCGGGCTCGCTCGCTATGTATCAGAGGAAGTCCTCGCTCGCAGCGCCTTGGAAGACAAGCTTTCAAACGAAGCAAAGGAGCTTCAGACGGCCGAATCGACGCCGCTGCTTGCCTATGCCACCGAGTTTCTCTGTTCTCGAAACAAGACCATCTACCCCCTTTCGGACCCTCATCTGGTCGCGCTGCTCCTGAACAACCAGTGCCGCATCAACCCGGGCCCGAATCACCCATACACTGACTTTTGGACTCAGCAGCCGCGGACGCCCTGGATCACGGTGCTCCGACACTTGCGAGACGCGCGGCGGAGAGGCTGGATCGAATACTACGATGTTGATCCGCAGGGCACGGCGCGGTGGGCGGAGATTGTGAAGCTGTTGGTGGAGGTGGGAGGAGCGGATAAGAAGGCGATTGTTGCCAAGGATAGTTGGGACCCTGAGATTACGGCGGTGGGAGTGATGGACTTGTTGGAGGAGACGTACCGGGCTGTTGAGATGAAGGAGTTGGTGGAGATGATGAAGGTTTAGAATAGTCTATGATTAAAGAACTGGCCTGCGGTTGCTGGGAATGCATTGTTCTGTAGCTGGAGCTGTGGCTCTTTGAAGCAGCGTTTGCGGTCTGATGAGGACTGTACTGTTAGTAGCAAGTATCTCTATTCGCCAGCTTGTTTGTTGTCGTTGAAAAGTTTCCAAAGTTGAGATCAACGTTGCTGAAAGACGTGTAGTTGCGTGATGCCATCGTCAGTTTTGATGTAGACTAACCCACGCATGGACAAGGAAAGCTGCGCAAAAAGTTGTCCTTATTGAGGGCGCTAGCATGAAATATCCGGAGTTAGACGACAATTGACTCTAACGATACATCAGATCTCCGGTCCGTTTATACAGTCGAAGGGAGGATAGATCGGATTGGGGGCGATTGCTTGGGTGTACCTCCGTATGTCTGCCTGCGTGGTATAGAAGAGGATATAGGTATATAAAGGTGCTGAATTCCTATAGAGTTCTGATATTGTTTCTCAATCAACCTCATATACAGCTCCAACCTTATACAACAATACTATCACAATGTTCAAGCCATCAGGCCTCATCATTGGAGCATCCGGCGCCCACTCATCTAATGATTGTTGTTGTTTGCAACTCATCGTTAAGGAACTTTATCTTCTGTGTAGGCTTTGGTTAGGCTCGATAGATGTGCTTTCAAAAGAAGCCTGTCGCTCGTATTAGTCTACTCAAATGTGCCTGCTTGAACTAGGCGTTCTCCAAAATGAAACGATCCCTGGCAGCTGAAATCGCGAGCCGAGGCGAGGCGGTGGCGCAAGCATTTGGCGATTCAGCACCGCGCTGCCTCACAATCTGCCTCGCTGGGTTGGTCTTTTTTATAAACGCCATGTAGCCATGGTTTTCTCTGTCGCGTTTTGGGCATACCCTCATACTACTCTTTCGAACCCTATCCAGATTATTGGGACCTATCCTTACCATCACTTACAATTCTATAACAATAACAACGGCTATCAGCTATGGAAGAAACCAAAATCTCGGTCAAGTACGAACCAGAGAAGAAGAGTCGGTCAAACCAATCAGAAGCCGTAGCAGAGTTGTTCAGACATATCGCCAATAAGCAAGTCGATGAAGTCTTGAAAATCATCGTCGTCGGCCTCGCCTTTGCAGATACGCCAAACGACCGAGGCGAAACACCTCTTATAGCAGCCGTCACCACCAACGATGCAGCCATGATACGCACCCTCGTCTCTCTCGGAGCAACAATCAATGGCTATGGCAGCTATTATGACGGCCACCATAAGACGAAAGTCCTGCGAACGCCTCTCCAAGTGGCGGCCTCACAAGGGAAACTTGGCATCGTCAAGATCTTGCGCGATCTCGGCGCCGACGACTCGCTCGTTGCTCCAGACGGGGCGATTGCGCTTCGGTTGGCTGCTGAGAACGGTCATCGAGAGGTTGTTGAGTATCTCCCAGCTCGACGCGGCGGTGCTTGGAAGAGGTGGAAGGCGACACATGAGAAACAAATGAGACTCGTTCGGCTGATTCTGGAGAACATTGGATCTGTTCTCGAGATTCTCTTCTGGAGAATACCAAAGTTTATCTTATGGAAGATTCCGAAGCATGTCGTTACGACTGTCCCAAAGGAGATTTGGGAGCGTCGACACAAGGTTGGGCCTTGGTGCAAGCGGCAGATCTATAAATTTCCCAGCCGCGTCAAGAAAGTCGCTAAGAGTGCTCATGAAGGCGTTAGAAAGGCGGGAAACGTCGTCAAGAAGACACCTGCAAAGATATGGGACATCCTGAAGCGCATACCCGGAGCTTTGCGGATCATCCTATCGTGGGTTGGCCGAGGACTTGGCCATATCGGCAACGCAGCTTTCAATATCGTCAAGCGACTAGCTTCATTAATTCACACGGTGGCTGAGGCTGTCGTAGGCTTCTTTCGGGCTGTTACATTGCATGATATTGTCAACGGCTTTCGCGCCGTCCTTGGAACTCTGTTGATAGATTTTCCCGGGGCGGTTGCTTGGTTCGTGACAACTGTCCGCAAGACGGCCTACGAAGTGCTCGGAGCTGTTTTGGGGACATTGGGAAAGGTAATATTCTATGCTTTTGCTTTGATACTACGTCTTCTCCGCTGGCTGCCTAAACAGATGTGGGAGATGTTGCTGGCGTGTGGGAAATCGGTTGATAAAGGGATGGAGGAGATCCTGGTATGGATCAATCCAAAGAGAATATAATGGAATGAGGGGACAGGAGGCCCTTATAGATCGAGTGGAAGTGCTACGCGGGCTTGCTTTAGCCTGGAGTTGATGCCTTTTACAATACATCGCTGGTCAGTATACTACTATACAAGGGAGGCAAAATTCTTACCAGTCATCAGCAAGGTTGCAATCCCGCCCTGTACGCTAGGCTTACTAACATATGAATAGTAATTGCAATGATAAATAAGATAGCCATTGTCAATATCTGACAAGTCAAATACCCTGATGGTGACAGTGACGAGATTCCACATCCACTCAGACTCGCTCAGTGCCGGCTTTGCACGGCTACGAGCGGGATGCTCGAGCGAGCCAAGTCTGTTCTTCCAGCAATGATGAGCGCACCAGTCAGGCAGGTATTTAACAATTCCAAGATAAGCTGCTTGAACGGATATATCGGTCAGCTGGTGGGCGGGATGCCGTCTCCGATATCGTTTGTGGTGGCAGGTGGTGGAGTAAGGAGGCTGCATGATTGGGGGATGGTGGCCGAGACAGGACGTGAGTTTCTAGAATACATCCTGGTGAACTTCTTCACAAGTTCAGTCTACATGCAAAGCTATGAGGAGTGAATCACATGCGTTCAAAGGGTGTGTTTTGTTCAATCGTATCTCGTGTAGGGAGTTATATGCAAAGTCGTTGGCCAGATACCTGTAATATTCCCGGTCCACGTCCGAAGACGCCCAATCGCGACAGTGCTCCATCCAGATCTCGCTCCTCGTTGGTGTTCCTTGCCCATCGGACTTGTGCCGGGAATGCCTGCCGACGTCTAATTCGCCGGGCTCTTGGGAGGGATGGCGGCCTGTTTCCTATGTTGGACAGAATCATACATTACACGTAAAGTGCATGTATCCTGCGGTGAGCGTTGGGGATATATTAACGTGGACAGTTCTTCTTCCCCTCTTTTGCAAATTTTGCTCCGACCTTTGGAAACACTTGGAGAGCGATGAGAAGGCTGCTAGTTGATCTCTACTTTGACTGTCTTTGCTGCAGGAATCATAGCCCCTTGTCGTAATTGCAAGTCGCTCCAAGTGACACTCGAGACTTCATCACAGGAGATGCAGAAAAGCAGCGGTGTCGGCGACTCGTCATCGGGCTCGTCAACTCCAACAGAGCCGTCGCAATGGCATGAAATCTCCAAGGAAGAAGGTCCAGAGCCCGAGGTGCTCACAAAGCACGATGGAAAAGTAAGCTCCTGGCCCAGAAAAAGCGTACGTCCTTCTCCCATTATTGACATCTGTGTTTCTGCCAGGAAGATGTCAATATCGAAAGAGTAGACACAGTATCAACGCGAACCGGCGTCTTCTCAAAACTCAACTCATTGTCGAGACGCAAAACGAAGCAGGAAGAAGATGCTCCACCTGCACCCATTCCCGTCACAGACCTCGAAAAGGGCATCGTCGGCTGGGAAAGCCAGCAAGACCCCGATATGCCTCTCAACTTCTCCCAGAGCCGCAAGTGGCTCATCACTCTTCTTATGTCGGCCATCACCTTCATGACGCCGTTCGCTTCGTCGATTCTGGCACCCTCGCTGGCGGCCTTGGAGAAAGACTTCGGCGTGTATGACATTACCCTAGGAGCGATGCCCGTCAGCATCTTCCTGCTAGGGTACGCGGTTGGCCCCCTGTTTCTATCGCCACTTTCCGAGATATATGGTCGAAATGTGATTCTCATATCGGCCAACGTTTGGTTCTGTCTCTGGCTTGTCGGTTGTGCGCTCGCTCCTTCACTCAACACTCTGATCTTCTTCCGCTTCATGACCGGTGTTGGAGGCTCTGGGTGCCTAACGATCTGCGGAGGTATAATTGCCGACATATTCCCCATCACCGAGCGTGGAAAGGCCATGACAATCTGGATGCTGGGCCCCATCGTCGGTCCGACCGTTGCCCCTGTCATCGGAGGCTTTGTGACAGAGACAATCGGCTGGCGATGGGTCAACTGGCTGACCTGCATCCCAGCTGCTGTTGTCGTGGTGGCCATGATGTGTCTCAACCGCGAGACAAACCATCGCGTCCTGATTGCCTGGAAGACAGAGAAGCTGCGAAAGGAACTCGGCATGCCCGAGCTTAGAAGCTGCTACGTTGATCCAGATGCTCCCGTCTTGAGCAAGAGACAGGTTCTGCTGCAGGGGCTGGTCCGGCCGATGAAGATGCTGCTGCGGTCACCAAACATCTTTGGACTGTCGTTATACATTGCCTTTGTGTACGGGTGCCTCTATCTCCTCTACAACACAATTGCAACCGTCTTTGAAGGCACCTATGGCTGGACGCTGGGCATCACCGGTCTGGTCTATCTCACGCTGTTGGTCGGGTACGCAATCGGCCTGCTGTCGTTCGCTCTCCTTTCGGACAGCACCGTGATCCGCATGACTGCAGCCAACGGCGGTGTTTACGAGCCCGAGATGCGTCTCCCGGACTGTATCTGGTTTGCCTTGATCCTGCCCACCGCATTTTTCTGGTACGGCTGGAGCGCGGACAAGGGCGTTCACTGGATTGTGCCCATTATCGGCATCGCGCCATTTGGCATAGGGATTGTCGGGGTTCAGCTGCCCATTCAGACGTACATCGTTGACGCGTATCCGGAGTATGCTGCCAGTGGACTTGCTGGATTCTCCGTTATGCGGAACACCATCGCTGCCTTTCTGCCGTTGGCCGGGCCGCAGTTGTACAAGAATCTGGGCGTGGGCTGGGGGAACTCGGTGCTTGGGTTCATTGCGATTGTGCTGATACCGCTCCCGGTCTTGATCTATCGGTATGGGAAATGGCTGAGACTTCGGTTTCCCATTCAGCTGTGATCGGTTTATTCCTATTTGCTTGATGATTTCGGCGCTCTAGGTGTTCTGCCTATGTTCTCATTAATGCAGGGGTCGTAGTCTTGTCAGGATGAACCCTTTGTGAAACAGATAATGGTTGTCTTTGCGGTAATGAGGTAGTTTATAATGATAATGAGATGCTTTATGATATCCTTCTTTTTCAAGGGCTGGGCAGTAATGGGAGAAACAATGAAAGATATCACCATATGAAGCACTTCAAGAACGATTTACCTTCTTAAAGTCAATGTGCCGCTTGATGATGGTTTTCAGAGGTTCCCATGAGCCTCCCAGGTCTTTGGGATCTTGAAATAAGCGCACTTAAGGGAGGATGGCCAGTGTTGTTCCCGGTCTTTCCTAAGACGCGGTCGGTATTAACGATCCTCTCTGTGTATAAAGAGCTCGCATTAACATATTGGCAGCAGAAGAAGACGCTGCCACAGGCTATAACTATGGGCATAGCCGGAAGAGATAAGCTTAAATAACGTCGGAACCCGTCGTAAAGATTTGTTGAGGCTGACGCTCGTACAGGGAATTTCGTGGTGGTGCTAGCTTCGTCTTCGCCTGGGCTCGGAGATTGCATCCTGGCTGCTTCTATCTTTGTGGTTTAAGCATGACATAGCCCTGTTATAGGGCTAAGAAAAGACTTCCAAATTGCGCCTTGGAGCTTTGGAGAGGCAGCCTATGAAAATATTTGGACAGTTGCTCATCTGCCCGTCTACTGTTTGTATAGTAATCCGCGGACATTGGCCGAGTTGGTAGACTGATCCGTGGGCCCTTTCGTCTCCATGATTCCATATTTAGCTCGTGAGGCTTACCGCATGGCTTCTGTCTGGAGTAATTTGTACTACTCACGGGTATGCGCTTTTGACTTGGCGAGCGTCGTGTCTATTGCTACCGTCTTGAACCTCATTCGCTCTCTTGGCTTCTGAACCGCAACTCAGGATGCTCAAGTCCAAATCGCTCAAGAGTAACGCCGCTGGGAAGGCTTTCCGCCGGATAGGATCTACCGTGCTAGGAAACCATTCATTGACCAGTTGCTCAGAAACCGTCAGAAACCACAGACTATAGCAGCAATCCTAGGTGGGCTGCTTACTTTGACAGGGATCAACACTATGCGAAGACGCAAGACACGGATATGCTAGCAAACACCACGGCTAGCCATTGGACAGCCAGCTTGATCTGCTCCATGTCCTGCTCGAGGAAAACGGATACACGGAAAAGCGAGTTGCGTATAAATAGAAGCCGAATGGTCAGAGGACTGGCAACTCGCTCCTCCGCTAGGCTCCAAGTAGAATTGATGCCCCATGCCATGCAGGATTTGGGTTGCGATGCCATGTAGCGGGAGGCAGAGAGAGACAGTTGTGTTGAGGCTCTGCCCTAAACGCTGCCAGAACCGCCTCCATGTGGGCAGCATCGTAATATTCGATTTGTGATTGTACCTGCTTTTGCAACAGGCATGGCATGGCTTTCATTTCTCTGAAGCCCGTGATTAGAAGACAAAATCCGACACCTGCCAGAAACTTCACTTATACATATCCCAGCCATGGCGCGACTCCGGCCGCTCAATAGTCCAGAAGTCAAGTTCGAGAAAGCCCGCAAAATGTCCGTCGACGGAATCCCATGGCAGCCCGGCCTGTGGAAGCGAGCGCCGTGGAGGACCATCGTCTCGCTCGCCGCATGGGCGGTGACGTGTGGGATGATTGCGCTGGTCCTCGCCATGTCCGAGGGCAAAGAGACGAACCAGTGGCCAACGCACAACAAATACTTCACCGTCCCGGTGCTGCTGTCCCTCATGGGCGCCATTGCGGTGCTGTTCCTGTCCGTCGCCAACGCCGAGGGCTTCGCCATCTCGTGGTGGCTCAAGGCGCTCAAGGGGACCAAGATCAAGGAGCTGCATTACGATCTCGAGGTCACCAGCAACATCCTCATCGGATTCTACCGACCGAAGCTGTTCAACTGGGTGGCCGTGTCGTCGCTCATCGCGCTGATAGTGGGCCTCGCCGTCGGTGCCGTTCTCCAGAAGGCCTCGGAGACGGTCAGCAAGACGATCGGGCCGTATTCCGACATCGTGGCCATGCCCGTCCTCAACACGACTCTGCCGTCCAACTTCAGCGGTTGGGCAGGCGCCGGCACCACAACGTCGTTGCTAATGCCGGAGTTTGCCAACGTCTACCGGCAATACTCCAACCGCAGCATCATCACGATGCCATCGGGCTGTGTCAACAAGACCTGCCAGGTCCGCATCCCTGGGCCCGGCTTCGATGTCGCCTGTACAGATAGCGAAGTCGACTATGACTTTACGCAATTGTCAGCCGCCAGAAATAACAAGATCACGACGTTTCGAACGAGTGTTGACTGGAACCCAGCGCAGAACGTGGGCTTCCTCGATCACATGAACATCTCGGTTCTATACAAGCCTACGCCTGCATGCACTGGAAAGATGATCCAGCACAACTGCACTCTGCGGGCTGCTGCTGTCAACTACGACATTACCATCACCAACGGGAGCGTCACGCTGGCCCCTTCTGACCTGTCCACAAACATGACCATCAGCATCACGCGATTCAACGACTCGTCGCAGCTGAGCTCGGGCAGTGCCGGTGCAGGAGGATTCCTGACCATGTTCGGAGGAATTGCTTCCGTTTTGCAGGCGCAGTATAATTCGAACACTACGCTCGCGCTTATGGTCACGACGGTTACCCCCTACCTTGTCTCTGCATTCGGACAGGCGGCGAGCACATTCTCGACCTCGGAAATTGGGGACTACGGCAACTGCACCATGTCATGGTCCGACCCCAGGGAAGACATGATCAACACCGTCCGCGAGATCATGTTCCGCAGCGCCCTTGCGGTTGCGAACCAGACTGGCGCGGCGCACATCCAGTTCAAGCCGACGAGCGCCCTTGTCACGAGGATCGGCATAGTGTATAACGCCCATTGGAAGTTCTTTGCCATCGCCGTTGGATGCATGTTCGTGCAGGTGCTCATCATCTTCTGGCTCATCTGGGGCTGGCAGAAGCTGGGCAGAGAAGTCTCGCTGGATCCATTTGAGATTGCAAAGGCCATGGGAGCGCCACTGCTGACCCATGGGTCGTCGAACAGCTCGGTGGACCAGATCCTAGACCTGCTCGGCGGGAGGCGGGTCAAGTATGGGGAGTTGGTGGACGGAGAACCAAAGATCTCGGGAGAGCAAATATTCCCCAAGAATGGCTACACGGAAGTCAACAGCAGCGATCCTGATGCTGCTGGGCTGGCAGCTCAGGGTACAGATTTGAGTTTGAGATCGAGAAAGACGTTGGCGATTGATGTGGTAGAGAGGGTCCAGGAGGTGAGACCCGGTGTTCCTTATTGAGAAGTTGGCGGAGATATCTACGAAATACCCTCCTTATGTTTGTTTAGTACAATGAAATTATCATCCTGCATTCATTTCTACTTTGTCTACCCTACATTCTAGCGTTCAACCTGGCAATATCTTATGTTGTAGAGAGTCTAGGGATCTAGTGCATGCAATCTGAGCCAGCTACCTATAGGCTTGCCCTTTTTGGAACTTCAAACGTGAACAATGCATTTTCCACCATCTTGCATTATCCTGAGGTTCACATCTCTTTGGAAGGGACACTACAATGGAGTACGCCTGATTGAATGAAATCGCACAAGGCTTACGCTTATCTACCTCATAAATCGGCTGATTCAGCCCTTTCCACGAGCATCGGCCTTATCAACATCGAGTAAGAATATAACACTCTTTCTCAAGTATTGGGTAATATGCATCGTCATGCAACTATAACACTTTAGGCAATCGGCAGCTCTGGTACTACTGAGCTACGCTTTGGATTGACCGCAGTAAGAGGTTCTTTGAGGGAGCGATGAACACGGCAAGCCCTTGCTTGGAACTACATAGCAAGTTTTATGGTTACGGAGACATTTCACAAACTTCCTGAAGCTTCCTTAAAGCTTCAAATGAACCCTAATTGGCAGGCAGCTGTCACGGCATGATTGGCACTGAAATAATCGATGCTTAAGGACTAACAAATACACGCCTAGTTCTGGGAGACTCTGTATAAATCGGATGAAGTTCTGGCCCTAGAAGCTTAATGACAAGCGTAGAATAGCTAAGACCTTAGAAGCATTGTACATCTCGGTGAACTGTATGCTACCAGGAATGACTGTGGTTTCGGCTGCCTGTGGACGCCCCCAAGACACGATAAGTCTCAATACATCGTTGTGACTTCTTCCTTGCGGCCTGAACTGATGAGCAACTTTCAGTTAAAGCAATCTGTATCTCATATTTGGAAAGAGTACCTATGTGGCCAATCTTGGCGATCTATCCACTTTCTGGAGTAGGATGTCCACGCTTTCGAGCTTATACAAAGTTGCCAATCCAGGGTAATTATTGCCTCGGTCAACGTGGGATCAATAGCCCATCTGCGGGATCGACTAGCTCAGAATAACAATTCCTCTTACGGCTGTCCCCAACCAATTCGTTGGTGAATCTGCAAAGCCACTCTGGCCAGATAGGGGAAGTGGCGCACCTTGCCTCAAACTTTATATCAACCGGATCCATGGCCGCCATGAGCTTAACCGGACGATCGGGATCATAGGCTCTCTCCTTATGAGTATGCTCCTCAGCTACCGAGGCTCTTGGCTGAGGAATGTACTTGTATCAAGCAATCTCAGAGAAAATATTTGGGTCGTGACATAAGCACTTTGATGGGGGTCTCCAGAGGTTCGAGCAGATGTATATGCAGTTTATGTACGGACGTGAAGTTAATATAGAGAGTTACCAATTTCTGGACTGCGTCAATGAAGAACAGGAGGACACCTTTGAATGTACTAGATAAGTCAGCCAGCTCCTTAGATGAATACACTGCTACCAATACAGGAAGAGTGCGGAAAGTATATCACAGCCTCAATTTCAACGCACCTATAGAATGAAGGAGCTTTGTATTCAACCCTGTCCGTAGAAACCGTAAACCCTGTTATCTCGGAGACATCTGCCTTAGATGGCGTGTCTTTCGGTACCGTCAAACCTTGCCTAGATCTTGAGACGGTTGGGAGCCAACGAGAATTGTGTAGTAAAGGGTCCAGAGGGAGCGAACCACTCCGGTTCTTACTCGCAAGACATCGGTTAGAGCTGACTTTCCCTGGTCCGTAGCATTGCCCTTACTGTCAGCAGAGTTAGGCTCGGAGACATAGCAAAGTATAAGTCAAATGTCGAGTCCTTTTCGACCGTTCCGTCCTCGATAGGGGCAAAAGGCGTCGTCTGGACTCACTTAGCCAAACTTTGATCATAATTGTATTACACGGGAGGAGGAATCTGCTCTTTTGTTGAGCAAAATGCTGTGTATAAAAGCTGCCTTTCCCCCCTTGTCTGAAGCAACTGATCTTCCTTTCCTCAGTATCTTCCAGCCCATCTACCGACAGTCTTCTATCACTCTTCGATAGATTTTGGGCATCGATAACAATCCTGTTTACGCACATTGCTATCAGAAGACGTAAGTACCAACTTAATTTGTCTCTATTGTAACGACAGCGGAAGATGCTAACAGTAATGCAGGACACTTGGACTGCAACTCCGCACTCCAAGTGTTTCGATTTTTATTTTATATACACACATATTCGGGCTTTACTATCCCGTAAGTACTACCATTCACTCATCTAATTGCCAACATCTCTTGTACTCACTACGTCTTCAGGACTCTACCTCAACATGGGTTCCACAGCGAACACACCCATGCCCTCCGCCTCCTTCTCCCATCTCCCTTGCGAGCTCAGGGAAATGGTCTGGGCGGTCTCTGTGAGGGACACACAGAGAGCCGCCCACTTCTTCACAGTTTCGGCACAACCCAGACTGACTGCCAACGGTCTTGGGTTCGAACTCGCGGCACCCATGCCCCAAGACGATCCAGTATCCGTGGAGGACCGGATCGTGGGCAATCCATCGGCGTACATGCAAGACGCCAGCCTTTGGACAGCCTGCGCGAGTTCCCGAACTTTCATGTCCCGCCAATACCGTCGGCTCTGGCAAGCCATGAACCCCCGTCCACATACCGACCCCTTTGTTACCTGTGGGTTCACCCGCGACGGGGAAGAATGGCGGTTCAAGGTCTTGCCATCACAGGACCTCTTCTGCATACAGCCACTGAACACCGGAGCTTCGTGGCATGTATACTCTCGTTACATGCTCCCGGGGAGAGGTGATCGCGTCAGACTCACCAATGTGGCCCTCAAATTCGATCCCGCCTGGCTCGACTCATCAGTAGTCAAAGACGAGGTGCCACATGCGGCTGATGGCCCTCTCGGGTTCATCATCCGCACTCTCCAGGCGGTGGCAGAGGGCGCGATGGGCGCTGGCTTTCAGTTCTGGCTCATCGACCGTACCATTCGGAAGAGAGAGCAGCCACTGCCGTCCAGCCCGCCACCAGAGGACAGTGACGAGGAAGATGCAAAGAGGTCCGAGCCGGCGGTATTCCATGGTCGCGACAAGCGGTACGTCCACATCCGAGACGAGAGCGAGTGCACGTGGGACGCCTCAAAGCCTACCACGGCGTTCCGCTTCCTCGACTGGCTCCAGATCGAGGTCGGGCTCAACACTCGCTGGATGATGGCACACCGGACGGAAGCACAGCGGACGAAGCCGCCGCTCCCGTATCGCGACCTGGATGAACTGGTCATGGTGCTTGCTGAGGAGGATCTGTGATACCTTTCTTGAACTGTAAGTTATCCTTTGTCTTTCGTCACATGCCTTGATTCTTTTGCTAACTTGTTCCCAGATTTGTCTCATCTTGTTTTCTAGATTGTTGGATTAGCGTCCTTTACCATTTGTTGGAGCTTTTGTTGGAATCTGTATGTTGTTGTTTTGGAAATACTTTTGATGACATAAAACAGTGCAAGGCTGTCGTAAACAATGGCATTTATGAGAATGGAGATACCCTTTCTTGTTAGGTGTTACTGTTGTACACCGCGTTTTGGAATTAGAGCTGGTCGCTTCATAGATACTGTACAGATACCCCTTTGTGTTTCTCCTCGAAGCCTTGGGCTCAATATCAACTTCTTTTCGACATGTCACAACCATTTGTCTCCATCCATCAGTAGATAAGTGACCTCTCTGTCCTTCCTCAAATGATGTTTACTGAACAATTTTTCTTGTCGTGATGAACCCGCTTGCGCGTATCACCTCTAGGCGTCCCAATGGCCTTGGCATCTCTTTATCCGTCGGAATGTCGTTGATGATCTGGAGTCACATTCAACCTTCTGGCATCGGACTTTGCTGACCAATAACATCAGCCTCGCATATGTGATCAAGTCACCCTTTTGTCTAAGCGCCCGGCATACGAAGATCTACAGCCGTGTAAATTAAGTCACCCTTGGCCGCTTTTAACCATTGCCTCTGTTCCCGTTCTTCTTCTCTTCCTCTATGTCTATCTTCATAGAGAGAGCTTTCTCTTCCTTTATCTGGTAAACGGACTCTCATATATATGCGTCTTTACCCTATATATGGTGTTGCTCAATTTTCCTTCTCCAAGGCAAATTGCTTGCATATATCGCTCAATGGTCACTTGCAAGCGGAGACAACCACTTCGCTGTCTCTTGTGAAGATCAAGCAAATAGCGTTCTTTTTCACCCAGACAAGTGCTGAAAGAAGCAACTCGGCGCGGTATACCGTTGTTGGTGGTGATTGTGCGAAGTCGTGGTGGTGTCTACCGTTTCCCCAAACGCTCCAATCGTATATGTAGTGCTACCAATAGCATTACATCGTCAACGGCTCTCGCAGCCTTGGCAAGCAGATCGGTTATCGCCTCACTCGCAGATTGAGTCAATGTAGATATTTGGCTTTATTCGGTAATTTGCAGCGTCGTTGGGGACGAAAACGGATCGAAACCGTCTTGTGGTAGAGGGTCATCGTCAACGTCTCCAATGCGTGTAGATGCCCACCATGGACATACAGACATAGTATAATAGCGGCGTCTCGGACTCCGAAGAGCCTTATGTAAGGGGCATAATTTCATAGTGGCAGTACTCTGATATCTTAGCACTGATCACATCATAATCGGGCCTTGGTGAGACTATCTCATACCGCTAGTCCAGTCGCGCGTCGACCCCTTGTCTACGGCATGTTACTGGGCCACAGCACTCGAATGGGAAACGTGCACGTTCTGTTCTCGCCAGAGAGCACCAGAGGCAGTAAGTAATACCTACTACTACTACTACACATTTAGCTTCCGGCAACTAAGCTGCAGCAAGGGCAGCTAAAAATAGGGTTGATGGCCGTTCCCAGGTGCCGGCGTCTTCTTGGCTTCACGTCTGTCACCCTCGAGCGTCACATCACGACAGTTCACCATTTGTGGAAACTGTGGGAAAGGGCCTGTAATCGGCGGCCGCTTATTGGGCCTGCGGCAGCTTGGTTCACCCGCCGGCGCGGGCAAACTTTCCGCATGATGGAATATCAAATTATATTGACGATGCCTGGCACTGTAGCATTGAAGGCCAAGCATGCAGGGCGAGTCGAGGATAGCCTGGGCTGGATGAGCGATGAGGGGAGGGAACAGGGGTCAGCCATGGTCAGACAGAGAGACGGCAAGGCAGCCTCTTTGTACCAGTATCGTACGGTAAGAGCCGTATTACGATCTAGTGTTTGCAATTGGGTGCATCACGTCGTGCAACTCGAAAGAACTCGAGTCTTGATACTCCATACTTTTACCCACAACTAGCAGAGAACGAGTATAGCGGAAGATGGTGGAATGCCGACTGAGTCCACTTGCCTCGTCTGGGCACACCTCCGCCCTTAGCCCTTAGCTGAGAGTCATTTGATTAGCTGATTGAAGCCTCCAGGACCCGGCAGTTTGCTGCTAGCATTGGGTTTTCGGCACCTAGCGGAAGAGGCGGAGGGGCGGAGAAGCATAATAGGGATGATACTCAACAATAGGACGGAGTACCGGTGTGGATGGTGGTATTCGAAGCACGATTCGAAGTGTCCAGAGCTTCGGACGTGTTCTTCTAAACCTGCGCCGGTAGGATGGTTCAGGAAGGAGACTCCAGACGAGATCGAGGGAGCCTCTGCACGAGTTTGTCATCGTTTGTGCGGCTCACAGGCGTTGCACGGAAGACGCGTGCTAGTGCTCCGTGCAAGCTTACTGCCCGGGGGCGTGGGAGCTGGTGTCACATCGAGCTGCATGATGCCAGGCACGGATACCTTAAGGCCGCATGAGGCCCATGGCAGACTGAGCCCCTGTCAGCTGTGCTTGTGCAAGCCTGGTCGGTGTCGGTATCGTTTATGTGCGAGCACCAGGTAAGGTATACACGGATATGTAGCGAGGGCGGCGAGAAAAAAAAGAGGGCAAGCCCAACCAGGGCAGACGAGACAGAGAAAGAAAAAAATTATATATGGACATGATCGGCAGCTCCTGATCGCAGTTGTTTCCCACCAGACTCTACCACTCCTCTTGGCCGCTCTGCTCCTGTCGACCAGTCCAGCTCCAGACGATGACTCTCAAGAACCTCCTGGCCATTGCCGGCACGCTGCCGCTTGCCTCAGCCATTGGCTGCCCTCACATCAACGGCAACGGCAATGCCAACATCAATGTCGCTCGAGCCCATCCTGAGTCCATCTTGGAGAAGAGATTCAGCCCGGACGGCCCTGACTTCGGCACATGCCCTCGCAAGAGCAAAGTTGCTGGAGGAGGTACTCGCAGCAGGCAGTGGTGGCCTTGCGAGCTGAACCTGGCTGTGCTCCGCCAGTTTTCTGAGAAGTCGAACCCCATGGGCTCTGACTTTGACTATGCCACTGAGTTCAGCAAGATTGATGGTAAGTTGGAACGGCTGAATTGATCGACTATACCAGGCCAGATGCTGATATCGAGGATAGTCGACCAGCTCAAGAAGGATATCACCGCTGTGCAGACCACTTCCCAGGACTGGTGGCCCGCCGACTTTGGCAACTATGGCCCGTTCTTCATCCGTCTAGCATGGCACAACGCCGGTACCTACCGCTCCATTGACGGACGCGGAGGAGCCGGTCAGGGCCAGCAGCGATTTGCCCCCCTCAACAGCTGGCCGGACAATGCCAACCTGGACAAGGCCCGTCGTCTGCTTTGTAAGTCGACCCTAGAAGCGGCCGTGAACCATTCAGAGGCCATCTTTTGCTAATTAGCCGTGCACGGCAGGGCCCATCAAGCAAAAGTACGGCAGCGCTCTCTCATGGGCCGACCTGTTCGTCTTCGCCGGCAACACTGCCATGGAGAACATGGGCTTCCCCACCTACGGCTTTGGCTTTGGTCGCGAGGATACCTGGCAGTCGGACGAGGGCATCTACTGGGGTGGCGAGCAGGAGATGTTCCCCGAGGCGCTCAACAACGTGGTCCGCTACAACGGAAGCACAGACTTCACTGCGCGAGCGGATCAACTCGAGAGCCCGCTGGGCGCCGTCAGCATGGGTCTGATCTACGTTGACCCCCGCGGACCCAACGGAACCCCTGACACCAAGGCCTCTGCTCTGGACATCCGCGAGACCTTTGGCCGCATGGGCATGGACGACGAGGAGACCGTCGCCCTGATCGCAGGTGGCCACGCCTTTGGCAAGACCCACGGCGCCGTGACGGGAGACAACATCGGCCCCGAACCTAACGCCGCCAGCATTGAGCTGCAGGGCCTTGGCTGGAAGAACAGCTTTGGATCTGGCGTTGCCGACAACGCCTACACAAGTGGCCTTGAGGTTATCTGGTCCCGCACTCCCACCAAGTGGGCAAACGGTGAGTGCCTTCTTGCCTCTTTACTCCTTCATCCTGTATCAGCTACTGACAATTGCTCGCAGAGTTCCTCTTCTCCCTGCTCAACAACAACTTCACACTCACCAAGTCCCCCGATGGTGCCCCTCAGTGGGAGGCGCTCGATGCCAACGCATCCTACCCCGACCCCTTCATCAAGGGCAAGTTCCGCAAGCCTACGATGCTGACCAGTGACCTTGGTCTCCGCGATGACCCCATCTACAACAACATCTCCAGGACGTTCCTCAACGACTTTGACTACTTTACCGAGAAGTTCGGCCTTGCCTGGTGTAAGTCAGCGTACCACCCTATGATGCATGCCCTAGCTGACCATTGTCCCAGACAAGCTGCTGCACCGTGACATGGGTCCCATCGCACGCTACCTTGGCCCCGAGGTCCCCAAGCAGGCCCCCCTCATCTGGCAGGACCCTCTCCCCAAGCCGGCTTACACCACTCTGGCCGCCTCGGACATTTCCTCGCTGAAGCAGCAGATTCTCGCCGCCCCCGGTCTCAACGTCTCCAACCTGGTCACCACTGCCTGGGGCTCTGCTTCGACCTTCCGCATCTCTGACAAGCGCGGTGGTGCCAACGGAGCTCGCATTGCTCTCCAGCCCCAGGTCAACTTTGCTGCCAACAACCCTCCCCGTCTGCAGGCTGTCCTCAAGGCTGTAAGTAAAAATACCACACAAGTCACAAGTGCTTTCTGCTGACAACTGCTTCTCCGCCTATAGCTCAAGGGTGTCCAGTCCAAGTTCCAGTCCAGCGGCAAGAAGGTCTCTCTGGCCGATCTCATCGTCCTCGGTGGTGTCGCTGCCATTGAGAAGGCTGCCAAGGCTGCTAACATCACCCTCACCGTGCCCTTCACCCCCGGTCGCGTTGATGCCACCCAAGATCAGACCGATGCCTCCACCTTTGCCTTCCGTGCGTCCACCCCCCACGCAGTGATGACCCCTGCATGTTGAGTCGCATGTGCTAACCTTTTTGCTGCAGTTGAGCCCAAGGCTGACGGTTTCCGCAACTTTGGCCACGGCACCACCTCGTCGCTCACTGAGGAGATTCTGGTTGACAAGGCTGCCCTCCTTACCCTGAGCCCTCCCGAACTGACGGTCCTCATTGGCGGCATGCGCGCTCTCTCTGCCAACTTTGACGGCTCCTCCACCGGCATTCTGACTTCGCGCCCCGGCCAGCTCACCAACGACTTCTTCGTCAACCTGTTGGGCTCCTACTCGACCTGGTCCGTCGTCAACGGCACCAACGAGGAGCTGTTCCAGAGCACGGACTCGAACGGCAAGGTCCAGTGGACTGCCTCCCGCTCCGACCTCATCTTTGGCTCTCACCCCGAGCTGCGCGCCCTTGCTGAGGTCTACGGCTCTTCTGACGCTCAGAGCAAGTTCGCCAATGACTTTGTCGCCGCATGGGCAAAGGTCATGGACCTTGACCGTTATGATGTCAAGGGACACAAGAGCGCCTACTAAGGGGTTGGTAACGTAGAGTTGTACTTTCAGAATATTGTATATAGGTAGTCACATTGTTATAATGACTAGATTAGCAAGGCACAGCTGCCATCATGATGAACAAATACATGCAACTTCAAATGACTTTGCTCCCAGTCTGTCTGTTTTCCCGGTGATTATGAGCTCACCGCCAACTGATGTCGTCCACCATTCGCTTCCACGGCGATCGATTTGCGTAACACAACGTGTCACAACGATCTCGTGGCCTAACTGGTCCTACGAGGTACAAGCTTGTGTTGTACCATGGAACAATTCATCTGCTCGCCACGACCATTTGAAGAACATGTGCGATCCACATGTGTAACAGTTGGGAGGATGTAAGTTTGCTCAGTGTGTGATGTATACCGAATTACACAATATCTATCTGTCCTGCTTCTCGCTCGACATGGTGAAAATTACGCGCACATACATAGTACAGTATCACAACAACTACTGCAACGAGGGAAAGCAACTGCCCTCGGTCTGGCGACACAAAGTGCTACTACTGGTTTGCCTTGCGCGCAGAGAGACAAAAAGTTCCGCGTAACGCCGCGTCGGGGAGTTTCTGTGTTGCAACCCTCATGCTGTTGAGCGGCCGCAGGTATGGGGGGGCGTTTTCGGCCTTTTTTCTCTTGCGCTGACGAGGTGTAACTACTGTATTCGGCTGATAGAATAGTTGATCAAGGGTGTTGTGTCTCTATGGACGGGGAAAAGAGTCCGTCTTGTGTGTGGCAATGTATGCGAGGGAGGTATCGTAGCATACACAAAAAGTACGCAAAGGTGCATTGTTCCATTAGGAGTCTTTGTCGTTTTCTATTGATTGAAATGGAACGGTATGAGTTTCATCCGGTGTACCTGCATACTCTCTAGAGTTATCGTGACATTAACTGATTGAGTCAAACCACAACTTATTTGATCCTTTAGCTGATTCAGCCCTTTGAGCCCATGTTCTGGTTACATCGCCGATGCTTAAGGCCTATCAAGTTAAAAAGAGTAAAAAGAGTCATCATGCTTACTGATGGCTAGTGGTTTACAATACAATCTACGCAATTGGCTATACATATGTAACAAGCCTCTTTCAGCCCCAAGTCAACCTCGTCCCGCACAAGTGAGATTCGGACCGTTCCCGAGAAGTCAAAAAGGCCCAACAGGGGAGGAACAATAAGCGTGGAGGATCAGTAAGAAATTCCGATTTCAGAACTTCGCACTTTTATGCCAGTTCACCACATGGCATCCCGGTCAACTCGACTATTACGACCCAAATTGTGTAATTCTGAAGAAGGCACCTTGCAGTTTCTCGATTTAGATAGGGCAGCCTATTTTCGGGGACGGTGGTCGGCCAGATGATGCTCCGATGAGGTTGTCGTGGACAAGTGTTTTGCGGCATGCACGAGGGCAGGGGCTAATTTCTGACATAAACCCATGATCGCTGTTTGTTTCCCCATGTTTTCTGTGTCTGTTACGCTTGTTGGAAGTTGTTCTGAGTTTTTGTGATAGATTTGTTGGACTAGCTTGAATAAGGAGGAGAAGAGGTATTCCAAATAGTCGCGGTTGTTGGAGAGTTGGTGTACGGATAGTTATTTTGTCCGGTCCATGGAAATGCTGTCTGAGTCCGCATGGACGGTTTCACACATTCGACCCGGTGCAGTTAGGGAGGAACGATCAGGTTGTGCGGTTGATGAAGAATATGCCCTCTTGAGGCAATATTGTTTTCATGCCACCCGATAGTCTTTGATCGATACAGCCACTAAGGTATAGAGACTCTCCTGAGTCTGGAGCAGAGCAACTGTGCTAATTGCTGATCCGGGGTAAAGCGACTAGCCAGCAGCCGGTTGCCCATGATCTGCTGCTGATCAAGCAACGTCTACTTTTAGAATAGAACAACGCGTGCATGCTGATGCCGAGACAACTTGTGAGATATGATATAACTCACGAGGCCGGCACAAGTGTAAGCAGCGGCGGAAACAACCAGGACACGCCTTGACTCGTCGAGGGCAAGTTACGATTCGGACACTCGGCCTGCGTGTCATTGTCTAACTGCTTACTGAATGATCTGGCATAATAAACAACGCCTCGTAATTACTCTCAAATTCAAGAACAAGAGGAGGTTCATCAGATACAGTTGTCAGACAAAGCGGTATATACAGGGTAACACCTTGATGCCCTTCCCTTAGGGACGCTGACCTTACTTCCAAGGCTATAGTTATACCTGCCATAGCTCTCGACATGCCGTGTTGTGAAATGAACAAATATAGATGGGGCTACTATTGTGCAAGCACCGAGGGCGCAGTAATGGTGAATGAATCTTTTGCAGAGCTCGACCTATGTTAACGGCAACTTGGGGTTTCTTCAAAGCTGATCTATTCAGCTAAGACTACGGCAAAGACGAGACTGCAACCTATATTAGGCCACATGTTGTCCAATATGATGAGGTAGATGAAAAGGACGTTAATGCTAAGGATCTAATTCTGCTGGTAGCCATAATGGCATCTAGTTCTCCTTTTCTCCCGATGACTCGCATGATATAGAAGGTTTCAAGGGGGTTGATTTCAGACACAGACATCATATAATCTTCACCAATATCATATCGCTCACCCGTCCCTTGAAGACGTTGAACCAATACTCCTTCGCATCGCAAATTACATTGGGGGGCCTTGACAGCTGGACAAGTCCTAACCGTTGCCAAACAGTGCAGCAGTTTGTTGTATCATACCCGCTCTCTTTCAGTAGAAGCAGTATCAACGAACCGGCGTCAAGTCTCGACGCAAGCATGAAGCATTGAGCAACAGTTCCAGCAGGGACGTGATCTGTTCCTAGCAATGACGAGTCGTAGTCTACCCATATATTACCCACTTGCCCTTGCATCATGTCAAGTTCTAATAGCCCAAAATGCTTCCTCATTTCTTGGCTCATAGGTGGTTTGTACTTGATCGAGGTCGGTACCAGGTGGCCCCGTAGCAAGAGATACCCGCCGCTGAGCTCACCGGTTGGATCCGTCTGATACGGAAAGCATTTAACCTCCTCGACTTTGCACAGGGCACTGAGACCGGTTCCCATATCGAGAAACTTTACCGGACCCAGTGCTGCTGCCCACGACCACGTCGGAGCTCTCCATACCTGCGGGCGTTGATGCCATTCAATGCCCTTTGTCGAGTCATCAGACATGGTCTCTTTATGCCACGCCAAGTCATATAGCAGATAATCCGTCCACATTCCCGCAACGTATTCGCACTTTGAAGAGTGTTGGAAAAGTTTCGCTATGCCTGATATTGCTGGAAAGATGTCACTCTCGAAAGTCAGGTCAAGTTTTGTATATTCTTCCACCAGCATGTGCCAGATCCTGATCAGTCGGGCCTCCTCCAATTTCTGCCAGTGACCGTGATTAAAAATAGCCTTTGACTCCAAGATTCGCTGTGCGGACGCTGTGTACACGTCCGCACTTCCACCACCAGAATTAGCAGCGGTTGGAAGTGTACACTGGCAGGTAGCTGCTTGGAGACACTCCCACGAAAGTTCCTGTGGCCCAAAGTGAAGTATTCTTGATGGCAACAGGCGCTCCTGAAAGATCCACCCACGAGTGAAGGTCGGCAGTGTGGAAGACTTGACAAGCCTCTGGTCCATGTATCCTGGGGAATGTGTCAACGCTCTGCGAAAGCATAGGGCAGCCCCTTGACCCAAAGATGGAACGGGTATTATGCTTGGCTTCAGCTTGTAATCGATGCCGCCGAAGAGACTCTCTTCGGAGCCAGAGGCTTTCGATGCGGATATGACGATGTATGCGTTTTGGTAGACTGAGCTCATCTTCGCTGCCTCCCTTCTCCAGTCGTCCTTATTATCCTGAACGATGCAAAGGCTATCGATCCACAATAGAGAGATGCCCAATCTCCTCGCGACAGTAATTGTGTCTTGGAAGAGACGAGGCAGTACACTCCAAGGGATTCCCTGTTTGTGTAATTCGAGATTGGCGATTATTGTGCTCGAGGGTCGTGACGTGCCCCAGCAGTGGGTCAGACATGCGTATTTCGGATTCTCGCCATCATTGACGTCGAATTCTCTTAATCGGATGTGGTCATTGTCAGTAGAGCCAATATCAAGAATTCGCCGCGGCAGTGGCCCTGTTGAGTCGGACTTCATCATGTGGCATCCATGGCTGTCGTCACAGTGCCTGAGTTTCTCTGCCGCCCATTCAAAGCTAGCATCGGAGTCTGTTGTTTTTGGGAGATCCGTTACTCCAACAGGTACGTTCGGGAAGATGCGCTCAAATTCAGGGGTTTCTGGCCAAGCAAGTACTTTATGTCAGTATCAGCATGCTATGAATGGCATTGCCACAAACTCCAAGTTTAAGTAACGCGACGACGCCAGCTGCACTGCTCTACAGGGACAGAAACCTTACTGTGCGGTGGCGGAGCAAAAACGGCGATCTCCAGCTGCCGCTTGAAGAGGGTCAGGCTAAGGCTCCGGCATGAAGCGGCCATATTCATGTCCATGCGGAGCCACTCGACAGAATCCGAGTGCTGGATATCATGAGAGGCATCATAGCCAACAATACTCTGGATACCGGCACTCAATACCGAGCAAGAAACACAGCCCGACTCTGCCCCTTGGAACAGGGCCGCGAGGTTTGTAATGGCTGCAGTTGGTCCGCTATTTGAGCTTGGCGGGTGGTGGCATGAGGAGCAAGGCCGGGTTTCGGGTGCGGATTCGAGGCCAGACAGCGACATGATGTACGCAGTTTCCAGTTTGATGTCATTGCTTATCTGTAAAGAAGTTCCAAGGAACAGTCATCGACCGCTGCGATTATCAACACCACCCGTAAGTTCTTGGATACCGTCATTATCCAGATTCGGGGTCTCGGACAGTTTCAGCTGAAGAGGGGCAACGACTCGATGATCCCGGACCCGATGCAGCGCCCCCCCTGGTAGGGCTAAGCCGAGATTCCGCTTAATAAGGGGCGCCATATTGAATCTGGGCGGGAATTGAGATGCATTGCTGTGATGGTTGAGAGAAGAGACGATGATGCCAGTTTTGTAGATTTATCTACCAAAATAGAGGCCGCAGATGTTCACGACGTGAAAGGATGGGACACTGCAATTATTACACTGAGCTGTTCAGATACAGTAGGCGGTCTCTTGAGCACACGTGACTCTGGTCTGTCATTGATTCGCAGCTGTCCTCACCATAATTCACTCCTCCTCCTTCTCTCTCCTAGGATATGCCCTTTCAAACGCCATATCGAGACGTCATTTGCCCCAATGATGCCTGCATCGTGAATTTCGCAATGGCCGCGGCCCAGAAATCCGGTGCGCCGGCACTTGGGCAAATCGACAAGTGCCGGCTGCTCTACACCATTTACGACCAACGCCCGCCGTTTGCGTAACTGAGACACAGCCAGAAGCAGGGATTGCCATGGAATCGCCATGGAGTTATCGTCAGGATATTGGAATGGACGCAGCGCTTACTAACAAGGTAAATCCTGGGCTTTGGGTCCGCCGCCAGCACCTCGGCGCCCCCATGCTAAACTCAATCTCAAGACATCTACGGATACCCATCCAAGGGTCTTGGCTATGCTGTGACTACAAGGCTCAAGAGGGCTGGGCACCGGCCGTCTAGCTCACTATCTCAAAGCCACTGGACCGCGCCACTGAGCATCGCCTAGCTGCTGGTTCTGGTGCTGCTTCAGCTGGGCTCAGGCCATTCATCGCGTGGCCTGGCAAACATGTGAAGGCCAATCGGTCCATAGGTACGCTAGCCAGAGAATTGACTTCGGGACTGTCTTGTCCTCCATATTCCACTGATGAGGGCTCCGGCGTTATGTCCGTGTACCTCATAGCAGGATTCGCTCTCGGCTTCTAGAAGATATGAATGAAACAATTGAAACGGACGGCCATGTCATCCCTGCTCCGGTTCCCCGGCCTCCGTCTCTATCGGCACCGCGGATACGGCACGGCGGGGTTCAGTCAGAGTCCGCAACCCGACGATCTGTGTTGGATAACCCACCAAGCACTTCAGCTCCGTGTCCACAGTATCGAGGCGTGTCTGGTCCCGAGTGGCTTTTGGAGACATGGGGAATGCGCACACCATGAAAGCCCGCCGCTGGCTACGCAAACGATCGACTCCGTACAGAGTTTGGCTAGCTGCCGATGGCCTACCACTCCGGCAGCCCGTCTTTCGACTACTCCACCAAGGGGTGCACAGCTCTGAAGTGTGGACGGTATGTCATCGGTTGACTACTTATACAAAGTCTGGTCTCGTCCCTTGCTGCGACTGCTCATCCCCGGTACTTTGTGCTTCATGGTAGGTCGCTCCCTGAGGAATAACAGCTTATCACGAAGCCACAGAGGAAACCGGAAGGGGTGATTTCAGGATATCAACGCACCAAATTCACCCGTTCTCCGCCGCCATGGAAGACGACGAAAGGGGATCAACAAGAAGAGATCACCGCGAGACGTACTCGCGAGATTCCGACAATGACGCCAGTACATTTCCCTCGGCACTGAGTCGCGCCAACACGTACGATGAAGACGGAGAGGTCATGGAACAAGACGATAGGACAGAGCTTAGACGCATTGCAACCGCCCTTTCCCGTCGCCAGTCTCATGTCGCTGCTCCGTCTCGTCGTCAGTCGGTGGGACTCGGTACGCTTGACGAGTATGACGCCACTCTCGACCCCGAACGGCGCGAATTCGATCTTTCAAAATGGCTGCTTCGATTCATACGTGAGCTTGGAGAAAAGGGTCTCGCAGAGCGGAGAATCGGTGTCTCATTTCGCAACCTCGACGTCTTCGGTACCGGCGATGCAATCCAACTCCAAGGAACGGTGGGCTCCGTCCTCACTTCACCTCTCAGATTTGGAGAGTTCTTTACTTTTGGCAAAAAAGAGCCAAAGCAGATCCTCCACAGCTTCAACGGGCTAGTCAAGAGTGGTGAGCTCTTGGTCGTGCTTGGCCGTCCAGGTTCTGGCTGTAGTACCCTTCTCAAATCCATTTGCGGCGAGCTACATGGTCTCAATCTGGGAGAGAGTTCCAACATTAGCTACAATGGTATCCCACAGAAGCAGATGAAGAAGGAGTTCAGAGGTGAAGCAATCTACAATCAAGAGGTACGTGTCTGTGTCGAAGAAGAACGGCAACTTACTACACAGTTTCTCTCCTTTCTTCCTCTGTTTGATAGCTAACCTGCCTCATAGGTCGACAAACACTTTCCCCATCTTACCGTCGGCCAGACCCTCGAATTCGCAGCTTCGGTTCGAACACCATCCCACCGTGTCCACGATATGCCTCGCGGCGAATACTGTCGCTACATTGCCAAGGTTGTCATGGCAGTGTTTGGCCTCACTCATACCTACAATACGAAAGTCGGCGATGACTTTATTCGCGGCGTATCAGGAGGTGAAAGGAAGCGCGTCAGTATCGCCGAAATGGTTCTGGCAGGCTCACCGTTCTCTTCCTGGGATAACAGGTGTGTCCATCTTTACCTCTATATGTGGCGCTCCTCTAACATTTGCCAGCACTCGAGGTCTTGACTCCGCGACAGCTTTCAAGTTTGTGAAAGCGCTCCGAGCGTCCGCCGATTTGGGCAACCACGCAAATGCCGTTGCCATCTATCAAGCCAGTCAGGCCATCTACGACCTTTTCGACAAGGCAACAGTCTTATATGAGGGCCGTCAGATCTACTTTGGACCAGCAAAGGAGGCAAAGGCCTACTTCGAGAGGCAGGGTTGGTACTGCCCTCCGCGCCAGACAACAGGTGACTTCTTAACTTCAGTCACCAACCCAGTGGAGCGTCAACCTCGTCCGGGCATGGAGTTGAAAGTGCCTCGAACTCCGCAAGATTTCGAACGGATGTGGTTACAGTCTCCTGAATTCAACGCTCTGCAGAAAGATCTCGACCAGTATGAGGAAGAGTTTGGCGGCGAGCGGCAGGGAGAGACCTTGGCGCAGTTCCGCCAGCAGAAGAATTTCCGGCAGGCCAAGAACATGCGGCCCAAGTCTCCGTACATCATCAGCATCCCGATGCAAATCAGATTCAATACGAAACGCGCCTATCAGCGCATATGGAATAACAAATCGGCAACAATGGCGTCCACCGTGGTTCAGATCGTCATGGCTCTCATTATCGGCTCCATATTCTTCGGCACTCCCAACACGACGGATGGCTTCTACGCCAAAGGCTCAGTCTTGTTCGTAGCCATCTTGCTCAATGCATTGACAGCGATATCCGAGATCAATAACTTGTATGCACAGCGGCCCATTGTCGAGAAGCATGCCTCGTATGCCTTTTATCATCCAGCCACCGAAGCAGCTGCGGGTATCGCTGCCGACATTCCTATCAAGTTCATCACGGCATCCGTCTTCAATGTCATCCTCTACTTCATGGCAGGTTTGAGGCGAGAGCCCTCCCAATTCTTCATCTACTACCTCATCGGCTACATCTCTATCTTCGTCATGAGCGCCATTTTCAGGACAATGGCCGCAATCACCAGAACAGTTTCACAGGCCATGTCGCTCGCTGGAATCTTGGTTCTTGCTCTTGTCATTTATACTGGCTTTACCATCACTGTGCCATCCATGCATCCTTGGTTTAGCTGGATCAGATGGATCAATCCCATCTACTACGCATTTGAGATTCTCGTCGCCAACGAGTTCCACGGTCAAAATTTCCCTTGCGGCGGCAGCTTTGTTCCCCCATATAGCCCTCGTATCGGCAATTCTTGGATATGCCCAGTACCAGGCGCTGTTGCGGGTAGCGAAACCGTGAGCGGCGACGCTTTCATCGCGACCAACTACGAGTACTATTACTCCCATGTGTGGCGGAATTTTGGCATCTTGATAGGATTTCTCATCTTTTTCATGGCCATCTATTTCACTGCAACTGAGTTGAACTCGTCGACTACAAGTACAGCCGAGGCCCTTGTTTTCCGACGCGGTCACGTTCCCACACATATCTTGAAGGGCGAAGGCGGTCCGGCTAGGACAGAAGACGCGACTGACGAGAAAGGCCTGCATGGTGATCAAACTACCGGTTCCAACGTGAAAGGCCTGGATCCTCAGAGAGACATTTTCACCTGGCGGGACGTCGTTTACGATATCAAGATCAAGAGCGAAGACCGCAGGCTTCTGGATCATGTCTCTGGCTGGGTGAAGCCGGGCACCCTGACCGCACTGATGGGTGTCAGTGGTGCAGGAAAGACGACTCTTTTGGACGTTCTGGCTCAGCGAACTACCATGGGCGTCATTACGGGCGATATGCTTGTGAATGGTAGGCCACGAGACCTCAGCTTCCAAAGGAAGACGGGCTATGTCCAGCAACAAGGTAGAATGAAAATAACGTCCCACTTCTTCTTATGCATGGATACTGAACAAAGGTTTAGATTTACACCTCGAGACCGCCACCGTCCGCGAGAGTCTGCGATTCAGTGCCATGTTGCGCCAGCCCAAGTCGGTCAGCAAGGAAGAAAAGTACGCATTCGTCGAAGAGGTCATCAAGATGCTCAACATGGAAGAGTTTGCCAATGCAGTTGTTGGAGTTCCCGGTGAGGGTCTCAACGTGGAACAGCGAAAGCTCCTTACCATCGGAGTTGAGCTCGCAGCCAAGCCAAAGCTGCTCCTCTTTCTCGATGAACCAACCAGCGGCCTCGATTCTCAGAGCTCATGGGCTATTTGCTCCTTTCTCCGCAAGCTTGCCGATTCGGGTCAGGCAATTCTATGCACCGTTCATCAGCCAAGCGCCATCCTCTTCCAGACATTTGATCGCTTGCTTTTCTTGGCAAAGGGCGGAAAGACCGTCTACTTTGGTAACATTGGCGAAAACTCTCACACGCTTTTGGACTACTTTGAGGAGCATGGCGCAAGAAAGTGTGGCGATGAAGAGAATCCAGCCGAGTACATGCTCGAAATTGTCAACAACGGTGTCAACAGCAAAGGAGAGGACTGGCACTCGGTGTGGACGGCGAGCTCGGAATATCAGAATGTCCAAAAGGAGCTCGACCGTCTTCACGCGGAAAAGCTAGCCGAGAACCCTGGTGCAGAAGACGATGCCTCGTCTCATTCCGAGTTTGCCACGCCTTTTACAACCCAGCTCTGGGAGGTCACGTATCGAATCTTTCAGCAGTACTGGCGCTTGCCCGGTTACATCTTTGCCAAATTTATGCTTGGTATTGCTGCTGGACTGTTTATCGGCTTTTCGTTCTTCAACGCCAATTCCTCGTTGGCGGGAATGCAGGATGTCATCTTTTCCGTCTTCATGGTGACGACCATCTTTTCTACTATCGTTCAGCAGGTAAGATTTCTTGAGAATGAAACTAACTCGAATCGTTAACTGACGAGAACCTTTCCAGATCCAACCTCTTTTTGTTACCCAGAGATCACTGTACGAAGTTCGTGAACGCCCAAGCAAAGCTTACTCATGGAAGGCCTTTATCCTTGCCAACGTATTTGTCGAGATCCCTTACCAGATCATCATGGGCATCCTCGTCTTCGCCTGCTTCTACTACCCTGTTGTTGGTGTCCAGAGCTCCATCCGACAAATTCTTGTTCTCCTCTTCATCATGCAGCTATTCATCTTTGCAAGCTCGTTCGCCCACATGATTATTGTCGCTATGCCAGATGCACAGACGGCTTCCAGCATTGTGACTTTCTTGGTGCTAATGAGCACGCTCTTTAACGGAGTCTTGCAGTCACCCACTGCACTCCCGGGATTCTGGCTGTTCATGTGGCGTGTTTCCGTTTTTACTTATTGGGTCGCTGGTATAGTTGCCACAGAGCTTCACGGACGGCCGATTGTCTGTTCAAAGAGCGAGCTGTCCATCTTCGATCCGCCCAACGGCCAGACCTGTGGTGATTATCTGGCGCCGTTCCTCCAACAGGCACCAGGACAGCTGCAGAACCCCTCGTCGACCGACCAGTGCCGCTACTGCCAGCTCAGCAATGCGGACCAGTACCTTGCCGGGTCAGAGATCTTTTGGAGCGACAGGTGGCGCAACTACGGCATTGTTTGGGCGTACATCGTCTTCAATATCTGCACGGCGATTACCCTGTATTATCTCTTCCGGGTCAGGAAATGGAATACCGGCAGCTTCAAAGTCCGTTTTCCTTGGGGAAAGAAAGCTGCGAAGCAATGAATGTGGAAGAGCTAGAAGCGAGTGGTACTCGGGCTGCAGCATTGAGCCTCATTCTACTTCGCGTCTCGCTTTTATAGCTCCAGCAGCGAAGCCATACTTAAAACTCTCCTTCGCCGAGTCTAGACCACGGCTGCAGGTCGCATCAACTCGGGGAGCTTCGGCTCTTTTATCCATATGTAGATTTTTCATAGTTCTTTAAAAAGTTTAGTTAGACCCAATTACGGCTTATTTTCAATACAACGATGTTGACCTGTACTGGAACTACATATGACGCCCGTGAGCTTGGTATCATTAACAAATTACTACTAGCTCCATATCTCGCGTAGCTACATGTCACAATGGCATTGTTTCGGCTGTATGTAAAGGGGTAGTATAGATGTACTGAACCGCTTGCTTAGGTATGCATATATGTGAGGTACATAGCAAGAGGTTCCACAAGGGAGATCCAGATCTACTATCGAGTTCGTTGTGGATGATCCTGCGAAATGGATCAAGGTGATCCGTTGCCGATGTTAGTAGTAGGTAAGACAGTAATCGGAAAGAGCACGCCAGGATCGATCAAGATCTTTGAGCTTCATTTACACGGGCAGACACGATGCCGGACGTGATGCCAATGCCGAAGCGAAGCCCGTAACGAGGCGGATCTCGTGGAATATTAATCCTGGAATCAGTCGGAAAGAAAAGAGTTCCAAAGACGTTGAGGGGAACCATCACTTGAACATGGGCTCAATTTATTTTTTTGTCTTTCTACCGTTTACCCATCAATTTCATGCAGTTACAACTCCAACGATAAATAGTATTGCTGCTGGCACCTACAAATACCGAGGGAGCAAGGTGTACACAAGCATCGGACTTTCGCAGCCTCGTCAGAAAGGAAGAAAGGGGGTTTCCGAGACACATTATGCAGCCAGGGCCGCGGCTAAATGCTTAGAAAGATGAAGGGCGAAGAAGGCCGAGCGAGTTAACAAGTAATACTACTAGTAGTAGTTCATCACTAATAGTGATAGCAGAGTTACAGGGCAAGTATTTACACGTGAATCTTGTTGCTGAAGCAAGCCACAATTCTCTAGTGTTGCAAGCCATCTCCTGATGTGATTCGGGTCATATCTCCGGCTTCTGGGGCCGCATACAAGGAGTTTGCATGAATGTAGTTGGGGTTTGGAGATTTGACCCTGGCAATACGACCATATAACCGACAGGAAGCGAACGTAGGGAGAATTATCATGTCCGTGCTCGGATGTGATACCGAGAAAGACTTGAAGCAGGATGTTCGTGCAGCAGCAGCAGCTGTTTGACTGCTTGGCCGAGATTTCACGTTATTACATAGTGCAAGGCGGCAGAACCGAAGCCGGTAGGCTGAGCGCTGTGATAAAAGGCTACATGACAGGCAAACAATGAGACATATTCGATATAGCTACTTCTGCCCCTGCTTTGCTTTCCGTGGAATGTCGCATCAGGCATAATGAACCGTTAGAACGTTGTTGAGATTTCGGGACGTGTTTGTGGCTGGCGCGAGTTGCACCTTTTTGACCTAGACGATATGCTAGGAACGAGCCGGAAGCAGACTTATTCTACATGAAGACGCGAGCTAAGAGCAATAAGGTAGTTTATCAGACGGAGAGCGACGGCGAGCGGATGCGATGGGGGCTCGATCGCGATGCTATGCCTGAGCTAAGGAGGTTCGGTTTGTGGCTAATATAATCCTGCTTACGTCTGAACTCAGGTGGTAACATCGCCACAGTGCTGGAGTGCTGCTGAGTAACTGTCTGGTTGCCTGTTCATCGAGATAGTTTGGTCTCAGAAGAGGACAGAAATGAGACTCGGGGGGCTTTCGGTCAACTGTCTGGATGAACCTGTGGAGAGCATCAGTTTCACGTGGACTGTAGAGTATCACTGTTATTTCCCCACGAACTCGCACGTGTATTTGGTGAGGAGTCTGTTCGATGCTTTTAAAAGAGTCAGGAGGCCGATCCGAGCTTAGACGTAGCCAAGATGAAGCCCAAAAGCAGCCGCGTCAAATCGGTCTCGACAACTCTAGGCCCAAGCTTGCAATAATCGTGGTGCAATGCCCTGATACGATGGAGAGGCTTCGCATTGAATGTTCCTGGCAGCTGAGGTGGAGATGTAACACGAACCTTGAAGGTGCTGGAGTTGCTGTTATTAATTAGCGGTCCTCTAAGCTGCATCCAGCAAAGGCTCGCCTGAAGACTGCTTTGCATCGGCCTACAAACCATCGCGGACCTGATGTTGCCCGAGGTTGATGTTGACTAAAGTTGTCGGCTTGCCAAAAGGGACATGAATCTGAATCCAGAAGCTGCAAGACTCGCAAACTTTCCCATCTCCTCCCAAGTGACATCGCATCTCCGCTTCCATCAAACCTGAGCCGTCCAAGTACACACGCCAAAGTTGGACGGGATCGGGGCCTGATTGAATCAGCAGCCGGATTGTCGCGCCTCCTGCGGGTTGATCATACCGGTGGGCGGACCGACGCTGTCAAGTGGCCCGGCCGCACAGTTGGAGGGCCATACTGACTCGCGTCCAGGTGGTCCAGAGGGCTCGATCGTCCAGAGCGGGACTCCATCCGGCCGGTGGCAGATGGATCACCGAGGCGCGAGTGACGCAGATGGGTTGTGAGCGAGTCGACGATGCAGTTGCCAACTCGTCCTGGAACCGTGGGCGTACGAGTATCACCAACGATTCAGCAAGGACCAGCGGTTCTTGGACGCGGTAGTTGGCAACTCGGCAGCCACCTGCAGTGGCACTGCGACTCTGCCCAGCATTAGTCCAGGGGCATACAAAATAATGTATGTATGTCGGAGTACGGCACTCGCAAGTCCCGGCCGCCACCATTCATCTGGAGATTCTGATGCCACACTGCATGGCTGCCGCCTGGCCAGCGTTGCCTTGGCAGCATGCAGGGGAGCAATCGATAGTGCATCTGCCGAACGACTCAGCTGTCGCCAGGGGTTGTGCCTGCGCTCGCTGGGCATGTGAAGCTGTCATCAACTTTCCAACACGCAGGGCCAGGCGGGAGACACATGGCTTCAGCAGCGTTTGAAGCTTCTGCACCCATCGCTTCCCCTGGCTGGGCGGATGGGGACCGCGGGACTTGGTACCTCGCTAGGGGAGAAAGGGTAGGTGATCAAGCCGTTCACATGTGGCTTCAGCGATGAGCGAGGCGTGGCGTGCGCTGGGCCTGTTTGGGGAGGAGATGCCTGATAGGCCCCCAGGCTAAACGTCTGCATGAACGGGATTCGCTTGGTCTCTTTCATCTCTCTTTTCGGTGACCCTGGTTGGTTGCTATGCCTTGTTGCAGGAACCCGTTATCGTGCAGGTGGCATGACGAAGTTTGATTGACAGGATCCGAATTTGTCAAGGGGTTACCCATTCTGCCGCATTGACGCGAAAGCTGAAGCTGAAGGACTCAGAATGGTCGAGAATCGAGGTTTACGCAGTAGCATCACTGATGCCCCATCACGACAACAGGAAAAAGACTCAAGCTAATCCAGCCACCGCTGATGATGCTCAGGGCCGACGAGGCACAGCAAAAGACGCTATCGACGGCTCGACGACCCGCGTCATGCTCTATGAACCGGCCTCCTTTCCGCGTCTACCAACCCTGACCGATGCCAAATGCGGCCTACGTCGCTGTCGAACAAAACATGCACTCCTGGCAACCCCTCAATCGGCCATCCTTGCTTTGCTTGGGGAGGAGATGATGATTGCCAGGTGGACTCGCTGGCAGGTCGGCAGCCTCGTGTTGACAGTAGCAGTGATTCCTGATAACGAATCCTTCGTCTTGTGGCGCAGATTGGACATATCACCTCAGACAAGCGGCCCTTTCGGAACCTGCCGCGCGGCGTGCTTCCGTTCCTCGCTGCCGTGCATTCTGACGATTCGGCGTGGGAAGCACATGTAATAGCATGCTGTCTGGGGCTCGCTTAGGTCTGGGACCTGAAGACGAACCGAACCCCTTCGGCCACTCGCCGCAAAAAGTCGACATCAAGAGAATTCTTCAGCAGACTAAAACCCACAAAACAAGGTCGATACGGACTACTGAAGGATCCAAACGACGCCCATTAGCAGGTGGCGTCTTCCGCTCGCTTTGATTCGCCTCTAGACAAGGGACGGTCCTCGTGTTAGCCTATCGGCTTCCTTCATGGCGCGTCCCAGCCGGCCGGGTTTTGGAAATCTGCAACCCCCTGCGCGTCTTGCTAGACACTGGCTGCGACGCTCCACCGAAGCCCGTTGACAGGACTAATGTCGAGATGTGCCGGATCAAGTAAAGGCACATACCAGAGCCAGAAGGGAGAGCAAATGGGAAATATCGTTACAGTGGGCACCGGGCAGCATTCCCCCTCCCCTCTGGCCTCTCCAGTCAGTACGAGTAGTAGTATCTTCCGATAATATTGGGTTTGTCTCAGAGGCTGGCTGGCCGTTCAGTTCATCCGCGGGTTTACGCCGACTCGAAGGATGTCAATCCCCGTTCCAGGTCGGCAGCCACACACCCTCCAAATCGAGGCTCTCAAATCGAGCCCTTCCTTGGCCGAGCTTCTGTCCCAGCATGATCCCGGCTCTAGCGGCGGCGCAAGATGTTCTTGATGCAGAGAATTTTGTGGGCGGGATCGATGGGGCGGAGACTGTCCCGGCTTAAACCATGTGTTGCTCCTTGCTCGATTACTTGAACGTGTTCGGCCCTCGCCACTCGCTGCATCGATCTCTTCAAGATTAACTGTTTTTCTTTTTCCTTTCGGCAGTCTTGCCGCTCCGTTGTGGATGACTGTCTGCATGTAGGAGTCTTCCCCGTGTTATCACGCAGACGTATACCGGTGGCCCGGGCGAGGTTTCCCACGAGAGGTCTTTTGCCAACGACCCGACCAACGACAACGGCAAATACAGGCGGACAGACAGGCAGTAACCTGTCCATCTCGGGACAATGGTGGACTCCCGCATCCAGCAGGCCATCGCCAATGGCACCGTCCCGCCAGGCATCACCGCTGAATATCTGAGCGAGTCTCGCGATGGCGCATCGATTGTCGGCATCATCTTCGTCACAGCCCTCACATTTATTGTCGTCTGCACACGACTGATATCTCGAACATGCATCGTACGGCGATTTGGCGTGGATGATGCGTTGGCTTGCTTGTCGATGGTAGGTCCTGGAGGATATCTTAACCCTCTGTGTAGAAGCAAAGCTGACTTGCTTCGTCTGTGCCCGCAGGCTCTGCTGATATGCTTTGTTGGATTGAGCATCGAGTTAATCAACTTGGGCTCCGGGAGGCATTTTGCGTTCATCGAATACATCATGGACGTCCCTACGGTTCTGCGGACCCAAGTGCTCGATTTCGTCGCCCACATCATCTACACGACGGCCCTGCTTCTGTGCCGCATATCGGGTCTCGCGTTCTATCAGAGAGTCTGCGGGCAGCATCAGCATTTCATCCTGGGCATCAGGATTGTGTTTGGCATCCTGATTGCCGGCTTCCTGCCCCAGATCTTCCTGCTCATCTTCCACTGCAAGCCAGTGACGGGCTACTGGCCGTATGGATGGGAGCCCGTTGCTCCCCGATACACGTGTCTGCAGTGGGGTTTGGTGTACAGCGTCAACTCGTCTGTGTCCCTTCTCTGCGACCTGCTTCTCTTTGGTATCCCCATTGCCATGCTGCGGACGCTGGAGATGTCTCGGAAGCGCAAGATTCAGTTGGCCGGCATTCTGCTGCCCGGTGTTGCGTATGTTGCCCCTTTCGAATCCATAATCCCCCTATTCCTGAGATAGCACCCCACTAACTCTTGGGTTCCAGTGTCATTGCCATCTCCATCGCTCGACTCGTTCTCGTCATCTTGGGTCAGTGGGAGAGTGATGAATCGTGGTCATACGACCCCATGCTCGGAGTTGAAGCATCGGAGATTGGGGCGACGTTGATCGCCTTGTCCGTGCCGGGAGCCAAGCCGCTTTTCGACAAGGTATTCTTCAAGAAGGATGACAGCCAGACGAGCGGCGCGTCCCATTACGGTCGCAAAAGCAGTTTTCGTTCTCGGGGGACTGCTCTCAGCACGATGAGGTTTCGCTCCGGCAGCCAGAACAGCATCCTAGGGGATCCGGAAGAGGAGGGACCCAAGTACGGACCCGAGGCGGTGGCCAGTGCCGGCAGCAGGCATGCCAACGACTCAGAGGGCATCTACGTGCAGATGGACTTTGAACTGAAGGAGGCCCGGGTGCATACAAATACTACGACGCCGAGCCTGGAAAGCCGGTGAAAGAAGAACGAAGTCATGTCTTTGCAATGTATATATGTTTATTTTCCCCCATTGTGCTTGTCGCCATTGTATATGTTTTGGGCGGCGATTTGCGCGTCTCGTCATAGACCTCTAATGCTTATGATATCTGATGGCTTGCAAAATGGAGAGCAAAGGCGTTGGTCAGTTGCTTTTATTGTTGACGGCAAGTCTGGCTGTGGAGGACGGCGGAACAAGAATATATTCAGGAGGACGGATTACACGCCCTCAGTCCCCAGTTTACAGCCTCAAGAAGAGTTGACATTCAATCCCGATGCGAACTGGAAGCTGAGCGAACCAAATAGCGCAAAAGGGCCATGCAACCCGTCGGATGGGGATTTTCAAGACTAGCAGTGACTGAAAAGATGACAGAGGGGACTCCACGTGGGCCTCGAGTCAGGTCGGTATGCCTGCACATGCAGGAAGGGCCCTGTCCTGTCCGCCCTGAGCTGCGGGCTGTCTGCAGGAAGATGGGGAAGAATAGGAGAGTTGCGGAGGGGGAGAAGGTTCTACGGAGAGTTCTGTGGGTTTGACAGTGCTGATCAGTAGATGGATGAAGCCGTATGGGATTTCGTAAGGAAGCCGGAATTGGATGCCTTTTTGATGGGCTTTGGCTAGGCTCTGTATACTAGAAAGGCTTGATGCATGTTCCTTAACTGAGAGTCTTTGACATCGTACGAAGCACCCATCATATTACCGGGGATGTTCTGGAATTGCTCTCGGCTCCGAGTTCATGCCGGATGATGGATGCCGTGAAACTCCCCGGACTGCGTACCTTGCATTTCAGCGCGCCCTGCCTCCATACAAGGTGCAGATATCAAATTGCAGCAACATGAACTCCCTTATGCCTGAGTCAACCATCGTACGATATCGACTATTGAATGCAGGCCGCAGGAGGATGTCATTGATGCATTGATGCAGCTTCGTTTGACAAGTTCATGGTCGTTTTCCGAGCTCAACTGGATACCTAATAGCCTGCCCTGCCCGCGGATTTGGCTGCGCTCTTTTTTCGCCGGCTGGGCCGAACAAAGTCTTGAGATGCCCACATCGAGCGCCCACCTTTCGGTCTTTCGTGTTCAAGTTTAGCAGGGGTCTTTTGTCACTTTCTTCTCTTCCTTTTTCTTCTCTTTCTCGCCTGTTTCGTTCGTTGGTGTTACCTGTTGGACCTGGAAGGCGCAAGGCTTTGTGTTGAATCAAGGCACGGCTTGTTTTCTGATTCATGCTCTTTGCCTCCCGCTTTGGTGCGTGCCGTGCCGTGTCTATACTGTACAAGTATTCCCGTGACATTTTGCTTCAACCTCTGTCTTTTTTTGTTCGAGCCCACAGGCATCTCATTTGTAATACAAAGTACGTTCAACTCAACTTATCAGGTTCGTGTTGGTTTCCCCTCTAGTACAAGGTCAAGTCTCGGTGTACTAGCTGTTAATGTCTCGCGACGCACCGTATTAGACAGCTGGAGCGCTTTCATTTCCTTCTTCTTCTCTAGTAAGAAGCAAGCACAGAAGCACCGTTCTCACGCAGTTGACGACGATTCATTGCGTGATTGGATGCCTCTCTGCTGATATTCTGGAGCCCCTTCCGGTGACCATTGTCCAAGTCCCAGTAGCGGCCTGCGAGGCTCCAGCCGGTGCGTGGCCAGCAGGGAAGCCCCCCCTGCAAGTCGCCAAGGTCCCCTGGAGCGTTCGCTAACCGGGTGGAGGGACGCGCTGTAGCCGCTGTAGCCAAGATGGTGAGGCGAAGAGGCGAAGAAGATTCATGCTGTGGATGGAATTCGATGGGCCCTGGAGAACGGCGCGGAAACCCGTACGAGTACGATATGGAAACTCGGCCGCTGGAATGGCCAACCTGAGCCCGCCCAACAGGTCCCTCCATTATCGTCTGATTTGATCCCAGCATGTCTCTGAAGCGGTCTGTTGTTTCTCTGTAAATTGAGGCTCCATCTTCTCCATCTTCTCCATTTCCCGTCCTGCACTAGGCGCGACGCCCAGGTTAGCCGCAGCCGTCTATCCGATCCGTCGCTTCTGCTGCTGCTGCTGTTACGAGACGAGGGAACGGGCTATTGTCAGTTGAAGCGGTCTGTTTCTTCTGCATCTTCTTGTTCTATGCTGGTCCCGGCCGGTTGGACTCATTGCTGGATATCCGCATTTGATTACCTGCCTGTTCCTGGTCCGCCATGCTTGGTATCTGGTCCTAGTCGCGGGCAGTTTATTAGAGCATGTACATGGACTACTACTGCTAGTTGCGTGAACACCTCGTCTGTCTGCCGTTTGTTTTGTTTCTCATTTATACCCTTGCGAGCGCTTCTCTCTGTCTTTGCCGCTTCTTTTTTTTTTTGTCCCTCACCTCTGCCATCCTTCTTCCCTCCTCCCCCTTCCCTTCTCGATATCATCCTCGTGATATCTTGATCCTCTTCCGCCTCACATCCCCAGCCATGCGGTCCCAATTCGCTTGGTCGGCCTTCGTTGCCGCTGCCGCGGCGCTCGACGTCGCGCAGGTCTTCCCTATGACGCCCAACCTGATCCCGCTGCAGCAAAATGCCGGCTCGGACAACCTGTTCCCCATGGCCGACTGCTTCGGCTTCAAGCTGCACGAGGCCACCATCGACGAGATGCAGGCCGCCATGGCCAAGGGCAACCTGACCTCGGTCCAGCTGGTCAGCTGCTACCTGACGCGCCAGTTCCAGACGCAGCAGTACCTCAAGTAAGTGAATGACGAGCTCTTATCGATTTGTATCAATTGTGCCTCCGTCATCGTATCGTATCGATCGATCTTCGGCTCGGGTCGATCCCATTATGTTCCGTGGTCGGCTGGCCGTTGGCTTGGCTCAACTTCGCTTGACCCTGTGGTGTGACACCATCAACAGAACTATCAGCGCCCCCCTATTTCATGTCACATCGTAGCCTCTCACCTTCTAGAAGCATCATGACTAATCCTCCTCTCCAGCGCCATCATCCAGATCAACCCCGACGTCTTCGCCATTGCCTCCCAGCGCGATGCTGAGCGCAAGGCCGGCAAGGTCCGGGGCCCTCTGCACGGCATCCCCTTCATCGTCAAGGACAACATCGCCTCCAAGGACAACCTGGACACCTGCGCCGGCAGCTGGGCCCTGCTCGGTAGCGTCGTCCCCCGCGATGCTCATGTCGTCAGCAAGCTGCGTGATGCCGGTGCCGTCCTGTTCGGCAAAGCCGCTCTCAGCGAGTGGGCGGACATGCGAAGCAACAACTACTCCGAGGGCTACTCCGGCCGCGGTGGCCAGTGCCGCAGCGCCTACAACTTGACCGTCAACCCCGGTGGCAGCAGCTCTGGCAGCGGAGTTGGTGTTGCGGCCAATGTCATTGCCTTTGCTCTGGGCACGGAGACTGATGGAAGTGGTGAGTTGAAGAGAAAGAAAAAGATGCTGACGCGTTAAGAAATAAGCTTCATCTGTGCTGACATCTTGGACAGTCATCAACCCTGCTCAGCGCAACGCCATTGTCGGCATCAAGCCCACCGTCGGTCTGACGTCCCGCGCCGGCGTCATCCCCGAGTCCGAGCACCAGGACTCCGTCGGCACCTTTGGCCGAACCGTCCGCGATGCCACCTACGCCCTTGATGCCATCTATGGCGTTGATCCCCGAGACAACTACACCCTCGCCCAGCAGGGCCTCACTCCCAAGGGCGGATACACGCAGTTCCTGTCCAACCGCACTGCCCTCAAGGGCGCCACCTTTGGCGTCCCCTGGAAGAGCTTCTGGGTCTACGCCGATCCCGAGCAGCAGCAGATCCTGACCAGCCTCCTGAAGCTCATCGAGTCTGCCGGCGCCACCATCATCAACAACACCGAGATCACCGACTACCAGACCATTGTCAGCCCCGACGGCTGGAACTGGGACTACGGCACCACCCGAGGCTTCCCCAACGAGTCCGAGTACACCTACATCAAGGTCGACTTCTACAACAACATCAAGTCGTACCTGTCCGAGCTCACCAACACCAACATGCGCTCTCTTGAGGATATTGTCGAGTACAACAACAAGTACCCCGGCACCGAGGGCGGTTACCCCATGCCCGACGGCACCCCTGCCTTCTGGTCCGGCCAGGACGGCTTCCTCGCCTCTCTCGAGACCAAGGGCGTCCAGGACGAGACCTACTTCCAGGCCCTCGAGTTCTGCCAGTCGTCCACCCGCAACGGAATCAACGACGCCCTCACATACAAGGGCAAGAAGCTCGACGGTCTCCTGGTGCCCCCCGATGTTGCCCAGAGCATCCAGATCCCCGCCCAGGCCGGCTACCCTGCCATCACCATCCCCGCCGGCATCCACTCCGACTCCGGCATGCCCTTTGGCCTGGCTATCCTGCAGACTGCCTTTGGCGAGGACAAGCTGATCAAGTACGCCAGTGCCATTGAGGACCTGCAGAAGAGCAGCAACACGCCCTACAAGCGCACCCTGCCCACCTGGCGCGGTTACCTGGAGAGGAACCTTCCCGTTCCTCTGTAAGCTGCTGTGCAGACGCAAGGTTCATCATAGAAAAATACAAGAAAAGGTACAAAAAGTCATGTCGTTATGATATATGCTCTTGTATATAGATATATACACATACCCACTTACATAATGAATAGTCTTAATATCAAAGTTCAAATGAAATTTTGAAATCAGGTGTAATGTCGAGAGTAGGAAGCTTGAAGAACAACTAACAAATCTCTTATAATGGACAAGCTACTTTCTGAGATAGATTATAACAGAACAGCGTCTTAGCAGTTTTACTGTCGTGACATTGATCAACCTCCATTGATTTCTCCGCTAACAGAGATAAACTGTCCCGTAATCCAGCGACTCTTCTCACTAGTCAGAAGCAGAACTGCGTCAGCTATGTCCTCCGCCGTACCGATTCTCTCCTCGTTTCGAGTGAGCGAGACGAGCCAGTCAGCCAGGGCCGCGGCTTGGGGGGTATCCGGAAGGTTGTCCGTTTTGACGGGGCCGGGAGCGATGGTGTTGATGGTGATGTGCTTGCCGTCTCGACCGATCTAGAAACAAGTATCAGTTCCCAATGCCAGAGGGCTTATGAATCTTCTCCTCTTTGACATTATATCATAGGAACAAGAGAAATCATTCACCTCGCGGGCCAGAGACCACGTCAACTGATCCATGGCAGCCTTCGCAGCAGCATAAATCGGCAGAGCACTGAGGCCCAATCTGGATGCTACGGTACCGATGTTGATGATACGTGAATACTTCGGCATGTGAGGGCAGGCCTCCTGGAGGAGGAGGACGGGTCCTATGACGGAGACTTGGAATGCCCTGGTCATGTCCTCTGCGCTGGTGCGGAGGGCTGGGCCGATGATTGCGGCGGCTGCGTTGTTGACTGGTTGGGCAGATTTGTCAGTTCATATTCTTCTTCTCTGCGGTTGCCATCCTTGTGGGTATAAGAAGAAGCTGCTTTGTCATACCAATGATATCAATGTGATCAACCTTGAACTTATTCAACGCCTCTCCCACAATCATCTTGCAGCCCTCTGTGGTAGAGACATCAGCCTTAACCACGATAACACTATTCTTCCCCGCAGCGGCTTCGATTCTAGATCGAACTGTTTCTGCGCGAGGGGAGGTGGCGTCGGAAACGTAGTTGATCACCACGCGAGCACCAGCTTTGGCGAGGGTCAGGGCAATGGCTGCGCCGATGCCGTTTTCGCGGCCGGAGCCGGTGATGATGGCGACTTTGTTGGTGAGGGAGAGGCTGTCTGCCATTCTGGATATTTCAAAGGACTGGTAGCGTTAAAGAAACGGCTTCTCGTGGGAAGTGTCTATGCTGTGAACTCTGGAAGATGGCTTATATGCCCTCATATAAACCAGAATTACACAGTTCGCACATCCGCTGTGTGCCTGCAACTTGAGAACAATAAATTTGACGATGATATTCTATTACTCAACCTCGTCATCGAATTGACACCATAATTCATTTCCCACGATATCTTCTTCTCCTTTACCGCAGGACTACCTGTCAGACCGTAATATCTGCTCCAACAGCTACTAGTACATCGAATAGATGGCGGCCAACCGCTCGCAGCCAGGTTGCCTAAAATGGCAAGTGTGGCAACCCCAAATAGGACGTCGGTCCTCCTTGTCCCACACATAGATTGACGACGTTTGGCAACTTCTTCCGAGAATTACGCCAAAATCTTACAGATTATGGTTAGTTGTCACTTGGTTGCAGAGAGGCTCTATTAAGGGTCAACCTTGAAGCTATGATAGTTATGGTTGAGAAGTTAAGGGAACTGATTAGTAAACTTCCGTGGAATCGTTGCTGTCCGGAGAGGATGAGAAAAAAGGCGATAAAATGGCAAGAAGATGCGATGCAGAAGAGCAGTTAATTGACTTTGTCTTGCTATATCAACCTGCTTACATCCAGTCGAGGACACAGTACGCATCAAGTCTCCTCACTCAAATCCAAATCTACACGTCCTATGCATCAAGCCATTCTCATCAGGATTCCTAAGAGATCGTGATCGTGGTCATATCACTGAGCTTACAGAAATACGGCACTCCAAGACTTACTGAGTACAGCCTCTCATCAGAAATATGACGAAACTCATTGTCATCACAGGCATCACCGGCGTCCAAGTAAGCGCTCCTCCTCATCCACCCATCTCTACTCCTTACTGATCATCCTCCAGGGCAGCTCCGTGGCTGATGCCTTCATAAAAGATCCAAACTACACCCTCCGCGGCGTAACTCGCAATCCCGCCTCCGAGGCAGCCAAAGCATGGGCGTCCAAAGGCGTAGAAATTGTCCAAGGAGACTTTGACGACATCGAATCCCTTGAAAGAGCCTTTCAGGGTGCTAATGTCATCTTCGGAGTCACTGATTTCTGGAACATCTGGGATGATTCTCGTAGCAAGAAACTGAGAAGGCCTGGGCAGGAGCTTGTGGAGTATTGCTATGAGGTTGAGCTGAGTCATGGGAAGAATCTTGCTGATGCCGCGGCCTCGACGGCTTCGACGTTGGACATGTATGTCTTTAGCTCTATGGCTGATGCGACCAAGTCGAGTGGCGGAAAGTACAAGACGCTGTATCACGTGGACTCAAAGGCTCATGCCGCAGTGTATGCGCAGAGCCTCGAGGCGCTGAAGGACAAGTTCTCACAGGTTCAGGCTCCGGTGTATTTTCAGGTTGGGACGGAATGGGGGTTGCCTATCACACCAAAGAAGGTAAGCTTCACGCAGAGTCTTTTCACATAGTTTGCCTCTTGAACTGACGTATGTTGCTTATAAGCAACCTGACGGCACTTATCGCATGATGGGCCCCGGACCAGGCCACAAGCCTATCCCTTTTGGTGACGTCCGCACAGATCTCGGCCCTTGTGTCAAAGCTCTTGTTGAGGAAGCCCCTCCGAACACAAACCTCTTTGCTGTGGGAGAGTACCTTTCCTGGACGGATTACCTCCGCATTATCTGCGAGACAAAGGGTCTCAAGTATGGAGGCTTTGATGAGCTCACCTACGAAGAGCTTACAGAAATTTTGCCAGGTGGGCTGGGGCATGAGTTTGGTCTGAATGTGTTTTTTGCGTTTGAGTTTGGGTATGAGGTGACTGAGCCGGGGATTGTTGGGCCGGGACAGGTACGTGATGCGCATATTCTAGACTCGAAACTAGGAACAGAACTAAGAGCTGATTTGGCTGTGTAGTATAGGATCAGATTGACCTCCTTTAGGGAGTACTGCGAGAAGACTGACTTGTCTGCTGTGTTCAGTAGTAATTGATAGCAGGGATCCTGTACCCAGATATGAGATGCAAGGACTACGTATATATGTGTTATTGCATTACAATACTCTCTGATTATGTCGTCATCTGTGATCATAGTGTACATTATACGGACCAGCCGCTATGAGGACAAGTACCCACGCTGTTCAGCTGCTCGTCAAATGATTCCCAAGGCATATCACCGACGTCCTGCCATCCCGTGGCCACTGCCGTCCACATATCGTGAAAGACCATGTCAGACATGTCAGAATCGGTCGACGGTTCCGACGGCGCGAATTCTGAACTCCATTGTGCGTCAGCCAAGCTCGAGCCGCCACTCATCATGGGGCATCCAAATGTCCTGCTGCTTGGGATCGTCCGTTCCTCCCCGAGTGAACTCAGTCGACGGTTGAACTTTGATTTGAGAAGGCCAAAGACGACGCGGTTGGCTGAGAGGATGCCGTTGGAAGCGACAGCCGTATCGGCATCACGCGAGACTTTAGACAGGAACTGGTCAAGCTGCATCTCAGAGCTTGCCCAAGTCCAGTTAAAGTCTGGACAGAGGTAGAGCGGAAAGGATAGCCGGAATGCCAGCGTGAGGACGACGATGAGCCGCGTCCAGTCGTTTACGGTAAACGAGAGCAGGGAGTTATCATCCAAGTCGCCTACGTAGTCCAAGTACGCCCGGATCTTTTTCGTAGCGCTGTATATATTTGGTATTGGCGGCGGGATGCGTACGCTCTTGACGACGGATGACAGCGTTTTTGCTACGGGAAATTCCAGTAAGCTGCCGGCGTCGAAGAAAATGTCGAGGAACAATGTCTGCATTCGAATGGGTTCCTTATCTTTCTTTTTGTGAGCATATGATCACACTGATATTGGCATCATCCTACTTACCAAAGGCCGCAGGGCATGTGGCTAGGATATTGCTTCGTATTTGTTGGTACCGTTGCTCAAGCCCCACGAGGATCAACTGGCTGTTTCGCACAGTATCCTTCACCCTCTCGTTCATGGCATCCGAGGCATCGGAACATAGAATAGACAAGCGTACCATAGCCGCGAGTATGCGGTCACCTTCTGTTTGAGCATTCTGTTCCAGAGTGTCAAGGGCAACGTTGGCCCAAGGAGGGAGGCGAGTTGGCACGCATCTTTCTCCTTTCCATACAACGACGTATCTGACAATAGACGAATGTTAGAATTGCCCACAGTATGAATGATATCAGTGTAGAATGACTCACGTAGAGACGAGATACACGTAGGCGAGATAAGCACGAATCTTATCCAGTTTCTCCTCTGTCACTCTTTGCCCCCACACATTAGATGCGAGGAAATTCTCATCCAGGCCGAGCTCATGGATGATGTCCGCAGCCATACGGACGCAGTAAGCCAACTGTGCGCTTTTAGGCTTCAGATGGAAGGGATACCTAGTGGCGATCCGTGAGCGGGAGAAGGGGAGCCATATCAGATCGGTCGACTTACCATGCACAGTATATCAACAAGCCCTGTAACAACTGGATACTTCTCTCTCCGCCTGACACATATTTGAGGCCCAGAACTCTCAGAAACTCTTCATCGTACAACGAGTGTTTCTGCACAGTTCTCGATCTTGAGGCCACGGTCAAGATGGCCAGTAGAATAAAAGGCCTCGTGGAAGCCACATGCGTGACGGTCGAGCCGGCAGGCAGGGATACAAAGGGTATGTAGTCCACCATGCAGTCAAAGGAGTTTAGGAGAGCCTCGGCTGAAGCCAAGTTGAATTGGGGCTTCCGCCATGTGTCGAAAAGAGAGCGAGACTGGCTTGACGAGGTCGAGCAGATGGACTCACTCGGCGTCTGCAGGATGTCGTTCGTCAAGTTGGTCTCGAGCAAATTGTCAAACGCACTGTTGTGCACTTCACGGAGAGTCGCGAAGCCATCATCAACATTTGGCCGGGGAGGCACAAGATAGTTGATACTGAACGTGCTGGACTGGCCTAGAGCCTCTGGCGACGGTTCCGCATCTGAGCTTCTGCGATGAGAAGCAATGTGTTAGAGAGAGGTGTCAAGGAGATAAAAGACTCAGACCAAATTCATGTACTGTGAGCCTTACGATACCGCTCTCCGTGCTCTACGAGGCCGAGCCTTGGTCCGAGACACGCACTCTCTCCTCGATGCAAGACACCTGTCGGATATAAGTAAAAGGAAAACCGACACTTGTTTCTGTTCCACACTTGCTTCCTACACACGCCCGGCTGCTCACTAGGTTGACACTTGGCCTTGGCTGCACGGCAGTGTTCGCAGGCGGTCGAGTTCCGCTTCAAGACGGGCTTTCGCGTTGCTGATGAGTCTCGGTCCATTGAGGAAACTAGTATTGCCGATATCAAGGCCGGGAACATGAAATAATGCAGAATCGAGACGGTTGACGTAAGTCTTGAGTTGTGAAGTTGTTGAAGTTGTCTTTGAGAAAGAGAACAAGGGACGCCATTGAATGAGGACGCTGTACGTACATGTAACTGAAGTGGTTTGTCATGAGGCTTGCTTACGTAGGGAGACGGCGGCGGGGATGCTACATCCGTGTGGGTGCCGGATATAGCGTCTAATGCTGTTGGTTCAAGAGCCGTGAGATGAAGGTTGATGTGGATTGCTTCAACATGACTGGGTGACTCACGAGTGCGGTGGACTTATTTGTAACGTTCCCGATCCTTTCTTGTTCCTATTTATTCAGAATTGCCCCGTCGTTGTCCCTCTTCAACCTTTGCCACTCGGCATGATGCCTCAATGGGACATACCAGTGGTCATTCATATGTTGTTGTGTGCCGAGTCCCCTGCAACAGGAGCTTCATGTTAAAGGCCATGAGGTTGTCAAACCATTTCCAGAGACAGGATTTTCCGAATTTGACTCATTCCGCATCGGCGATACCGTTCAAAACACCGTTCGGGTTACAATCGTCCAACAGACAATCCTTCACGATCCTCACGGACGCTTGGGGCACCCTGGTCAATCTTCGACACTAATCCCGCCATCTCAAAAGGATCCCGCAAGACCCGGTTCAGTACAGCGGCTTCTGTGGCAGTGTGTTGGCGAGATTGCAGAGCGCTCCAGCTATGCCAGAAAGCGACACAGCGCCTCGGCAAAAGGACGAGATATGTAGCTATCAGACGAAGTCCAAAGATCTCACACATCTTTGATATTGCAGCTTACGCAATCGAGCTCCTGCAAGCTGCATGAATTAGAAATCTCAGCATCCATTCGAGCTCGGCTAAAGTGGTTGTTGGCATCAGGATCACTCCAGATGCTCTGCTGAAGATAGCCGTCGACAGGTTATAAGCCTCACGGCACCCAATTGCGGGATCTGAGACATTGCGTTCCCTTTCACGATATCCGGAGGAAAGATATTGGATATACATACCTTGTACAATCACTCTTGAGTCTCCGTTCAGCTTCTTTCTCCCTCCTTCCCCTAACGCTAGATACCGCTAGATCAAAGAGCGGTCCACAGCGCAAGAGAAGATATCGCTGCTATATGCATCTTCATTTCAATTACATCGTTGCTGCCTTCATCCGTGCTATATCGGTACGTCTCATCTACCAGGCATCTTCATATAGATATCCTGCGGCAATGGCTTCAACTTCCGCCATCTTCCACAGAGCATCCATTCCAAAACCCCCAAACGGACCGGCAAAAAGTTCGACACCAATGGCAACGTGCTGCCATCTCCAGGCATTACGATCATCTGCCATCTCCCGCAGGACAACCAGCTATACAAGGCGCATTTGCCAATCACTCCAGCAGAGCCGATCACCAAGGTCTACACTCTTCTGCCGCTACCGAGTTGGGATATGACAGTCTTCGAGGGCGTCTGCGATCTGAGATACAAGCCTGAGCATCTGGCACGAAGGTCTGGCTCTTGATGCACCGTTACAGAGCTGTCACAATCCCTTCCGCGAAAAACTCTCCGAACTCTGACCTTGGAATACAAGCGCCTCTGAAAATGGCCGTTTTAGGACTGATCATGAGCCGAGCTGCCATTTGCCTCGACTTAGACCCAATTCTCGCCGCAGAGAAGAAGGCATGAGAAGACTCCGCAATAGGTTGTCTGATCCGGTACAACTTTGATCCAAAAGGGACGAGACGTATGTCTTCCATCTCGCCCTTGCGTAGGCTTCGACTAGCTATTTGACGGTGCAAGATTCCCCAGCTCAGACCTATCTCGTAGGGATATGTCCCTCCACAACTTCTCTAATAGCTCCTTGCGCGAGTCTTCCCATATTACTCCCTTGAACGCAATTTGGAACTCCTCCTTTGTCCAAACCATGAGCGATGTAGCAAGTGGTTCCATATTTTCGATAAACCACCGTCTCTCGCTCCATTCGGATGCAGCTCCATATCCCACAAACAATACCCATAACAACCACCGCTGTCTGTATGGGATAGAGTTCCACCAGGCTTTATCTTGCATATTAAGGGACTCTCTTAGCTCCTAAGATAACTTGTACAGCAGCTGGGATCGAATCGGCAGCTCCCTCAGCACCATGTAAAGGTATGTGTAGGCTGCAATAACCATCAGCACAGAACGAGAAGAGATATACTGGTCACCCTTGAGCGCTTCGGATTTATCATTTCGGAGAGCAAGGAGCTCGCATTCGACGCTGTATATCTGCTCGCCGATTGATTTTCGATCCAGGCCAGCATGGTGTTTTGAACTGAAGGCTGTAGATATGCGTCTGAGGGAACGTAAAGCTGGATTTACGGGTGAAGCAGCACCAAAGATGTTCTCCGGAGAGAGCATTTTATCTTGGAGGCTATCAGGCAGACTGGTATCGCTCCGGTCTGCTTCCAAGGGGAGTGGAAATGATGGCTTGGACCCCCAGATGTTGGAGTAAGATAAATCAGCCCTACATTACGGTGAGCATTGGATCAGCCGGTGTCAAGTGCAAGCTTACCATGTTACCACTCCTCGGTGTCCTGGAACTATATTCTTGATGCCTCCTCGATGCTCAACCATCAACTGAAGGCCTTTCATGTGGATTTTGCCCTGATCAAATTGCCCAGCAATATTCTAACGTCATGTCAGTAGTCGAGCCTGTAAGGAATCCGGGGCGAGAATGTGTTGGGTGAAGTCTCACTTCTCTTGCAATGATCAACGAAACAGCAGCAATGAGGGTATCCCTTATGACACCCACCTCGAGACCCTTGTTAATCAAGCGAAATGCCTCTCTTCCGTGGTAAAGGCTTCCAGGAGAATCGATGAATCCGTATCTTAGATTGTAATCGAGGCTGACAAGGTACATGACCGCATGAAACATGGCAACCTCTTCTCTTACGTAGTAAAAGCATTCAGGCGTGAGATTGAGGGCGATACAGTTGACGCTGTATGCATGCTGATCTGTGTAATGAACCGATTAGCCAAATCTTCTCGTTAAAACGAGTTTGTTTGTTTGTTTGTTTGTTTGAGAGCCAAACCGATCTACGAAAGAAGTGGCGTGATGAAACAAAAGTCAAGGGCATTGCACTCACAGTAGAGTAAGAATCTCTCGCCCTCAGGTCCCAGCGGGAACTGAAACGAGTCAAAAGGATCTGAAAATGCTCCACCCCTCATTAGGAGGTTCTTGTCTGGCATCAAACTCTGGCGAATCAACCATGGCCTGTTGATCAGCTGCGCCTCACTTGCCGAATTGCATTCTTTGTTCGTTCTTGGCCCTTTGATGGAACGTCTTGGTTTTGCAGGCTTCTTTTGTTGTCGTGCTTTCGAACCGACCCTGAACTTGCTTTCAAATATCCGCTGCGGCTTCTCCTGAAGATGAGCAGCAGCCATTTTACTTGTTAGTGCGGGATGGTTCTGTCTCCAAACGTAGTCCCGCATAGCCTGACTGCGGACTATTCTGGATACATCCCTATGAGGAGCGTTTGTTGATGTTCCAGTAACTGTGACGAATTCGAGTGGTTGTACATCATATTCATCAGTGTAAGTACGCCTCTCGTCGTGGGGCCTGGACGAGAGATTTACCACAACTGCGCCCCTAATTAACACTCAACTGTGGCAACTGAAGCAAAAGAGAGACGCATACCGTTGTTATGGACGAATCCGGAAGCCCCGAATATCCTCTCTCCACTCATGTTCAGGCGTGTAAGTAAGCGGCAATTGGCAATTGGGGTTGACCAGTCGTAACATGTCAACCAAGGTTATACATGAATTATAGTAATTGCGTAGTGGAAAAGCTGAATGGGAAGAAAGAGAAATATAAGTGGATAGAATAGAATAACCAGACCTTGGATTGTTTCAGTCTCAGCAGGCATGATGAAGCACAATGATGGACATTATTAATCTCTCCTCGTCCCGTTCTCCAACACCTCGTATTAGCTCGTAAACTTGCCCCTCTCTCTTTGGCACCATGGCTGGTTGGCTTAGTCAAAACAACGACCCGTATCATTTTCTTTGCCCAGCCCCTGCCTATCGAATAGAATTCTACCTACTGTTTTAGAAGTCCCAGAATCTGGCGTGTCACTCTCCACCTGAACAATGCCAGTAGATTGAGACCCTACAGCAAGTTATTAGCAGACAAGTAGAGCCCAAAGCCAGGCCAGGGCTAGGTGAGATGGTGTGAAAGCTCTATGGACGCCTCTTGGCGGGACAGCCGCTGATTAATTCGGCAGCCTGATGCCGGCCTGATAGAAACGGTGTGAACGAGCTGGCATCGCGAAAAGTCTAAATTTCTCAGCATCTTCATTAGTGAGCAAAGGGGCGCCTAGATTTTGCTGCCATATCGTAGATGCGGATGGTTAGAAGCATATTATGCCTCGGCGTATATATATATACAGGGGGGAGAAGGGAGAAATTGAATGAGCATCTATCATTGCGTGATACATCATCAGGACTATCACAAGCAAGCGTTGATATACACTCAAGGAATTCTTAGCTTCTCAATCACATCAATGGCTCCCTCGGTGCTCATTATTGGCGCAGGCGGTGCCTTTGGACGACCCCTGGTAGAAGAGTTCGTCAAGCAAAAGGCCAAATTCTCCAGGGTTGGCATCCTCGCCGACCCTGCCAAAGTGTCCAAGTTTTCCGACGCCGCAGCTCAAGGCATCGACATTGTCCCAGGCTCATTTTTGGACCCAAAGGCATATAAGGGTATGCCAACAGCGTACGATCGAGAAGCAAGCAGGCCGTTTACTAACAAGCGGTAGGCTTTGAAGTCGTTGTCTCTCTAGCAGGCAATGCCATTATGAGACTCCAGCCCGCCATGATCGAAGCCGCCATCGCAGGCGGAGTTCGTCACTTCTACCCGTCGGAATTTGGCTCAGACGTCGCCCAGGACAGCCTCAAGACCTTTCGCTATTTCCGTGATAAGCGAGTCACCCGCGATCATCTGGCGGCTAAAGCAAAAGAGCATCCGGATTTTTACTACACGCTGATGCTGACGGGCATCTTCACCGAGTGGGCTGCCGATCCGTTTTACGGCGTTGATGTCGAAGCTCATGTTGCGAATACATATGGACGTCCCGATGCGCAAATCTCTGTGACATCAATTCCTGAGTATGTCGTGTTTTATAGAACATTCACTTTTTTCTTTGTCAATCCCTTCTAACTAGTGGGTGCTTCATTAGTATCGCGAGATATACTGTCGAGTCCATCCTGCTGCCCCTAAACCCCGGTGTCCAAAAGCGTGAAATCCGCGTCACCGGAGAGCGGACCACCTGGCAGAAGTTCATTGATGACTTGGGCGAGGTGCAGGGAGTCAAGTACAAGTGCACCTATCTCGATCCAGAGGAGGCCGCCGCAAGGCAAGACGAAGCCCGAAGGAGCGGTGATGAAGCGGCCGAACTGATGTGGTCAGTTAAGCCTTTGGCTGCCTCCGGAAACGGAATCGTTCCTGGACAGCTGGACAATGACAGATTCTCATTTCGACCGGAGTCTGTGAAGGAAACGTTCCGGCGGGTGTATGGTTAAGAAAGGTTTCTAGATGAATAACCCCGGTTGTTGGACATGAAGAACGCCTGCGCATAATGAAACTATAAGAGCAAATGACATGCATAACTGAAAGTGCTCTTTCCGTAAAGACAGCATGAAGTACTCGATGGTTTTCTCGCCACTGGTGACTGGAAGTCGGCCTGTGAAGCTGCTGTAAAGCCTGGTGACAATGCTGACGGTCAACAGCTCAGGCCTGAAATGGTTAGGATTGAGAAAGTCTCGCTGGGTGATAAGGGAGAGAAGGGTAGCACCTCTGAGGATCATGTTCGTGGCCAACGACATGATCCCGGTGCCCATATTTGTGCTTGTATTCGTGGATCCTGATTCGAAAGCAAGAGGGCTGATCTGGACCAGTGCATCATCAAGTGGTAGACAACTCTCTGACATGATGCAGTTTCTGCTTATCCTCTTCTTACAAATTCAGCCAGAGGTACGCGCATGACTACTGTCTACTGGCATGTTGCTTACAAGAAGCCTTCTATGCTTCCTCGGCAAGTTCCGTAACAGCAGGGCGGGTTCCTTCGATCTCCGACGTTGTCCTGCTGTAACCTGTTGCCCCCATCGTCGGACATACAAAGCAGCTCTGAGCGCTTGCCCCGATAGACGATGCTCCACATTGAAACCCCCCAATTCAAAAAGTTTCCTGATTGAGCAAACGGTCTGCATTAGTTGCATTTAGTCTCTCTGCACCAGGATCCCCAGATTTTCCCGCTTTAGACAACAGTCTCGAGTCTTGCCACCATCCGACAATCAAGATAGTCTAGAGTTGTTTAACTTGTCGGATCCGTCTGACTCAACTGTGACTCGGCTGTTGAACCGCATCTCACGCTATGATAGAGTCGCGTCTGTGTAGGTCGTTGCTGAAAGACATGCTAGTTGCAGCACAATGCCGAGGTTGGTGACGTTTCCTCAACCTTGTGCATGTCCATTTGTATTAGAAATGAGATCGTACAGTTACTTCATGTTACCAACTCCTGAAGTTATCGGGAATATTTACTTCAATGCAAGGGTGCATTCCATGTTTCTTCTGATGCTACCTGGCGCTCTCAGCGCAATGGAACTCGAGTGTATGGCAAGAGATATTTAATGCAGCGTCCACCCTCATATTATCGCCGCATAGCTATCAACATAATTGCAAGACAATCTTCAAGAACAATCTACTCAACCAGCTCACCATCTCACAACGAGGCAAACAGACGTCGATACACTTTCCATCATGAGCGTCACTTTCACCGTCCAACGAGGATCTCAAAGCGGGAAAGTCGTTCAAGGCACCTCCAGCCGACAACTAGGCCGCAACGAGGCCTATCTCAAAATCACACACTCTGGCCTGTGTGGAACAGATGAACACTATCTCCACAACGGAATCGTTTTAGGCCACGAAGGAGTTGGCATTGTCGAGGCAGTTGGCCCAGACGTTACTACCGTCAAGGTTGGTGATCGAGTCGGATTCGGCTGGGTTCACAAGACGTGCGGACGGTGTCAATACTGCCTTACAGGTGTGTTATCCAACTGCTCTCAGACCGGCTGGACCATATCGCTAACCTTGCGAGAGGATTGGACACGTACTGCGAGAACAAGACAGAATTCGGAATCCATGACCATGACGTTGGCTCATTCGCCAGCCACGCCGTCTGGGATGCCGATGCGCTCCACAAGATTCCCGATGGCCTCGATAGTGCTCATGCTGCTCCACTGATGTGCGGCGGAGCTACAGTTTGGACGCCCTTTGCTCTGTATGGCATCCGCCCGACTGATCGCGTCGGCATCGTTGGTGTTGGCGGCCTGGGACACTTGGCCATCCAGTTCGGAGCAAAGATGGGCTGCAAGGTCGTCGTCTTCTCCAGCAGCGAGTCCAAGAGAGAGGACGCGATGAAGCTAGGCGCAAGCGAGTTCCATGTTCTACACGCGGATTCCCCTCTAGAGGGAATCGAGCCGGTCAGGCACATGCTGCTCTGCGGAAATGCGCAACCCGACTACAGCCGGTAAGTTAATAGGTCCGACATTGAGCATAGAGTCATACTAAGAGACTCGATTTCCAGTATCATTCCGCTTACGGCATCGGCCGGCAAGATTTACAACTTGATTGTGAGCTTCGATGCGCCTCCGATGCCAATGCTGCCGCTCATGGCGAGAGGCATCAGCATCCAGGGCTCGGCTGGAGCACCTCGAGCGGAGATCAGGAAGATGCTGGACTTTGCGGTGCAGCATGGAATCAAGCCAACCATCATGACATGGCCATTGAACACCCAGGGTGTGGAGGATGCGATGAAAGTACTGCGAGAGGGCAAGATGAGGTACCGCGGTGTCTTGGTGGCGGAGTAACCCGTGGACATCTAGCGAACAGAATACATATAGATAGCTGTCACTACGAGCGACTAGAGTCACCTTATATTAAAAGCAAACTTTGCATTCTGATCTTGAAGCTGTATTACGAAAATAAGAATACAAGAGATCGTAAACGGATAGTAAGGCTTATAGCAGTGTCGAGCCGTCCTGCTTAGCTGCTTCCCTGCGGACACATCGATTGGGCACAATACAAAATCACCAAGACACAATTGCTTTGCGATATAGGTAGTTTACGTTGTGATCATTGCAAAAGGACAGTACCCAGAGAGTGTAAGAGAGCGATCCATGAATTCAGGGTAACTGGTCAACAATTACGGAGTACTAGGCTAAGAGACGCTCCCGGACGTATTGCAAACCCATCCAATCGCGGCACCGCAATGGTAGATTTTAACAGTTATTGATGCTTAGTTTAGCTATGATACTTCGTCCTGTACTATCATTGTGAAAGCTTAGGGTGGTCCCGTAGTTGTTGCTTGGCGAATGAGGCTTGGCAGCTTAAGTTCTCATGGAATCGTATATAGGCAATGCTCGCGTCTTTCGGTCGAAGTTTCGGTCATTATGTATGTTAACCAGTCTCGTCAGATGTGAGAGTCCTTGTCATCACCTTATATTCAACCTTCATCGAGTCACTCCTCGCTTTAGGCCCCTTCGTTGACTTACATGTTCTACCGCGACTATTGCAACTCTAAATACCTAGGCACGACATCAACGTAGCAGCTCACGCAACTGCTGAGGTCAGCGGCACCAGGTTTCTCCATCTCGCCTCAGCTCAGCTGCAAACATACCGTCCTTTTGTTGTCTCTCCAACATTTCATGCCTGGAAGAGCAGCGGCACCTTCTCAGACTCCTTTGCGAATAGACTGACAATGTTGCCCGAGTTGTCGGGTTCCTCGGAATTCCACAGCTTTGGCCTGCTCGGTTTCTCTATGGCAGACTTGCGGCTCACTTAACGGCGCTCAACCACCCGGATCTTTCTCACAAACTCATTCTAGCTAGAGCTGGTCCCAGCCCCGGGGAAGGCGCCGAGAGTGGAGACTCGGTCACGTTGGGACGTCTTGCCACGGCTTCGAACAATGAAGAAGAGCGCATGCATCGGTTTCTCGGAGGGCTTCCAGTCTCTTACACCAGAAAAGCAATCTTAGGGCGATAAGTGGTGGAAGCGCATGATGACCTATCGTTCAACGGATCGGACAATGTCGGGCCTGAAGAGACGGAGGCCCATACTGATGCTTTCCTCTGTTGGGCGATCCTGGAGGATGCATCTGGAGGCTCCCACAGCTGACTGCACGAGATCAACAATTCTGCCCTTGTCGCGAACGACGGCATGCTAATTCCTACAAGCAGCAGCTGGATCACATTCAAGAGACTAGCCAACGCTGATGGCCGCCTCCATCTGCATCTCGACGTGGGACATGGCTTCTTAAAAGTGTATGCGGCCCATGTTTGGAGCCTGGTGAACCATCTCTTGGATTTCTAAGCATAGCGAGATTTCCAAGCGGGCTCGTCTCCGCTCAAACCACGTTATGCGTTCATAATGATTCCCTTTACTCTCCCACAAAGCATAAACGTGAAGCTATGGACAGCTTGTCGACTTTCACGTGAGAGACCAACATGACTGTAGTCATCCTGTTGTTCATGATAACTACTAGTCAATATGCTCATAAGACCCTTTACCTCATTTGTTATAGAATCATTGCCGAGTTGTCACAATGTAGTGCTACGACCATACTCATGAAATCTCCAAGTTAAGCGCCTTCAAGAATTCAACAGCGAGAAACACTGTCACGCCGCTTTGGCCCAAATGCTGCGACAAGGAATCTGGACAAGAACATAATTCCGTCTTCATTCTTGATATATTTGTTGTAAATCTGCAGCCATTTTGCCGGAGTCTCCCAAGAATTGCAATCTTTCGACATTTGAAAAGCCTCGGGATCCTTGAAGGCCCCCAGAGTCGAGGTTCGTCCCCTTAGTAGACCATTTGCCGAATCGGGCAGTTGGTGCATAAGCTCCACCAATCCTGCGCGCCACAAGGTGTCGGTTGAAGAGCTGAGAAAAGCTATGTAAGCTGCTACTGCACCGCTGTCTCGAAACTGCAAATGGTGGTAGTTGTTGATGATGGAACAACTACGCCTGACAAACATGAGAGACAATTTGGTCTTGCTGTAGAATGGAAACTTCTGGGTTTCTAATCCTGAATATGCGGAGGCTGATTAATCTTGAGGATGGCTTCTTCTTCCAAGCACGCTCGACGATATTGTATAAGTATCTGCTGAAATCCTCGCCATGGAGAAAAAGACTTATAACATATATCTCGAGCACTTCATCACAACTGCCACAACCATCACTATCACAGCAGCGACTCTTCTTGACACCCGCAACCTCATCTACCAACAATGGCGAAGAACGACCTCCTCGTCCTTACTGGAGCCACCGGCTTCCTGGGCTTCAAGACCCTAGTCTTGGCCCTTGAAGCAGGCTACAACGTCCGCATCGTCGTCCGATCCGCCGCCAAGGCCAGTAAGGTCCTCAACTCGCCCTCCATCAAGGCATTGAACCCTTCCGCAGAGAAGCTCTCCCACGTTATCGTCGAGAACATGGAGATTCCCGGTGCCTTTGACGAAGCCCTCAAGGGAGCGACCTATGTCATCCACTGCGCCTCTCCCATCCCCAGCTTTGGCGGCGAGGCTGTTACTCAGGAGCAGTACAACGAGTACTTCATCCAGCCTGCTGTCCGAGTGACGATTGGGCTCCTTGAAAGCTGCCGCAAGGCTGGCACCATTCGACGCGTTGTCATCACCAGCTCCGTTGCCGCCAATATCCCCTGGCAATACTACCTTGGCCAAGGAGACGACAAGATCTTCACCGCCGAGAGCCGCATTCCCGTCGACAAGGGGCCCTACGAGTCCGAGTTCCAGGCCTACAGCGCCAGCAAGGCCGCTGCTCTGAACGAGTCCGAGGCTTGGATCGCAAAGAACAAGCCCAACTTCGACCTCATCAGCATCCTTCCCGGCTGGATCTGGGGCTACGACGAGCTGGCCACGTCGCCCAAGGACTTCGAGTCCAGCTCGACCAACTCCGTCCTCCTGGGTTTCCTCCGAGGCTCTCAGACCACTGTCGGAGCCCACAGCAATTCAGTGCTGGTTGACGACGCTGCAAAGATCCACGTCTTGGCTCTGGATCCCAAGATTCCAGGCAACCAAGCCTTCCTCGCCGTGGCGGATAGCGTTGACGGTAAGCCGTGGGAAGAAGCCATTCCCATCCTCAAGAAGAACTACCCGGAAGCAATCGAGAAGGGACTCCTGAAGACGACTGGAAAGCAGCCAACTATTTACATCCGCCTCGACGGTAAGAAGACGGAGCAGACTTTTGGTTTCAAGCTTGCTGGGTATGAAGAGCAGGTCAAGAGCTTGGTGGACCAGTATCTCCAGATTGTCAAGGCTTAAGAATGCATTTACCTAGATTAGGCATCCTTTTTAATCCCTTCTGAGCCATCAGTCCAACTTTATTCTTAACATGGACGTGAATATGCCCTTGCAATGTCTCAAGACTCTAGATTTGCGCTATCATGCCTTTTCTCTATAGATACATGTTTACTTGCAATCATAACAATACCTCGGCATATACAGACACCAAACCGTGTTCTACAACTTGGCAAACAGACCCTTTGTCGCTCCTTTGCCGAGCTGAACCAGGGTGCTCTTAATCCGCATATAAGCCTTGATGCCCTCAAAGCCATTCTCAACGCCGATGCCACTCATTTTCCATCCGCCAACGGGCATCTCAGCCGGAGACTCTCCCCAGGTGTTGATCCAGGTTATACCAGCTTGTAGCTCTTTCACCACGCTCTGTGCCAAACTCAAGTCCGTAGCCACCACGCCGGCAGCCAGTCCTGTCTCGGTGTCATTTGCCCGACGAATGAGCTCTGGCAGCCACTCCTCCTGGGATCTGCCTTGCGTCTTGTACGGCAATATGGCCATGACGGGGCCAAAAATCTCTTCGCGCACAATCCGCATGTCATCGGTGCAGTTGGTGAAGATGACGGGCGGGACCCAGTATCCCTCGGGTGTCGGTTTGTGCTTCTGGGCATCGACAGCCCCATCGTATAGGACCTTTGCTTTATCTGTCTCCTTGCCATGTCGAATGTACATGTTGACCTTGTCTCGCTGAGCGGAGCTGACGACGGGGCCAAAGTTTGTCTTTTCGTCTTGGGGCAAACCCATTCGGATGCCCTCCCGGCAGCGCTTGACAAGGGCCTCCTCGACGCGCGACAATAACGTATCAGGGATGAACACGCGGGTGCCATTTGTGCAGACCTGGCCGGTGGAGAAGAAGTTGGCCGCCATGGCAACATCAGCTGCCTCGTCGACATCGGCATCTGGGAGGACAACCAGCGGGCTCTTGCCACCCAGCTCCATGGTGATGCTCTTCATGCCCTTGGCCGCCTCGCTGGCGACTTTGCTGCCCGTGCTGACCTGGCCTGTGAAGCTAACCTTGGCGATACCCGGATGAGCGACAAGGGGGGCTCCCACGCTGGGGCCATCGCCGTAGACGACGTTGAAAACTCCAGGCGGCACGCCGGCTTCGATGTAGATCTCGGCTAGTGTGTTTGCATGGAGAGGCGTCACCTCGCTCGGTTTGTATACCATGCAGTTTCCGGCGGCGAGACAGGCGGCAGACTTCCATAGCGCAATCTGGATCGGATAGTTCCAGGCGCCAATGCCGGCGCATACTCCCAGAGGCTCATGGGTGGTGAGGACGTATGCGTCTGGCCGTAGTGTCGTGTGCTGGCCGGGCTGGCTGTTGGCGATGAAGTGCGCGTAGTATTCGAGGACGTCGGCCCCAGTCACCACATCAACTGTCGACGTCTCGGACCAGGCCTTGCCGGTGTCGAGCATCTCGGTGCGGGCGAGCGCATCGTTTCGCTCTCTCAGAATGGCGGCAGCTCGAAGAAGGATAGAAGCGCGTTTGGGGGAAGGCGTTTTCGACCATACTGGAAATGCTTTTTGAGCAGAGGAGACAGCGTCGTCGAGCTGTGAGGGTGTCGTGGTGTAGACTGTAGCCAGCGGTTTGGCGGTACTGGGATCGATGGACTGGAAGGTGTGGGATCCAGAGGATTGGGGCTGTGGCTTTCCGGAATAGAAAGTATGGATTTCTTTTGAGAATGTCATCTTGGGAGACGATTGTGTGCGCTTAACCTATGGTCTGTCACAGGTTATGCTTAATGTCATGAAGATTGCAGTTTGGTGTTGTTGGTGAGAGAAAGTTGGAGTTGGGAGGAGCTGGACAGTGACGTCGATCTTGTCTGCAACAGTACAGGCTCAGGAACGGGGACCTCCGTCGACCGGCACGCTATTTCATGAGTATTTTCCAAGTCTCTATCAAGTCTCCACAGTGGCTAGGACAGGGTAATTCTTGCTAGCCCAGGACATGACAAGTGATGGCAACTGAGGAGCGAGAAAGAACGAAGTAACACTGTATTGCCTTCATGCAGTACTACTACGAAGCACAACTTCTTGCCTCACCTGTCAGGGACGCAGCAACAGCATGTCACTGTGGGGTTGAACAGACTGGGGCTTTTCAGTCTTGAACGCCTTTTGTCTGGGGCTGAGAGACCGCCAAAGTGCTAGAGAACGACTGCTCAGACACGCTACTGTAGGGCGTGAGAGCGTTTACCTGCATCCGGAAAGCAGGCATGAGACAGGCAATGAAGAGAATTGCAAAACAGACACGAGTGACAGGTGGAAAAAGCCGGGCTACGTCACCGATGGATCCTCGGGGCCGAGATGAGAGGATACCAAGTGAATACTCTTCGACTATCCCGGTCCGGCGGTGGAGCCTCCGAGATGCTGAGCCGACTCGGCTTGGCAGGGAGAGGCAAAGGATTTGTCCTGCATCCGTGCATTCTCGTACGATTTCAACGGGTAGATGGTAGGGACGCAAGGGAGGTACTGTAGGTGATGGTTGTTGACGAAACAAAATGAGTGAAATGTATTGGAGTCTGGCAATGAGCAAAGAGGGAGTGGTTAAGTCTCTCGCGAGGACTTACACGAAATTCATGCTTCTAAATCACTGTTGGGGCTAATGCTCTATCTGGGAAATTCAGCTGTGCTTGAAAATCTCGACAGCCACCGCAGCAATAGTTGTCCCGACTACTACTTGTACTGCTAGCAGTGAGACTCGATGCAAACGACCGCTATATGTTCGTGGCTTGGTCTTCGATACAGTAACGCCAACTGTACAGCGCGAGGCTGGCGAGGTACTTTGGGTGGGGAGCCAAGATCCTTCTCAGGTAACAGCCAATCAGCATCCGCATTACTGCCCGGATCAACCTAGCCCCGTCCCTTAGTCATGCTCCACTCCGCCCTCCTGCATCAGCTAAGCCTGGCTTCAAACTCCTCCGACGCCTCATTTCAGCTAAGATCATCATCTCCTCACCAAACCAACCGCCCGAACTGGCTTATAAACAGCATCAACACCGGCTTCTTCCCCGCAATTCGTGCCGGCGGACGAATGTCGTTCTTGGCACACTGTGCTGCTCGCCCTGGAGACCTCGGACCAACTGCTGGGATGGGCCACAATGTCTTGATAGAGAACTGGATTTTGACGTCATGGCCTCAGACACTGTGCGGCAAGATGCCATTTCAATTCTCCCTTCTTCTCCAATTTCTCCAGACGGTGAAAGGAAACCGTGGCGCCGAACTTTGGGACTCGTTTTGACAGGAACCCTGAAGATCGATCCTATTGGGTAAAAGTGCGTGAGATTCTTTTTTCAATCAGGGACCGTCTCCATCTGGTAACATCTCGTACCATATCGTCTGCCAGGAGAGGCACACATAACACTCCAATCCGCTGATTCCGTCTCCACCGCAAAACGATTCGAAAACGAGGCCATGCTGCTCCATGACGACTCGGGAGCCCGGTGCCAGCCGTGCCCCGTTAGCGTCCATCGCATCTTGTCCTTGGATTTGGATTTGCAAAGGACCACAGCGGTGGCTCTGGCCGAGGACCAAGGCCAAGGGATATGCAGCTGAGGCTGACTCGCTTTGTCTATCACGCTCATAAATATCGCCGCTTTCCCCTGTTCACATGAGTTTGGCCTACTGGTTTTGCTGGATGCAGCCATCCTGTCGATTACACATAGTCTGGACGGATTAGACCAAACTCTGTTCAAGCCCTCGGCTGGCTTTCATATGTAACTTGAGGCTTCAACAAGCGTCGTGGCGTCCGATTTCCTTCCATCCCTAGTCAGGGCAGACTCTTCAAGATCTCCCCGCCTTCGCAAGACACGCACTCATCCATCTACTCCTCCATCCTCATCAGCCTCAACGACATCATGACCACCCGCTCTCTTCCCAGCAATGGCAGCTCTGCCTTTGACTACATCATCGTTGGCGGAGGCACTGCCGGCTGTGTAATTGCCTCGAGACTCTCCAGCTACTTACCCGAGAAACGTGTCCTCCTGATCGAGGCGGGTCCCTCAGACTTTAACCTCAACCATGTCCTTAACCTGCGGGAATGGCTGAGCCTGCTGGGCGGCGACTTGGACTACGACTACGGCACGACAGAGCAGCCGATGGGTAACAGCCATATTCGACACTCTCGCGCCAAGGTCCTTGGAGGATGCTCCTCGCACAATACACTCATTTCCTTCCGTCCATTCCGCCATGACATGGACCGTTGGGTGGCTCAGGGCTGCAAGGGCTGGACCTTTGAGAATGTCACCCGTCACATTGACAACCTTCGCAACACCTTCCAGCCCGTTCATGCACGCCATCGCAACCAGCTGTGCAAGGACTGGGTTCAAGCCTGTGCCTCTGCCCTCAACATTCCCGTCATTGACGACTTCAACGCCGAGATTCGCGAAAAGGGCCAGCTCACGCAGGGTGCGGGCTTCTTCAACGTCTCTTACAACCCGGATGATTGCCGCCGGAGCAGCGCGTCTGTCGCTTACATCCATCCCATCTTGCGCGGTGAGGAGCGGCGGCCGAACTTGACCATCTTGACTGAGGCTCACGTCTCCAAAGTCTTGGTCGAGAACGATGTGGCTAGCGGTATCGTTGTTCACTTGGCTTCTGGCGAGAGAGTGGTGCTCAAGCCCCGGAAGGAAATCATCCTTTGTGCCGGTGCTGTAGACACGCCCCGCCTTATGCTGCACTCTGGCCTTGGCCCTCGCTCACAGCTTGAGGGACTGGGAATCCCTGTTGTCAAGGACATTCCCGGAGTTGGCGAAAACTTGCTCGACCATCCCGAGACGATCATCATTTGGGAACTCAAGAAGCCGGTTCCTCCTAACCAGACAACCATGGACTCGGATGCCGGTCTCTTTCTCCGCCGAGAGCCCACCAACGCCGCCGGCAACGACGGTGATGCTGCCGACATCATGATGCACTGCTACCAGATTCCGTTTACACTCAACACAGAACGGCTGGGCTACCGCAGGATTCAAGACGGCTATGCCTTTTGCATGACTCCCAATATCCCCCGGCCTAGATCCCGTGGCCGCCTCTACCTGACTTCGGCGGACCCCGCGGTGAAGCCGGCGCTGGACTTCCGGTACTTCACCGACCCCGAAGGCTACGACGCCGCCACATTCGTCGCCGGCATCAAGGCGGCTCGCAAAGTTGCCCAGCAAAGCCCCTTCAAGGAGTGGCTGAAGGAGGAGGTTGCGCCCGGTCCTAAGGTGCAGACCGACGAACAGATTAGCGAATACGCTCGCCGTGTCGCCCATACCGTCTACCACCCTGCCGGAACAACCAAGATGGGCGACGTGACCAAGGATGAGGCCGCAGTCGTGGACCACGAGCTCAAGGTCCGGGGTATCGGCAAATTGCGCATTGCTGACGCCGGCGTATTTCCCGAAATGCCTACCATCAACCCCATGCTTACGGTGCTGGCCATCGGTGAGCGAGCCGCAGAGCTGATTGCCATGGAGGAGGGCTGGAAGCCCAAGCCGTCGAAGCTATAGATGAGATGCCCTTATGCTTCACTAGCACATAGATTTTCTGAACTACGAAGGTAAAAAGTAGAGGTAAATGAGACGGGGAGCCTGGCTTGGTCCGGTATAGCCGACCTTGCCGAGCGGTAGAGATGTCGCGATGTATATATCTTATCCAGCCTGTACAATGACCATAGATGAACAAAACCTATACTTATCAAATTTTATGGTTTGGTATCCTGCTGTGCCTCTCTAAAATTGTGAGTTGAATGTGGTATTAATAATGACACTTTTTGCTCTGCTTTCCTTGGACAAGAACGCCTCTCAAAATAAATGAAACCTCTATCGGCCTGTCATTTTACCATTTCCAATCACCCAAGACGAAGCCCATGCCGCCATCTCTGCGTCGTCTTCGTCATCCAACTCTTGTAGACACGAGACGATCTCGTCGACCAGGTGAACAGCACCTTCATCAGATACCCGTTGGCGTGACCCGAACACTCCGATGTCTAGGCTCGTTCCTTGAATGGAGGCTTCGATGTCTATCGCGGCCTGTATTTTATATCAGTATCCCGATCAACAGTTTTGTTGTATATGTTTCAAGAGAGTGAAGATGGGACTTACCGGATACACGTCTCTCACAGGATTCTTCACCACAGAAAGGTGAGATACTGCTTCTTCTTCTTCGTCTTCTTCACCATCGCCATTCGGCATATTTTGCCGAGCAACTTCCTCGTAGTCCACCGGCACCAATTCGATATCCTCCAAGTTACCGTTTGTCTCTTCTTCACCAGAGGTGTTAGGAAGAGTCAGAAAGTTAAAGAAAGACGTAACTTTGACGCCCGTCCAGGCAGCAATCTCCCACAACCCGACATCCGCACGCCCTTCAGCAGCGATGAGATGAATATCCTCCTGTATTCCCCCAGCAATATCGAGAATGCCGTCATCGGGCGCCAGACAAACTCTCAGCGGAACAAGATTCAGCGTCGGGAAGGCTAGTGGAAGAGCCTCGTTGGCCCGATTCGCAAGATATATCCCAAACACGACAATCTTCTTTCCGTCATTGTGTGCAAAACAAGCTGAATCATCATTCGATGAGACGAGTATTTTGGCGTAGGCTGCAAAGAGGAGGGCTTGCAGGCTGATGCCTCTTTCTTTGGCCGCGGTTTGGAGGTATCTAATGTCTGGAACCGCAGATTTTTTCAGATGCGACACTCGGTGTCTTCCTGCCTTGACTGATGCAGAAGAATCGTCGTCGAAGGAGCAGCCTTGCAAGTACGATATCCAGAAACTTCTGCGCGATTGACGGGATTCTTCAAGTGTAGGCTGAATGCTATGTCTCGACCATTCTTCAATACCTTGTTCGATCACGGTATTTGTTCCCCTGAGCAGGTCCTTGAATCGCTCGAGTATGGCCGGGATGCTGACTCCGTCGTAGAGCGCGTGATGAATCTTGAGCCTGATCTCGACGCGGTTGTCATCTCGTTTAGCGGCGTTAAATCGCACCATTGGCTTTGCAGCCGCATCACCAGCGGATCGATAACCCGACTTGAGAATGACCTGCAGGATAGGCTGTTGGGCAGACTTCGTCGCAAGGAAGACAGTTCGCAGAATCGGAGTCTGGGCAACAAGAGACTGCCACGCCAACTGGACCTGCTCAATGTTGCCGGTTCCCTCAACAAGATACCGAAACTTCGGGTAGAAAACGTGGCCCTCCGCGTTCTGCCATGCGCTGATCATGTAGACTTGCATAGGCAACGCCGGAAGAATCATCTCGACATCGTCTTGAGAAATGTGAGCGCCAGCAAGTAGACTCGCGAGGTCAATGTCTTCCGCAGGAGTCCACGCTGCTTGCTTCGGCTGAACCGTGCCGCCGTTTGTTTGGACGCGAGTTGCAAGTCGTCCCATATGGCTGATGCTGGATGCCCTGACAAAGTCTCTCGGGCTGAGGTAGAGGCCCTCCTTGCGTAGCAGGGAAGACAGCTTGATCGCGCTGATGGAGTCGAGGCCGAGATGGTAAAGATTGCTTTCGGGCCTGATGGACTCTGCGGGAATGTCCGAGACGTAGCCAAGGACTTTTCGAATTGCCAACGCCATATCGTCCAGCTCGCTGTTCACATCGTGAGTAGCCGAGTATTCTCCATTAACGGCGTCGACTTGGGTAAAATCTCCGGAGACCGAAACATGCGGTAATCCACCTATCGAGACACCGTCGTTGTGAAACGAGAGTATATCATGATCCTCCGAGTTGGCCAAAAACTCTAGAACACGATTCAAATCCTGAATCAACCTCTCAGTCCCCTCTCCAGAAACATACTGCGACTGACAGGCGACTCTCCAGACGAGATCATCGCCAACGGCCTCAGCCTCCACGCTCACAGGATAATCCACCGCCGATGCCCCATCCACAGACTTGAGCAGCGAACCCTCAGACGATGCGCTATAAGGGAACTTTTGCAGCATAAACAGCGTATTGAACAGTTCGCTGCTCGACACGTGCGCCGCCTTCTGGATCTTCCTCAAGGGATACGATTGATGATCCCGGATGTCTGCCATGCTAGCCTCAAGGTACCGCAAGAAAGAGGCTGAGCTTCCGTGCAGGATACAGCGGATCGCCACGGTGTTCATCGTCGGAAACATGACCTCTTCGGCGCCGTCAAAGTCGCGTCCAGACATGATGACACCAAACGTGACGTCTAGGGCTTTGATCCGATGAGCCAGGACAAGGGCCCAGCAAGCTTGCATCAGGACCTGCAGACTGATGCTCTGTTTCTTGCAGTAGGACAAAACTTCAGGCACAGATTTGGGTGCAGAGCCTTCTCTTCGGTACAAGCTCTTCTCCTCTGTATCATGAACCGGTAGTTTAGGGAGAATAGATGGTGCAGCTCCATCGAGGTAACCCGCCCAGAAACGACCCGCGTCGTCCGTAGCAGAGGCAAGCATCTTCTGAAGAAAGGGCTTTGCGGATGTTCGGCCTTGTAAAGTGCCTTGATACGCTGCCTCTAGATCTTGATAGAAGAGACTGAGCGACCATCCATCGTACAAGGCATGCGCGATCGAGACAAGCACAAACGTCTTATCTTTGCAGGTCATAAGTCTCAGCTGGAATAGGGCATCAAGCCCATTCCCTTCTTTGGCAACTCTCTTTGCATCTTCGATAAGAGCGCTCATGTCGGCCACGTCATCCATAACAAGTTTTTTGATGTCTTGGTTCCAGTGTTTTCGCACGATCTGACAGTATCCCATCTCAAGCTGCAAGTCATCCACCTCGAGGAACCCTGTTCGAAGAATCGGTGACCGGTCAATAACTTCAAGAAATGCTCTCCGGAGTCTTTCAATGTCGGTGCCTGGCGCTACCTCGAGAAGGTCGTGGTTGAAATACCACTCAAAGTTGGAGTGGATCATCATCGCAGCCATAGATTCTTGAAGAGGCGTCGGCGGCAGAACGGCCTCAATATTAGTGGTGTCCAACCCGGCTGCGTTGACATACTTCCATAGAGTTTGCTCAATGTCTTCAAAGACTCTGTCAGTCGTTCCATTAGACAGTTCGCTGGATTGTTGTGCCTCAATAGATACCGCCATCTTCGCAATCGTCTGTTGGCGCATGATTTGAGAAGCCGGCAGTACGAGACCTCTTTGTTTCAGCCTGGCAGACAGCTGGATAACATCAATGCTATCCAAGCCAAGCTCGAGAATCGTCTTTGATGCCGAGATGTCGCAAGCATCGAGGCCTGACATGGAAGCGATCGCATCTCTGATACTGAGAGCCTGATCAGTCCAATCAAAGTCTTGGCCATCAGCCTCGTCATCAGGGGACTTGAATCCATTTCGATCGTCAGAATGAGATACCCCATTCTTTTCTGCGGATACTGAAAACGGCGTATCAGCAGCCATGAGTCCAATATTCTTTTCCACTTCGTCCAGCAACTCCCTCAGCTTTGACTCATTCGCCACAAATCGCTGGGCAACAAGAGTCAGCTGAACGTCGCCATTCGGCAGCCTCTTCGCCTCCAAAGCCAATGGGTAATCCGGATTCAACGGCCCATCTTCGACTGTCCAGAGATGCTCTTCGTCCTTTGAGGCCTGCTGCTGCACTTCAAACACGAATAGATTGTCGAATAGCTGCTTCCCACCAGAACACCACTTCTGTATACTCTTCAGTGGAACATGCTGGAAAGGCAAGATGCTTGTGCTAAATTCGCTGCATCTGCGAATCAATGATGCCCAAGATTGGCCGCTCAGAGATTTGTTGAAGAAGGGCACGGTATTGAAGAGCGGACCGATTGTGTTTTCGACGCCAGGAAGATCCATTGATCTTCCAGAAACAATCAGACCAATTGTCAGTCCGTTGGAATAGTATTTCTGAAGCGTATAGATCCACAGCGCCATCATAACTGGTTGCAGGGTGACTCTGTAGTTCCTTCGAGCGTCTTCCAGTACACTGCCATGAAGAACGCGAGTCTGTGAGACGGCCCGTTCTTGGGGCGAGGAAAGCTGCAGAGCTGAGGAGCTGTTCCACCCTCGAAGATGGTTTTCCCAAAAGCCTCGGCAGTCATCATGTCGCCATAACGGGCCGTGAGACAATGCCTCTATAAACGATGGAGAAGATGCTGGTGACTTGCCCATGTAATTGGATTTCAGCTGCTGCAGCATCAACTCGAAGCTGTTCCCGTCGTAAATTGCATGGAAAATGTGAATTACCAGCTTCTTGAAGTCGGGTCCCTTGATATAGATCACCTCAAGAGGCGCGATAATGTGCTCGTTGTTGTTTAGCCGTACCCATTTCTCCCAACGGCTGTCCAAGAAGGCTGTAGCATCGTCATCGCTTCGCACACCTTGCTCAATCCAGCGCGGCTCTTGATTCTTCAATGCGACTTGGATATATCCTTCCGTAGTCTTGACAAAAGCCGTTCGCAGGACAGCCTCAGAGGTCACCAGCTTCGTCCAAGCAGCCTTGACTTCCTGCTCCGCGACATCGTCATCCAGATTCAGCACAAAGGAGTTAAAGTAAGTTCCTCGAGTCTCCTCCGTCATTGACTTGGATATGATACCCTGCTGGAGTGCCGAACATGGTGCAATATACTCAACGTCTTCAGCCCCAATATGGAGAGCGTTACAGGCAAATGCGCGGTACCGATGGTGATATGCTTGTATCCTCTGCTGCGCCTCTTTCACCCGACTGTCATTTTGAGACGAAGACAGCTTCTCGTACAGAGCCGCAGTAAGATCTGCGACTATCGGATTTCGTAGTAGTATAGCCGGCGAGCATGCTGCGAATCCTGCCTTTTTGAAGGCCGTAGATAGTTGCAGGGCGCTGATGGAGTCCACCCCAAGGTCAAAGATGCTTGTCTCTGCCTCGATCGCATCTGAGCCGATGCCGGTAAAGTCGGACAGAATTTGAGCCACCTTGTGGCTGGCTTCACCGTTAACAGCTCTAATAGGAGCCTTTGGCGCAGTGAGGTCCATGAGCTGCTCGTGCGATAAGCCATTGAACAGCTTCTTCAGCTCCTTCGCCTCGACTTTGTTGTTGGGAGAAAGCGGTATAAACGGCAGAAGCAAGAAGTACGTAGGAATCATGTATCCCGGAAGCTTCGCTCGACAAGCCTCTCTCGCCTTGACGCCCAAATTTCCGTCATCTGTCAGAGGAGTCAAGACAGCTCTCCTCTGCTGCTCGCCAACCAAGAAAGAAACGAGAACGTCTTTGCCGCTGGAGGAATGCTTGATGACCACTGTTGCGACGTCCCTGATATCCGGAACGCCGGTGCGGATGACATGGTTAATCTCGCCAATTTCGAGGCGCTGTCCCCGGAGCTTGACTTGATCATCAGCACGACCAAGAAAGTCGAAGCATCCATCATGCAGAATACGAACAAGGTCGCCCGTTCGATAAATCCTCTCGCCAAACTCCGACAGCGTCGGAAACCTCTCCTCTGTAAGCTCCGGACGGTTGAGATAGCCCTTGCCAACCAGTCTTCCAGAAACACATAGCTCGCCAACAGCGCCTCGCAGCACAGGAACCTCTGTCCCCTTGCGGAGCACGTAGGATCCTACGTTGGGGAACTGCTTCCCGATGTTGCTAGGCCGTCCGTTGATGGGCACTCGCTGGTACATCGTGACGCCAATCGTGGCTTCTGTTGGGCCATATGCGTTGTAAATGACTGCCTTTGGTCCCCAGGCATCCAGGATTTCTTGCTTGAGTTGCTCGCCACCCGTGATGAAAACACCCTTACATAGACCTGGTACTTCGTCAGGATGGGTAAGACGAGCCAAACTTGGTGTCAGATCGATGTGTGTGATCTCGAGATTGTTGATGGACGCAATCAAGTCATCAAGGATGACATCTCTTGGTGCAGCAACAACCGTGATTCCCACAGACCAGCTCCAATATTGCTCTAATACCGAGACGTCGAAATGGAGGGCGGCAAACTGCAGCCACCTTGAGTCGTGGCTCCAATGACCTTTGAACAGCTCTTGAAAAGCCATCATTGCCTGCACGCTGTTGTCATGTGTGATTTCACATCCTTTGGGGGTTCCAGTCGTGCCAGACGTGTAGAGGCAGTAACACGTCGCTTCAGGTGTGAATTCAGTGCCCAGATCTCGCCTCTCAGCCGACAAAAGCTTCACAGACTCAAGGTCAACAGGTACAACCTTGGCATCCGTCTCAAAGTCGATGATGCCTCCGGGTGTCGTCAGCAGGCAAGGGGCCTGTGAATCCCTCAGAATAAACTCCTTTCTGTCCCTGGGAGCACTTGGGTCAAGCGCCACAAAAGCACACCCAGCCTTGAGGATTCCAAGAATAGAGAAATAGGCCTCTGGGCACTTGTCAAAGTGAATCGCAACAATGCTCCCCACGGCAGCAACGTCTTTCAGCAAATTGGCAGTCCTGTTGCCCATCTTGTCGAGTTCGGCATAAGTCCACACCTGCTTAACGGGATGCGAACCATCGAATCTGCTAACAAACTCCAGAGCAGCATCATTTGGATGAGAAACAGCTCTTTTTTCCACGAACTGATGCAGATAACGCACCGGAGCAGGCAGCTCTGGCGAAACAGGCGGCGTTATCGCATAAAGATCAGGCTTTGGTCGATAGATGCCATCCTCATTGCCATCAGGCTCGGTAGCAATGTGGATCATCATTGCATCAAATTGCCTGACCAACAATTCAGCCTGCTCTCTCGGCAGGATATCGCTGAAGAATGTGATGCAAAGCTGGATCTCATCATCATCTGTCGGCTTAACTTCGAGCGACACTGGATAGTCGACGGTTGCATCATCCTTCATGAGCTTCCAGGGCCTCCTAGTGACAGACTCCTTCTCCAGCTTCTGATAAACGAGTAGTGTATCAAAGACAGGCGTCGCAGGATGGCCCAACCACTTCTGAATCTGCGTCAGAGGAGCGTACTGATATCGATGGACATCCGCATTGTAGGCCATCATATATCGAGTCAATCGGCTATTTGACGGCTGGTTTGAGGCAATGACAGGAATCGTGTTCATACAAGGAAGCGGCGCATCCCTCGTCACGTCCGTATCCCTCCCAGATAGAATCACTCCAAACACCACAGAGTCTTCTCCCAGATACGAGGAAAGAATGCGTGTCCAAGCAGCTTGAATGACTGCCTGGATAGACACGCCTTGTTGCTTGGTGGCTGATTGCAGAGCTGATAGCGTCGCCGTTGATCTGATTTCATGGGAAATGAAGGTTCTGGCATCCTCCCTTAGTGGCGTCATGACGGGGAAAGTGTTCACCACTGCCAACTCAGCCTTTTCCTTCCAGAACTCTTGGGCAGCACTTTGGTCGCTGAGGCTTTTGTAGAGTAGTTCATTCAATGCAGGCTCAATGGTCCGTATGGTACTTTGACGTCCACCCAAGAGCATAGATAGGTCGTCCAGCAGCTGATCCAGTGAATGCGCATCGTAAAGCGCATGGTGTATGAGAACATTCATCATGAGTCTACCGTCCGCCTCGACGATGGAAACCCTCCACGGCGGTAGATTGAGATGCTCAAGTATTGCTGCTGCTTCTTTTTCTTTCCAAGTTCGTACTTCGTCTGACGATGCCAATTTGGACACGAAACCGGTCGATTCAAGCCCTGATGAAGACTGATATCTCAGCATTGCGAACGAGCTATGTTGATGCTGCACCGCGGCAAATCCTGCCCGGAGCATAGGATGGTTACTCTGCAGAGCTTTCCATGCTGCAATCAAAGCATCTTCAGAGATGGTGTCATCAACAGCAAATGACAACAAATTGAAATAATTCTGCCCTTGAGACTGGATAAACGACACCAGCATCGCGCACTGGAGAGGCGTGCTAGGAAGCACAGCTTCTATAACAGCGGTACCCGGCACCTTGTCTGCAAGCTGTGAAGAAACTTCCTTGGAGAATCCGTCGAGATCATAACCAGGTCTTGCCTCCTTTTTATTTGATGCCGCAGCTATTCTGTCTGCTAGTCTCGCGCAGTTTTGGCATTCAATGACATCGGAGGCAGACACCTCAAATCCTTCTCGTCGGAGCATCGAGGCCACCTGGACTGCGTTAATACTGTCCAAACCGAGCTGAAATATGCTTGTGTCGGGATGAATCCTCTGTATCTGAACCTTCGAAAGTGTTGCAAGGACCTGTCGAATCTTTTTCTGCGGCCCCGTCCATTCTGCATCGTTCTGAGGAAGCATCTCCAAGGGCGTTGCCGCATGCCTCTCCACTGCAATAGCACTGAAAGTGGATAACTGAGCAGGTTGAAGATGGCTTCTATCGGGCAAAGCCGAAGACGGATGGTACAGAATGGCTCGAAAGAAGTACTTGAAGACATCAGCAAGAACTGAAGCGACATCTTCACTGACAACACTCTTGTCGTAGTGCATGTTGACAGCTAGCGAATCCAAGCCAGTATGAGGAACAATCTCGCAGACAACCGGAATGTCCATTTCTCCCTCGTCCTCTTCAAGCGTCCATATCTCAGCGTCCATGTCCTGCAGAGGGCTCTGAAGCAGTAATAGCGTATCAAAGAGCCTTCGGCCCTCCTTCGTAACAAGCTTCTGAACCAATCTCAGCGGCGAAAATTGGTACCGCTGAACATCAGAGTTGAGGCGCTGAAAGGATTTGGCAAGATCAATATTGCGAGAAGCAGTAGAGACATCCTGTCTGATCGGGATGGTGTTGAAGCACGGAGCAACCAATCTGTCGATACCTTCAATGTCCAGCGTCCGGCCACTCATGACGAGCCCGAAGCAGACGTCGGTAGTATCTGAGCACACGGAAATAGCATCGACCCAGGCTGCCTGGCACAAAGAGAGCAAAGAAACTCCAAGAGATCGCAGACGGGCTTTGACCTCGCCATACGACACATCCATACTCTCTCGGTATGTGCACTGAATAATCTGGCTTCTTGAAGGTTGAGTAAATAGTTTGACGGGTTCATATCCTCGAAAATGGTCTCTCCAATACATTTCAGTATCGTCAGGCAGGCTGAGTGCTTCCCGTAGGAAGGACGAGTAAGGAACCGGCTGAAGTAGGGATTGACCATGTGCCAGCGCTTCTACTTCTCTCCAGAGATTCTCCATTGCTACGCCATCATATAGCGCATGATGACAGATCAAAGACAGAAATGTCGATTCTTCTTGTCGTATGATTGCAAAAGAGAGAGGCGGAATCTTGGTGTCCAAGGGATCAGGTAGACCACTCAAATGCTCACGAAGAACTTCGTCGAGCAGAGTCGTGCTGGAGGTGAACTCCTTCCACGGGTTGGTCCAATTCTCCAGAACCACTTGTGCAATGGGATACTTCATACTATCACTTGTGACAAAGCATGTTCTGAGAATAGCGTGTCGCCGTGTCATCTCGTCCCAGTATCCCCTCATCTCATCCACGGGAACATGCAGCCGCAGAAGACTCCTGTTGTAGTAGCTGCCCTGTCCCTGCGACAGCATGGCTTCCTGCAGAGGAGAGCACGGCAAAATCTCTGCAACAGAGTAGGGTTCATGTTGGAAGCTTTCGCGAACTTGGTTGACGAAAGAATCGGAAAAGAAAGATGCTCCTTTCTGCTGGCCACCTGATGCAGGCCTCTCTTGCAAAAAGCGTGCAAGCTGCGCGATGGACGAATTCTGAAGGATTGCTGAGATAGGCACTCGATGCTCTAGTTCAGTGCTGAGGCTGCGAGAAACACCGATTGCCGATATCGAGTCCAGGCCAATTGTTGCGAATGGGGTCCATCGACCGATATCAGATCGAGACACGCCCAAGGACCTTGCAATGACTTCTGCGATTCTTGTTTCCTCTGTGTTCCACTCAGCATCATCTTGCCCCGTTATGGTGCTAGACACAGACTCGAGATACTCTTGGGGAAGATTTTCAAAGCAAGACTGTAGCTTGCGCCGGTCGACCTTGCCGCTCGACGTAAGGGGTATTCGAGAGACTGGTATCAGATACGAAGGTATCATATAGGAGGGCAATCTCGACAACAGAGCAGCGAATAATGAACGATGGGTCTCAGCATCGGGCGTTACTGTCTTGAATCCTTCGTCGGTCGGCCCTTGTGGAAACGTATAGAAGGAAGCAAGTTGATGAGCGGCCTCATCGTCTCGCCTGACCAGCGTGGTTACCGCAGCGTGGACCGACGAATGCGAAGTAATCACGCTGTTGACCTCACCCGCCTCAATTCTCTGGCCTTTGAGCTTGAGCTGATCATCAATGCGGCCAAGGATAAGAAGCGACTTGTCCGGGAGCATTCTCCCCATATCGCCAGACCGGTAAATAAGGCCGTAATCCGGGTGACTAATGAACTTTTCCGCCGTCAGATCCGGCATATTGAGATACCCATCAGCCACCTGCTCTCCCCCGAAGCAAAACTCGCCTATCCAACCCATCGGCATAGTTGAAAGGCTATTCGGGCAGAGGACAAAGACTGACGTATTGGGGAAGCACCAGCCGAGGTGCTCGATGTAATCGCCCGGCTTCATTCTCTTGACGCTGCAAATATTCGTCGTCTCAGACGGTCCGTATCCCTGCCACAACAGATCTCCCCAGGAATCAAGAACCGAAAGAGTCATGGGCTCTCCAGCGGTAACCAGAAACTCAACAGTAGGCACATTCTTGGGGTCAACTAGTGATGCCACTGTAGGTGTCAAGCTGAGGTGCGTGATTTGGAACTGGCGAATCGAATGCTCCAGGTCTTCAAACAGGTCGTCGTTGACGGCAGCACAGAGACACATGCCGGCGTGCCAAGCAAAGAATATCTCAAAAACGGACACGTCGAACGCCTGCGAACAGGCTTGTAATAGTCGGGGAGATGATCTTTGAGCGCTGGGGTAAATAGATGCGAGATACATCACGTTGCTGACAATGCTTTTCTGGCTGACAGCCACGCCCTTTGGGACACCAGTGGTTCCCGAAGTGTATATCACATAGGCCAGCCTTGACATGTCGACCGGTATGTCCAAGTTGTGGTTCTCGAAACCGTCTAACGGAGCAGACTCGACGTCCACGAACTGGATATCAGGTACCTCCTGAAGCGGGCGCAGGGAAGCCGTATCCACAACGCAACACCTGATGTTGGCCGATCGAAAGATCTCTTTCACTCTTTCGACGGGTATGGAAGGTAGAAGAGGCAAGTATGCACATCTAGCCTTGACAATACCAAGGATTGATGCGTAGAGAAGAGGTGACTTCTGCATGACAATGGCGATAACCTGGCCAGGTTCAGCACCTCCATCGAGCAGGAAGCGAGCAATCTGGTTTGAGAGTTGATTCAGGGTTTGGTATGACATGATATCTGTCACCAATGCAGCTTCAGAAAGCGATCTGCTAAAGCATATGGCATCTGCGTCAGGCGTTTTTGCAGCCGCAGCTTCGAAGAGAGTAGCGAGATCTGCCTCGTCCCGTAGCCATTTGGGATCCGTGTTTGCAATAGAAGTCTGACTTGTAACGGCGTCCTTTATCCTTCGAATCGATTCATTGGGGCGCTCAACAATGAGTCGGAAAACGTCCTTCACCTGCTCAACCAATAGGGAGACGACATCCGATGGAAACCAGTCTGTATGATGTGTAGCCTGTATTGTATATCCAGCATCATTTGGTTCCACCTCCAACAACAGCTTCGTTTCCAGGCGATCGAGGTGTCGGACTTCACGAAGAGCTGCATCTTTTCGCCTCTTCGTATACAATGACTCCTGGTAAACGAACAGCACGTCGTAAAGGCTCTCAGCCGCCTGCAGTCTAGAGAGCTTCTTTATATCGGACAATGGCAAAGTGCAATGCTCCATGATTTTGCGATTGCTTTCGTTGATGTTCCGCAATACATCAGAGATCGCCGCAGAATCGTTGACATCTACTCGAAGGGGAAGAGACGCAATGGCTGGTCCAACAATCTCGGCAATATCCTCAACCGGGACCGTTCGTCCAGACGTTACTGAGCCCAGCAGAACATCTGACGTGCCCACGATACTCCCCCAAACGAGCGCAAGGGCCGCTTGAAAATAGACTTGAGAACCGTATCCCGTAGCCGCCAAGGCATTTCTATCAGGCGTAGTGATTTCCAGTTGTGCCTGGACAGAAAGGATCTCATCAAACTCAGCTGGTCGAGCACTCAACTTCGGCCGACTTGGTTTATTCCAGTCGACAAGATATTCAGCCCAAAATGATCTTGCGGTATCCAAGTGGTCTCTCGGGATGTTGGTCATATAAGTGAGCAGGCTTGAGAACTGCGGCCGTTGAGGCAACGCCCTTTCACATAGTATATCGGTCAACTCCGAGAGGATAATATCCATAGACCAGCCATCGTAGATGGCATGATGAACATGCATCAGAATTCGCGGGGCTTTGCCACCTGCAGCCTGCCGAATCTGTACACGAAGTGGCCAAAGTAGCGCTTCGTCCTCCGATAGCTCCGGCTGAAGGAAGTTTTCGACGATCTGTACTTGATCAGATCGCAAAGACTTGAAGATCGGTGTTACAAAGCTTCCTTGCCATGTAACGAAGCCCGCACGCAAAACGTCCCTTTGCCGTGCAAGTAGATGAAAGGCATCGCGTATGGCTTCCGGCGTGAATCCAGGACTCGCTTCCAGTTCTATCTCGTTCCAGTAGGCTTCCGGTCGATGCGCCGTTTCTGATAGCATCGCCACTTGGAGAGCGCTGCATACTAGCACATCTTCAACGAGCTCCAAGTCCTTCTGTAGTCCGTGATTGCTTTCTGCTATAGAGCTCAGGCTGTCCATCAAGTGGATGTTCAAAGCCGCAGCTTCTAGATCTTCAGGGGGTGACAGAGGTCGCAATGTAGAGCATATCTGCGCTATTGTCCGCATGCTCAGCAGCTCCGCAACACTCACGTTAAATCCTGAAGACCGGAGCGCCGATGCCACTTTGATGGCAACGAGGGAGTCTATCCCAGCTGAAGCCAGCGTCATGTCATGTTTCGCTTCGAATCCCAAAGTATCCGATATGACGCTCAGAACTGTCCTCTCCGCATCAGACAGACCAAGGGAAGCTGCATCATCTTCTTGTCCAGAAGCCTTCCTCTCCCTGAATTCCGCTTTCAACCTCTTGGTGTCGACTTTACCACTCGGCAGCCGAGGGAACTCATCCATCAGCACGATTTCTCCAGGCATCATGTACTGCGGAAGCCAGCTTCGACAGTGGTCCATGATCGACTCTTCAGTGACTCCCGCGTCCGCAACGCAAAACACCACCAGGATAGAGTCAACGACCGCCCCAACGGCCAGGTGGCACCCAGGCGTCTTCAGCACAGCAGACTGCACCTCGCCCAGTTCAAGCCGCTGACCTCGGAGTTTTACCTGGCCTTCGGACAATCGCCCAAAGATCTCTATCGTCCCATCGCTGGCGATGCGCGCCTTGTCTCCAGTCCGGTAGATTGTGCCATAAGGTGACGGTATAAATGAGGAAGCCGTCTGCTCCGGTCGATTGATGTATCCATCGGCAAGCTGGTGCCCGCCAACCGCAAGCTCTCCGATCTCTCCTCTGGGAAGGATCCTGACGTTTCTACTCGTCTCCGCAGATTCTGCAGGCTCAACTATGAAGCAAGAGACGGTAGGAAGCGGCACGCCAATATTTCTTATTGAACATCTGACAGCGAATGCTTCTTGAACGGTGCTACGGTACGAGACTGTCAGATGACCGATTCGAGATGAGTTCCCCTTTCTTAGATATGCACTTACCAATGAATGGTAGCTTCTGTTGGCCCGTACATGGCCCACAACAGACTCTTCCTCTCTTCACTTCCCCCAAATTCCCGAATCACCGCCTCATTCAACATCTCGCCAATCGTCAACAGCAACTGCAGCGTCGGGACATTCTCCCTTTTCCGCAACAAGCTGGCAGCAACAGTTGGCGTCAGCTCGCAAGCATCCACTTCCATCTCCGAGATGACTCCCGGCAAGTCGTTCAACATCTCCCTTCGGTCGACGCTGATCAACGTGCTCCCCCGGAGCAGTGGGAAGAAGATCTCGAATACCGAGACATCAAAGGTCGGGGCGGCAAACTGGAGGAAACGAGAAAACGCTGGCACATGCCGGTCATGGGCTAGTAATGCCTGTGTTACTGCAGAATGAGAGATGCCGACGCCCTTGGGGACTCCGGTTGAACCAGATGTATACATGACATATGCCAGGTCCCTTGTGCTAGGAGCTCTGCAGCCGGGAGAGTCTGTGTCTGGACATGTCTCTTCCTCGTCTTTATCAACTAATAGAACCTTTACGGCGTTTTGTGAAGGTATATTGGAGGCCAGCTCCGAGGACGCCACGACAACACCAGCACAGACATCGTTGAGGATGAAGTTGACGCGGTCAGGGGGCGCATCCACGTTGAGAGGACAGAATGCGCCTCCAGCTTTTAGAATAGCTAACAAGGCTATGTATAAGTGTGGCGACTGGGGAACCAGGACCGGAACCACAAACGCTGCTTGGGCCTCGCCCACTGCACGACATATTCGGCGTGCCAGGGCATCTGCAGCATCATGAAGCTGGCGATAGGTTAGTGAGGTGCGGTTCCCCCTGCCCAGATAGTCGAGAGCTATTGAATCATCCGGCTCTCTTATGAGGTGGTGGAGGAGATCCGGGCCGGGTAATTCTGTTGGCTGCGGGTTAAGCACTGATAAGTCATCGAGTCCCTCCATGGCGCCTTGTATGGTGGTATGTGTGAGGTGTGAATGAGTGAGTGTGTGTGTAAGTGTGCGTGCGCGCGTCTGTATGCAAAGACTGTCCGAAGAACCTGGCCATATGCCACGTCTGCCAACTAAAGTGCTGATTCCCACAACCACAGCAGCCACAAGAGTCCCCGGGCAGTTATCAAGGCGCAATCTACCTAGTAGTCGAAAATGTTTTCATCACGGCGATCCATACCCATGCGAAATAGCCTCACGTTCGTTGGTCACCCGAAATTGCGCCTCTCCACGCGCCATTTAGCCAAGCTTCAACACCACGCGACGGGCGAAGAAATTAGAACACAAGGCCCGAATCTCAGACTGTGTGAGACAGACAGACTTCTTGATGAATTGGCATGTCGATGATTCGTCAATGAAGCTCCCCAGGGCGGCTCGTGATGGTTGCGTCGATGGAGGTGCGTCTCAATCGTGCATGAGCTGGGGCGGAAGCGAGCCTCTCAGAAGAGCGCAATTAATCAGCAAGGCGTAAGGAGAGGCCGCGATCCACCAATCGTCATCGTCAGTTTGCGACACAGAGGTAACCGTCTGCTGTCACGCTGGTGCGCGGATGGGAAGTCTCGTCTGTAGTTCGTGCGGGTAGCTCTTGGGTATGTAGCTTTAGCCTTATTGCGAGCAGGAAGAGGAGTCTGGGCGTGAAGCCTCGCTTAGGCCGAGGGTTGCGTGCTGTTTATTGTCCAGGGAGTGACGATGGCGTCACGGCCTTTAGCCAGTGTGAAGACGAAGAAATTGTGAAAGAATGTGAGGACTTGCAGTTGTGCCTGTAATAAATGGAAGAGAGAAAGTGACGAGTGACAAGTCAGAAAGCAACAGGCAAGCGTCTACACCAAAACGAACATCCCGCAAACTCTAAACAGGCCCTTCTTATTAATACTAGGTACTTCAGCCATACCATACCCAGGCATTCACAAGGTAACAAGCCGCTCTTTGGGGTGACACAGCATCCAGCTGCCAGCATAAAGCCCGAAGAGGGGCGGCCGCCCTGTCTGACATGAGCAACCGCTAGTACCTTAAGGTAAGGTACACGTACTTCATCGCCGTCTGCCAGATCCGGCCTTTTCGCAGGCTTCAGCAGCAAGTCTCCGACAAGCCGAGAGAAACCTCTGGCGATCCCCTCGTGAACGACTCATGTGGGGCTCGGCTTATTGCTCCTGGTCTTCACCCGGCAAAAAGAGCAAGATATATTAGTACCAATAACTCGATCCCCCTCTCTAACGATTGCGTGTCCTGCGTTGGTCTCATATGATCGGAGTACGTGGGTGCAAGGTGCCAAGTCTCTGCAAGGGAAGAGCACTCCGTTCCGCGAGTGTGACGCGCCCTGATTCACTCGGAGTCCTCAGCGGAGCACAGTGAGGGGTTTGCTGGAAAGGAGGCTCGTGAAAAAATTCACATCTTCTGAGCCTCTACAAGACCCAGCTGAGCGAAGAGAGAGGAAGAAAAATTTTCCCTTGGGCTGCGAGTTTGCAAGGGCTCTGGGGATTGCAGCGGATGGATGCGGATCCAACCACGGGCTTTGATCTTATCAGATCCGGTTTTTATCAGATCATCAGATAATTCCCTCATCCAATCTCCACCCGCTTGCCTCGCGATGGGGCCCGTCTCCGTCCTCGCAGCGTTCTCACCCACCGTAGGCCCAGGCGATGGTGGTTTAATTTAACCACGGGTGTTGCGAACTTGTCGTCGGCCCATAGATCGGCCCTTGTGCGGAGGGATTGAGGCATCGGATTGGTTCCTCGGGCTCTGATCGTCTCATCGAGTCCTGCACCAGCATGACAAGGGGCATGGAGAGCAAAATTGCATCAGTCCACGCTATAGGCGCCAAGCAGAGACGGGTTGGAGTTTCGGACTCGTTTAAGAAGGTCCAGATTTGCAACTCGAGAGTTCAGTCGTCTGCCGTAGTAGGTTGGACTTGTAAGGACGAAGGAGAGAGAGAGAGGCCAGCATCGATACAAAGTGGTTGTGCTTAAAGTCCATGTCTCTGCTGCCCAGGACAGACACTGAGAGTGCGTGTGGTTCCGCTATAGCTAATGACTTGAGTATCCCCATCGTCTTCGGCGAGCATTTCTCAACCCACCGCCTTGCTGCCGCAATACGAGTCCCGCTGACTGGGGACAAACTGCCGCGATCATCGAGACGACCCATGGCTACGAAATAGTCAAGAAAAAAGCATCCCATGGGCAGGGTATCGATGGGCCCATGCAGCCATGATTTGTACATTATATTACCTTGCTGCTTGCACTAGGCGCCCGCAAAGCTACACTGTGTACGGCTCGATCCTTGGCCCAGGACTGGACCTCGCCCATGATGCATCTCCGCTCCGGGTCTCCGTCCAGCGGCTGGTCTCGGGATTTCTGGGACTGTCGAGACGGAATCCGAGTCGATAGAGGCGAGGCTAACAAGAAAAGGGCTGCTTGCTCCTGGATCCAGGCACCGGTTGTGGCGAGTATAATTCCCGGCTCATCCCACCCCAAAGTGCTGAGGGGACTCGGACAGCTCCCCTCCCACTTTCACAAGCTTTCCAGCTCCTCCTCTGCTCTAGCGTTGTCAGACAGCTCCCGCTGACAAGCCCGCTATTTGCTGGACCGTCTAAGCGCAATAACACCACAAGAGCACAGCATCGTGTGTTACAGCCAGCCGAGAGAGCTCACAGATCGTCTCCAGTCTATTTCTCCCTCTATTGTTTCTCAATTTCTTGCCCTTCTCCCTTGCAATTACCGTCGCCCTTCTTTCTGGCATCATTTGTTGCAAGAATCACCGCTTGACCGCTGCCAGCCTCCGCCTAAACCAACGTCACCATTCCTTCACCCAAAGCGGACCATTACCTCTTCCGACGTCACCAAAGACCAAAGAACCATGTCCCCCCACAGCGAGGTCGCCCTCAGCGGCAGTGAGCCGGCCACGCCAAACGGCAGTGAACAGGCTCACCACGGCAATGGATTCGACAGCGCTTCGCCATACATCATTGGTGCGATGGAGCAGCAGAACACCAGGAGTCCCGCGCCGCTGGCCAACGGACATGCCTCAGAGAGCAAGATGCAGCACAAGCAAAAGTCGCCCTATCTGACTCAATCGGCCCCGGACTCCGAGTTCGATCTGATCTGCGTCGGATTCGGCCCCGCCAGTCTGGCTGTCGCTGTCGCTCTTCACGATGCCATCGCCTCAGGACGGAAGCTCCGCCCCGACGGCTCAGCTCCCAAAGTCCTCTTCCTCGAGAAGCAGAGCCGGTTTGCCTGGCACGCCGGCATGCTGCTCCCCGGTGCAAAGATGCAGATCTCCTTCATCAAGGACCTGGCAACCTTGAGGGATCCGCGGTCAGAGTTCACATTCCTCAACTATCTGCACCGCAACGGACGGCTGATCGACTTCACCAACCTGGGCACTTTCTTGCCGGCACGCGTAGAGTATGAGGACTATCTGCGCTGGTGTGCCTCCTTCTTCGACCACCTGGTCCAGTATGGACAAGAGGTGTTGTCTGTGTCTCCCGAGTCAAAGACTGGAGACTCAGTGCGCACATTTGCAGTCCAGTCGCGGAATTCAAAGACCGGCGAGACGCAGTCCTTCCGAGGCCGCAACGTCCTCATCGCGGCTGGCGGCCAGCCCAACTTCCCCAAGAGCTTCCCAGCCAAGCATCCCAGGATCATCCACTCCTCTCAGTATGCCTACATGGTCCCAGAAATCCTCTCCAAGAAGGACGCACCTTATCGTGTCGCCGTTCTCGGTGCTGGCCAGAGCGCTGCGGAGATTTTCCACAACATCCAGACTCTGTATCCCAATTCCAAGACAGCGCTGATTATGCGCCCCGAGTTCCTGAAGCCCAGTGACGACTCACCATTGTAAGTGCACCATTGAAGAAAGATGAGCAGATTCAGCAGGCTAATGGTACCGCAGCGTCAACTCAGTCTTCAACCCCGAATACATCGACACCCTCTACCCCAAGTCGGCAAAGCACCGCAACAACTTCTTGACCGAGGCTCGTGCCACCAACTATGGCGTCGTCCGATTGGAACTCATTGAGGAGATGTACGAGCGCCAGTACGATCAGAGGCGAGATCTTGGTCCAGACCAGAAGAAGTGGCCTCACCGAATCATGGGCGGCCGCCAAATCGCCAGCATTGAGCCGCGGGAGGACTCCTTGGTGCTCAAGGTGCAGCACGTCACCGAGGGCGATTTGGAGGGCTTTGTCGACGTTGTCGATGAAGAGACTATGGAAGTGGACCTGCTGGTTGCTGCTACCGGCTACCAGCGCACGGCACATGTCGACATGCTCCGCGACACCTGGGACATGCTGCCCAAGGCGGCCCCAGTCGGTCAGGAGTATCCCAAGGGAATCACCGGATGGAAGGTCGAGACAGGCGAGGGGGAGCGCAGGCTGACAGTCGCCCGAGACTACCGAGTCAAGTACAAGCCCGGATCAGTGGCGGACGAGTCCGGCGTGTGGCTTCAGGGATGCTGCGAGGGCACTCATGGGGTAAGTTTGGATTGCACATGTGATTTTCCGGCACGAAAAGCAGTGCTAACAGTGGACAGCTGAGCGATTCTCTCCTCTCTGTGCTGGCAACGAGGTCAGCAGAGATTGTCGGCTCCATCTTTCCCAGCAGCCAGTGATGGATAAAATGGTAGAGAAAGAGAAGTTATAAATTAAGGTAGATACCCACGAAAATGGTCTGGAGGCGATGTCTGAGAGACGTGATCCAGTTGTTGGTCTCTAGACGTTTAGAGATTCTTTACGGGTTGGTATAGAATCATCTTGCCATGGCGGGCGGCGATGTAGGAGTAAGATTACTTTGTTCTCATTGATACGGCGCATACAGAATCAAAAATTATTGTCCTCTACTCAGTAGCAATGACGGGTGTACACGACGAATGTGAATGATAATAGGACGTTTGATATTAATTTTTAGGGTAGGTGAAGGGGCATGTATCAGCGGATGAAATGTAGGATGTACAATTGGATCGGCACTGAGCTTCTGCGTAAATTGTAGATTCAGTAAGGTCCAATCTCAGAAATATTGAAGATACTTCCTCTTAGACCTACGATTGTGTGCATGTGTGGACAATTGCTTTTGCTCCCGTGGCAGCGATCTTTTCTTGGAGGCCCTGCTCGTTACTGTTAGATACTGAACCGACAAGCAATTTAGCTAAGCATACCTAACAGGTACTGCTTCGTATATGAGAAGACGGCAAGGCCGCAGTAGGGGGAACTCTGACGCTTCGTCACTGCTGATTTCCATGCTAAAGAAACGACTCGAGCATCTGACCAAAGAGATTATTCTTCTTCCCAGATCTAATTCCTCCATTTGCTGTGGCGTTCTCAGCCGGTGCTAACCAACGACAGCGGCAAACAGCGCTTGGCTGCTGCAGAAATGGCTGCGGGCTAGGTAAGCGTCCAACCGGCGCACGAGGTAGCCGAAGCGCAGAGGAACCACCAAATCGGTTCATCCTGGCCGTGTGTTTTGTCGCTGTCCGCGGAGTTTCAAGGGTTACAGAGATGCAAGGTAGAGAACAATTGCAGAATCAGACACTTGGACTAGATACATCCAAACAGAGTTTCCTAGAATAGACATGTCTTTGATGCTTTCCCATCGTGGAAAATGGCCGAAATGAATGGGACGCGCAATATGGTGGATGCGGGATGCAAGGTGACGCGAGCTTCAGTATGAGGGAGACGTAATTCGGGTACGGTGCCTTGCATTGACTTCCAATTGCTGACCAAACACAGTCCAAATAGGAAGAGAGGAGAGAATTTTTGGATTGATCTGCCTCACAAGCATACATGTACCTAACCATGCAGAAGTTGTCACTTGCAGCTGTTGCATCTCGTCTAATCCAGGTAGGTACTACTGAGTATATGCCCTCTCGTCACATCAAGTCTTAGTAATTCACCAAGATGGCTGAGACTGGTTTGCTTAGAGTTGTTTGACATTTGATGTACATTGGGTGCATGCATGACAGCTTCAGACTTCACGTTAAGGTAAGGTAAGGTAGATTCCATGCTTATTACGGTACCTTTAGTAGTCCTACTTGGCCCCTGCCAGAACCGAAGCTGTGCTTCCCGCCGAAACGAACTTCGCGTCTGAGAGCCATCTGGCTTGGGCATAGTACACACAAACATACAGTTCTTACTGCAGCATCATCCGCATCGTATCCCGAAATGGCATTGCAGACAAAGCGTCGGCCCTACTATTCCCCATCATCAGTGCAGGTTCACATTTGGGCACCTCACGTTGGTAACATTGCAGGAGAGCGCTGGAGAGGCCGCGAAGGCACTTGCGTACGTCCTCGTCACCCTTCGATTCGGAGCAGCACGAAGCGTCCTCGCAATCGAGACAAAGGGTCCGCTAATGAGGGAATCCACCCCCCTGTCAGACCGGGGCCTAAGTTTTCGGCTTTACGTTAAGTTGTAACTTTGACGGCTCCGAATCGGCGCTGAGCTCGCCCGGACGAATAGCTTCCATGTTCGACGATTAGTTTGGGGGGCACCCTGGCGAGGAGCTGCATGAGCTGAGCCCTATCGGAGAGAATTGCATGGGATCAGGTTAGCAGTCGAGGTGCAGGTACGAAATGTTCCCTGTAGGCCTGAACTGTGCAATGCTGTAGTTGTCCAATGTCAGTTGAGGAATTCGTAATATCGAGGGGATGGTGTTGAAGCAGAAAGAGGAGTACGCCGAGTTGATAGAGGCATCATGAAGGTACTGTAACAAAGAGTCTCATGTGATGCTCTCGCCTCGCGTCTGTCCTTACCCATAGTTAAGCTACATCTGCAACGGACAGAGTCAAGCAGCAGCACCGCTAACAGCATCCATGAATCTCCTCTTGTACCCCCATTCTCCAATCCGAGTCCATCGACATGTCCGCATTGTCCAAGCAAGCGGAAATCCAAGTGCCACCCCATCATTGATCGCTGCAGTGAACCGCTCACAGGCCTGTTGGCCCTAGAACCGCCTAAGCTTACGCACTATCGCTGCTAGCAACCCCCCCAGCTGCCCTCTAGAGCCTCTGGACGGCCGGAATCCTGCTGCCATCACCCATCTCCCACTTTTTAGCCTCGCTCCCCCCGCGCTCGGCGTCACCACAGCAGAAGCACTGACAGATCAGATCCATCCGGCCAAACATCACGTCAAAAGAACCAGGTCCCCAGCCTTGCGATTTGCGAGCCCGCGGCCGGCATTCGCACCTGCACACGACGACGACCACGACGCATGACGATGAGACCCAGATGGTTGCTGGACCGCCGGCGGTGACGAGGCTCTCTCTGCAACTGGACCCATCCATGTGTGATTCGCCAGGCACAATCTGACGCTCGAGATAGCGGCTGGAGCCTCGTGTCGTGTCGTGTCGTGTTGTGTCTGTCGGATGTGGCCGCGAGGCGAGACTAGGGCTACCCCGGCTGCTGCTGAACTGCTCCCTCGTGAGGCCATCGTGATTGACGGCAACCGACACACGCACACGTACGCCTTACGTACTGCTTTTGCAGGCCCACCGGCTGCGAGCAAACGCCTCAAGCACCGTTTCGACCAGGGCCTCGAGCAGAGCCTCGAGCAGACCTCAAGTACAAAGGTATGGCTCGCTGCGTGGTATTGCGCTCTTGTCCTGCTGACTGGCTCACACAAAGACAAGCAAAGCACTGAGGCTGAATATCCAGAGCTAGCGACATCCATCGTGTGCCTGTCTCTCTTCTCTCTCCTGACGTCAACCTCATAACCAAAGCCTTCCCCACGATGCAGCTCGACGACAACAGCGGCGGCAGGCGGCCTTCGTCAACCCAGAGGTTGCCTGTCAACCCTCGTCGTCACAAGGTGGCCCCCGAGCAGCGCAAACGAGTCGCTACTGCGTATGTCCTTTCAAGCCGACTCCTGAATCCGAAAGCCTCTCATCAACTTACACGCAATCCAGGTGCAACAACTGCAATGTTCGTCGAGTCAAGTGCTCCGGTGGCAATCCTTGTGGGCAGTGCTCCGCATCCAACCGCGAATGTGTCTATCCAACTCCAGTCGAGAAAGTCAGCGTCCCGCGCTCCGAACTGGAGGAGCTGCGGAGGAAGGTGGACGCTTATGAGCGAGCGCTTCAGGAGGTAATTCCTGATCCTTCCAGAAGACAGGAGCTCATCAGTCAAGCCGCTGCCACGCCAGAAGGCCTGTCGCCGTCTCCCAGTCCGTTCAGCCCCAGCCAGTCATATTCCCCCGAGAGCAGTCGTCGCGTTGCCGGCCCCTCGGTCAAGCCCGAGCCCGAGGACGAGCAAACAACTGGCCGTCTCCTCCAAGATCCCGATGGCACCGCTCGCTATCTCGGAGAAACCAGCGGTGCCACATTCCTCGATCATCTGAAGGAGCTCCTCGGGGCTGTTCTACCCCTCGCCCAGGTGGAACCGCAGCTGTCTCAAGATCAAGACGGAACCGCTTTTCTCAATAGCCTGGGGAGATACTACACCGCCGACTCTCGCCCTCTGGTTGAGCGTGAGGAAATGCCCACGTCTCTTCCCTCTAACGAGGACCTTGCCGTTCTATTATGCAAGCTCAGATACCTGATCCAGGATGGAAACGGCGAATGGCCAAGCGGCGGCATCTACTGGTTTGGAGAGCTCAATGCTGTCCCGTCACAGATCGCCTCTCCGCCATCCGCATCAGACGCGGATATGAACGAGTATCGCCATTTGGCCTTCTACCACGCCGCTCTGGCCAACATTACCCGCGCCAACACCTCGTCGCAAGAGGTGCAGGGAAGTGCGTCGACGCCGTCACTAAGCGAAGCGTATTTCGCTCGTGCTGCCCTCCTCGTGGGAAACCCACTGGACATCACACGCTGTTGCACAATCGGGGATGTTGCCACGCTGTGTCTCATGGCGGCCTATCTGATCGAGATGAATCGGAGAGACGCCGCTTATATGCATGTTGCGGCTGCCATGCATATTTGCATCATGCTGGGTGTCCATCGGGGACTCGTCGACGAAAGGGGAAAGAGGGTGTTTTGGACCGTATATGTCTTGGACCGGTGGTTGAGCTGCCTGATGGGTCGGCCTCACATCATCATGGACGATGCCATTCGGCTCCAGCTGCCAGCCGACGCTCCGTAAGTAGCAGCTTCAAGATTCTTGCTCGCCCTTTCCTCAGTTACAGCCATGCTAACTTGTTCCCGCAGGTCAATGCCTCCTGCTGCAGGGCTAAAGGCTCACGTCGAGCTGTCGCGGATATCGGGCTATGTCGTTTGCAACACGTACCGCGTGGCTCCGTGGGAAGCGTCCCGGGGCGCAATGGCTAAACAACCGGACAAGGCGATCTGGATGCTGCAGCAATGGCAATTGACGCTTCCGCCTCGGTTGCAACTCTCTCCGGACGGCCTGAGCAACGACCCTGCCTGTTGCCTCTTACACATGAGGTACAACATGCTCCTTATTCTGGCCATCCGGCCGCTGTTCTTGGGGGCTGTCAAGAGGTCGGTGGCCAGGCGCCTGGTAGTGCAGACGGCCGAGCCCAGCAGCACGCACACGGAGCATCTGAAGCTGTGCATTGCGGCTGCGCGCCGCAACATCCGCCTCGGGCGGCAATTGACGACGCTCAACATCAGCCGGAAGTCGCCGCTCCACGCAGAGCAGCACTATTCGTTCAATGCCACTGTCTGCCTCATTTTGGAGGACTTGATCTCGGACGAGGAGGTGTCGGCGGAGGAGAGGGAGGCGAGAAACAACGACATCCTCTTTGGCATCGAGTTGGAGGAAGATGGCCTCACGAACTTTGGGCAGACGTCGTCAAACACTCTGCGGCATCTGTGGACTCTGGCGCGGAGGTTGACGGGCTCGATGGCACAGACTCAGGAGTTGAATAATGCCCGGATGGCGGAGCTGCAGCTTGCCCCGCCGATGCTGACGACGCTCGGGGGCTACCCATCAATGCCGCGCATGCAAATCGGGGAAGACCATGCCCTTTACGACGAGCTGGTGGCCTGGGTCGACGACGAGTGGTCCATTTACAACACCGGACTATTCAATGGTTTTATGCAATGAGAGAGAAAAGACTCGGCAGCTGGACTTGAGGAATGCATTAAAAAGAGGAGGATTTTGCAAATGTGTAAGATGCCGGATCTGGTGGTGGTGACATGAGACTTTTGACTAGCCGCCGCCATTTTCTCCCTGATTTTCGAGCCATTTCAATGCAGATACCTTACGATACATTTAGTACACTTCAGAGCAAATACCCAGTAAAGCGGACAATAAATCAACATTTCAGGATTTCATTATTATCATGAGCAAGGAGCACAAAAGCTCAGTTCATTGGACAAAGGCATCCGACCCTTGCATCGTAAAGCGACATAACCTAGGTACCTCATTCACAGACGAAGTCGGGATAGGCATGCCAGACTGTTTCCGTAACAAGCCTACACAACAACGCTCGGACAACGATCTTTCAATCATGCAGATGAAAAGGGCAGTAGTATTTCTGGGCAGTAAATCACAAGATGGCCCCGAAGAGCTATGTAATGATACTGTTCAACGTAGCGCATGCCTCAGCGCACGTCGGCCCCCCCATAACAGCACCCAGCACAAGTCTACAATAACAGGAAGGGCTGGCTGGCCGATGATATGAGAAGCCCACGGCATTGCATACCTTTACTATAAGCTAGGCAGTAAAAGACGCCAAAGTGAGTGCAAGAACAGCGGTTGCTGTAAATCGCAGTCCTGAGATTGCTCATTAGCAAGCCGAAGAGGATAGGCAAGCGAGCGACAATCTAGGTTTAACATGGTCGCCGCTGCCAGCTTGTATGTCCTCGGGATATTGGCCGACGCCTACCTAGGTAGGTAATTGATGACCTGCGGTTAGCAATAACCGTCGTTGTGGCCTTCTCATCAATGCTGAATTTAATAAATTCTGGAAGACATTGGTGATTCGACGCCTTATCTTTGGAGGCTTCGTCCTTGGATTGGGATTGGAGGGAAGTCGTCACAAATCATCTGTGGCGCCAGCCGCATAGTCAATATTGAATGCCATCATACGATTTAAAGTCTCTTGATTAATGGCAGAAGAGGAGCACTCAGATATAGTCCACTTGATATTTGGAAACAGAGTAAAGATAGAGACCCTCAACTCATTCCTCTCTTGTTCTTTCCATAATCTCGACATAGCTTGCCTTATAGAAAGAGACTCTGCTTCCCTCACCCTGCTGTGATGTCATGTCACTCCTTCCCAGAGCAGCCTTTCACCAATCTTACAGCCGTTTGCTTGTACGACCTATAAACATCACTCGTTCACCTCTGTTTGCTCTGCACCATAACATTACATCTTCATCAAACACAAGAAACATGGCGGAGCTCATGGAATGTGCTGTCGCGGTCAGCTTCATCTTCCAGTTCCCCGACGGCGACGAGGAGCGCGACCCGCGAGTTGCCTTGTTTCGCAGGAGCGGACAAGTAAACACATATCAGTATGTCTTCTTCAACCAGCTGATTTCATCCAGAAGCCCTTGACAGTCAGTCGACGATACTGATGATGGTATCAAAGGCACAAATTAGCTCCCATCTCTGGCGGCGTCGAAGTCACAGATGAAAACCCTCTCGCAACGGCGTGGCGTGAACTCCGTGAAGAGACAACCCTCACCTCGGATTCTCTGAAGCTCTTCCGGCAAGGCAAGCCGTACTCCTTTGCGGATCCAGACGTTGGCCGCAGATGGACCATTAACCCCTTTGCGTTCATCCTCAAGCCTACCGAGGAGGGCGGCAAGGGCGAAAAGGGCATCACGATAGACTGGGAACACGAAGGCTATGAGTGGTTTAACCCGGATGAAGTCACCGACGACGAATCATTCCAAGGCGTGCCTCGGCTGAAGGAGAGCCTGAGGCGAGTCTGGTTCGATATCGATCTCGGCAAGAAGGCGGGCCGCGCTCTGGCAGCTGCGCTTCGATCGCTTCAAAATGACCATCAAAGCGGCGCAGGGCTCCTGGCTGTAGCAGCATACTACCATTTGTATGAGGACGTGATTCCAAAGCTCGACACGAGCGATCGAGACAAGTGGTGGCGCAATGTCAGGTTCGCGGCCTGGCATTTGTGGAAGAATGGTCGAGAGAGCATGGGAGCCCCCATTCTCAACGGCATGCTGTCCATCCTCGACACCATTGACCAGAGGCTCAACTCGAGCATTCAGGGCGCTCCAACAAAAGACGACGTTGTTCGGCTCTGTGACACCATCAGCGCAATCAGACTGCAAAGAGATAAGACAGGAATCGAGATCGCAAAAGCCTTCTCTCACTTCCTCCACACCAGGTTCCGCCCTGCCTCCAACGACGGCGGACCTGTCAAGATTCTCACTCTGTCATTCAGCTCAACGATCACCAACACCCTCGCACGCGGCCTCTCATCACCGCCACTCTATGTTCCTCTCGACATCCGCGTGCTCGAATCTCGCCCCCTCTTCGAAGGCGTCAAACTCGCTCGCCTGATATCAACCATCTTACAAGGCAACCCCGACGTCAACGCCACAACAAAGTTATCCGTCTATACCGACGCCAGCGTCGCCCTCGCTTCCAAGGGGGCCCAAATTCTCCTCCTCGGCGCAGACCTCCTCGACAAATCCGGTAACGTGTGCAACAAGATAGGCTCATTGCCTGCCGTCCTTACCGCCAAGCACGTCTCTCCAGACGTCAAGGTCATCGTGCTCACTGAAAAGTCCAAGATATACCCATTCGACCCACCACCGTGTGAGGAAAACGACGCTGAAGAGGTTGTCGGCGCTTGGAAGAGGGATGTGCTTGGGATTACATCAATCGGGGAAATGAAGCGGACCGCGAGTGTACCGAATGTGTATTTCGAGTGGGTGCCTGCGAGCATGGTGGACGTCTATCTGACCGAGGACGGTCCGCTGAGCAGGGAGCAACTTCTGGAGTTGGCGACGGGGGTGGAGGAAAAAGCCAGCCGTTACTTTGATACTCTTTGATTGCTTGTTTGGCCACAATGGATGTAATAGCATTATCGTCATTATACAGGGGGGCGCGTCTATACATTATACAGGTTGCCATTGAATCAAGTCATCAGCATTGACCAAGGACTAGCCCTATGATGGCTCACCCTCGCCGTCTCCGGGCTGCTTCACACTCATACTTGCCAGCTGCCCCTGCAAGCCTCTCTTCCCAACCCTCATGGCAAACTCCAGCTCCCGCTCCTCTTCCCTCAGCCGTGCCTTGCTTGCCGCGACTTCCCTCTCGCGTCTCCTCCTCTGCTCCTCGACCAGCCGATTCCGCTCCTCCAAAGCCCTTTCCCGCCTCTCCCTCGCCTCGCGCGCCTTCTTCTGCTCCTCGTCCTCCACGGCAGAGCTGGGATCCTCAGGAGGTGGCGGCAGCGTTTGCACGTACGCCTCCACCAAGGGATCGCGAATCTTGGGCTCGAGCGAGATATACCGTATGTCAGTGAGGACCTGCGCGGGCAGCCCATTCGCGAGCGACTTGTTGTTGAGCAAATGCACGGGCTGCGCCTTGAGCAGCGCGATGAGATCCGACTTGAGCGTCGCCTGGGGCAGCTTGAGGCGATTGATGTGTTCGCGGTACGCCTTTTCGCGATCTTTATCTGAAAGCTTGAGGTCTTTCATGGAGTCCTCCTTTTTGTACTTGCGCTTGAACTCGGGCCAGTAGAGCTTCGGGGAGGCCTTTTCCTGCAGGAAGGCCATGAAGGCGATCTTCGGGTCCTTCTTCTCCTGCTTGGCGCGCTGCTCCTTGAGCTGAGCGATGCGCTGGCGGGTCCACTCGTCGAAGCACTCCTTGCGGGCCTTTGTCGTGCTGAGGGCCGTGTAGCGCGGGTCCTGTATGATCTTGCCCTCCTCGAGGAGCTTGTCCCAGGAGCTGTAGGGGTTGATGTTGAGGTCGGCGAGCATGTCTTGAAATAAGAACTTTGCGTCTTCCTCGGAGAACTCGACGCCCTCTGCGCCCTCGGGCCAGTCGTCCATGTTGCCGTCGTCGTAGTCCCCGGGCTCGAGGCCGTACTCTTCGCCCATGGCCTGCAGCTGGGCGGCGATGTCTGCCTCCGTGAACTCGAGGGGTCCCTGGTCTTGGTCGTCGGACATTTCGGTGCGCTGCCGCTTCGAGGGGTGCTCGCCGTCGTCGCCCTCGCCCTCGTCGTCGGTGACTTCGACCTCTTCGTATTCGTCGCTGTCGTAGTCCGGGCCGGGAGGAGCAGGCGCCGCCTCTTCAGCAGCCTTGGCCTCTTTTCCGTCGCCGGGTTGTTTACCGCCCTCTGCTGCTGCTTCTGTCTGCTTTTCTTCTTGATTTGGTGCATTCAGGTTCTGTATCCTCTTCTTGTCCATCTCCAAGATGGCGGGCATGAGCTTCTCGGGGATGCGCCAGTAGCTCGCGTTCTTGATCGGGTTGTAGACGAAGCGCCGCGAGTACTTTGTGTACACCAGGATCCACGGCTCGCACCCGGGGATGGGCTCCTTTCTCCTAGGCTTGTCCACAGGCTGCGGCCGCGGGCGTCCCTCGAAGCCGCCCCTTTGCGCCTGGGGTGGAGGCTTGTTGAACTGCGCCATGAAGGCATTTGCGACATTTGGGTCGGAGAGGTTCGGCACGGCCGCGTAGGGGGAGAAGGGGGTCGGCTCGGGAGGAGTTGGCTGGGAGGGTAATGGCTGGCCGGGTCGCTTGTACGTGGATTCTTTGGTCTCGGCGTTGTAGTAGTAGGTGTGGCCGGTCGGGGCCTTGTGTTCGGTCCAGCCCGGCGGGAGGGGCGCCAATTGCGCTGGTTTGTGGGTTGATTTGAGCATGCTTGACGATGCTTTGACCGAGGAGAGGTGCAGAGGTGAGGCGGCGTTGTGGCGGATGGTGAAGGTCTGTGGAAGAGAAGAGAAGAAGGGAAGAGAAAAGTTGAGGCTGGAAGCAGCTACACGCTCCGTAGCGTCATGCGTTAGACGCGCCCAGCACAGCTCAGAGCATGTGGACCGCTGTAAGAAGCGCGGGAGCGTCTCTGCAGGCGGGACAGCCCCTGTAGGTGAGGTGAGCTCAACTGCACTCGGGCAGCTGCATCCGTGTTCGTGCATCCAATTCCATGTTGATGTGCTCTTACACCGTCGGCCAAGCCAACAGGACCAGAATCCCGAAGTTCCAGGTCATCTAATAATATCTCGGCGTTTGCATCACGGGAACTAGCGCCTTTTTAACATCAGATATTTCATTAAGATTTCATTCATTATGCCATATTGCCGCTGTGAAATGTCAGCTCCTCTGTACTCCCAGCTTTGCAACCAGTGCCTCTGCAATGTCCCTCGCAAACCCTTCATCATTCACATGTCTCTCATCCTCCACAATCTCAATACCACACCCACTCAACCCTTTCCTTATAGCCTCAAACAGCGCCTTGTCTGCCTCTTTGTTCTCGAACGGGCCTCCAGGGACCGCAATCATGCTGACGCCTCCTTTTGGGATCCAAACCTGAATCAAGTCGGGGCTCTTGGACTTGCTGAGCTTCCTGGCAATGAACTCGCCAATCTCGCGACACTCGGCCGGTGACGTCCTCAGCAAAGTGACGTTTGGATTGTGCTCATATATGACCCTTCCCTCGTGCTTCTCGGGCAATGTACTTCTCGGTCCAAAGTTGACCATGTCGAGCGCGCCTAGAGAAACAATGTTCGGCAGGCCTGCCTCGACGGCAGCGTCTAGTCGTCCCTCTCCGGCAGAGAGAACGCCTTCAAACAAGTGGTCGCAAACCTCCGTCGTCGTGAGGTCAATGACTGCGTCCAGCTGGCCTTCGCGGATCAGCCGCTCCATTGCACGTCCTCCCGTGCCGACGGCGTGGAAGACATATGTCTCGACAGGGTAGTTGGTCTCGAGGTGGGAGCGAATGGCATCGACGCCAGGCGTGGTGACACCAAACATGGTGATACCCACTCGCCACTTCTTTATCGACTCTGCCGCTGCGTCTGTTGCTTTCCTCTCTTGTCTGGTGGCGTATGACAGAGCAGCGTTTGCAATTGCAGCTCCTGCATTGCTCAGAATGTCTCGCAGGATGGGATTCATGCCGGCAACATCGACGACAGAGTGCATCAGCATAATGTCTGTCTCGCCAACGATGTGCCGCGTGTCGCCGCTCGCCATGGTCGACACAATGAGCTTCGGGAATCCGACAGGAAGGACATCGCGCATGACGGCAGCTGAGAGCGCTGTTCCGTTGGAGCCGCCGGCGGAAACGATGCCATGGATCAGGCCTTTGGTGTATAGTTCTTTCACGGCCTGGGAAGCACAACCAGACATGAGCGAGACGAAGTCGCCCCTGGTCAAGCCAGATATGTCTGTGCTGGTTCCCTTGTTGTACTTGGACAGAAGCTCGGCCTGAGAGATGGCAATGGCATCGTCGACACAAGAGTCTCGTCCAACATCAATGAGAATCGTCCCGACGCCTGATGTCTCTTTGATACGGTCGCGAAGAAAGAGGAGCTCTTTCAGCTTGGTATCGCAGCTCCCAATGATTGCTACCGATGCCATTTCGAACTGATCGGGGATGAGAAGATGCTGAGATGCGGGGTTCGATATATGAGGCTGGCTTTATGTCGACATTCCCTGTACATGTATGTATAGCAACGTTCAAATGTCTCAGATATTGGACGACTGACGACTTCTCCCTTCAGGCTATGACGACTAACTAACTACAAATTAACTCTGATGAGGCTTACGTCGAGATAGAGCGTTAATACTCGTATGAAGAAGCACAGTGGCAAACTGGGGACAGATCGGGTTTGACTTTCGATGGCGGGGAGCTTCGCTCTGACATCAAGTCTGAAGTATGAGCTAGGAATCCCAGTTCGTCCCCACAGGAGATCCGGGGGGATACTAGCTTACGTCTCTCTGATGCTCTCTTTCTAGGTTCCGTCCGAATCATGTACATATTCTTATCCAACGAGCAGCAATCCTCTCATCTGAGAGACCTCCCTCAAGTGTTTCCTCCAGCTTGACTATACAGCCTAAACTTTAGATGGCGCCCCCTACGGATAGAGACCAGATCCTTGCCGGCCTTCGGGCCCGGATCGCCGCCGGCAAGGCCATAGTCGGAGCCGGCGCCGGCATTGGTCTGTCCGCCAAGTTCATCGAGGCCGGCGGCGGTGATCTCATCATCATTTACAACAGCGGTCGCTTCCGGATGGCCGGTCGGGGGTCGCTGTCCGGGCTGATGCCGTACGGAGATGCCAACGGCATAGTGGTTGAAATGGTACGACCCAACTCTCTCACGTACACATGATGGCGATGGAGTTTCTCATATGATCATTCATTTCAGGCAAATGAAGTGATTCCCGTCGTCAAGAAGACGCCCGTCATTGCTGGCGTATGCGGCACAGACCCTTTCCGCAATATCCCGGCCTTCCTCAAGCAGCTCCGCGACCTCGGCTTCGCCGGCGTCCAAAACTTCCCCACCGTCGGCCTCATTGACGGGCAGTTTAGGGCCAATCTGGAAGAGACAGGGATGGGCTACGATCTCGAGGTGGACATGATCCGTCAGGCTCGCTCGCTCAACATGCTCACGACGCCATACGTGTTCAACGTGGAGGAGAGCGAGAAGATGGCGCGCGCGGGAGCCGATGTCCTGGTTGCGCACATGGGCCTCACGACGAGTGGCTCCATCGGTGCTGCGACGGGCAAGACGCTGGACGAGTGCGTCAAGCTGATTCAGGAGATCCGCGATGCAGCTGTCAAGATCAATCCGGATGTCATTGTGCTGTGCCACGGAGGGCCGATTGCGGCACCAAAGGACGCCGAGTATGTGCTCAGCCGGACGAAGGGTGTTCACGGCTTCTACGGGGCGAGTTCGATGGAGAGATTGCCGGTGGAGACGGCGATTACAGAGATTACAAGGAGCTTTAAGAAGCTGAAGCCAAAGTTGTAAATTGTATGTCGTCTTTGGTGGGAGTATTGTGTCGGTTTCCACTCATGGCGGAGGATCATGGTTGTTCATCAACGCGGGAGGCTTTTGGATGTAGATGTGGACAGGCGTTGTATCATTCGAGCACCACTGCAGCTGCAGGCAACAAAAACTCAATTGAATCCATTATCCTGCTCCTACTGAGTAGAATTCAACTGTTGCTTTCCCATATCTACCTATATCAGCAACACAGGCGTATGCACCCGTGTCCAATCTCTTGCGCGTTGTCTGGCAGCACCCGCCTACATAGTGACCTACCCTACACTTAGCCTAAAAATCGCGACTTTCAACCACATCAAGCGACATCGCCAAATTCCAACTCATCTTCGATCCCCCAAACCTTCTCTCGACATATACAGACATTTCCGCCAACAGCCTAAGCCTTCTTCTCAGAAACCTTCTCACCAACTCATCCTCAATCTTTCATGGAAGCACTCATATAAGCGAACAGAAATCCCTCACACCTCTGCTGCTGCGTCTCGTGTCTTGGCCCGATGCCTTCTGTGCGCACCGCCAACGGGGGCGGCTCGATCGCTTCCATGGGGCCTCTGGCCAGATTCTGGAAAGTGAGTTGGGCCAAATATTATAACATCTCTCTGTTTCTGCTGTCTTCTATGCACTGCCTAGTTCATCTTGCTGACCCTTGTCCTAGACAACTCATGCGCCAGATTACGTCGGCTTCACAATCCTCCTCGCGGGATGGATCATGGTGCGCTCACTCGTCACTGTCGCCACAGCATCATGCCTAACATGTCGACCAGATCATCATCTTCGTCAACCCCTTCCACCGGATGTTCTTCATCAACGATCTGCGCATCTCCTACCCTCATGCCGAACATGAGCGCGTCACCGTCCGTACGTCATCCCAGACCCCAAACCTCATCCCCCCCCTTGTCTATCAAAGTCGGAACTCACTCATCTCTCTTCGCGCTCCTACAGCTCTCAACTTCCTCTACGCCCTCTTTATCCCCCTCGGCGTCCTCATCGCCTATAACATCCTCACCCGCGCCTCCACGCACAAGCACGAGGCCACGTACCTCTCCCTCGGCATCTCCATCGTCCTCTCCTCCTTCATAACGGACATTGTCAAAAACGCCGTCGGCCGCCCCCGCCCGGACCTCCTCGCCCGCTGCCAGCCCCATGCCGACACGAAGCCAAACGTTCTCGTCGACATCTCCGTCTGCACCGCCCCCGACGGCCACGCCCTCCAGGACGGCTGGCGCTCCTTTCCCTCCGGCCACTCGTCCTTCTCCTTCGCCGGCCTCGGCTTCCTCAGCCTCTTCCTCGCCGGCCAGCTGCACGTCTTCAACTACCCGTCCGGCGGCCGCGACCTCAGCCGCGCGCTCCTCTGCCTCGCACCCCTCCTCGGCGCCGCCCTCATCGCAATCTCCCGCTGCGAGGACTACCGCCACGACGTCTACGACGTCTGCATCGGCTCCGCCCTCGGCATGACCGTCGCGTACTGGAGCTACAGGAGACACTTCCCCAACCTCTCGGGTCCCAAGTGCCACGAGCCGCATCCGCACCCTGCCGACGAGGCGATCCAGGCCGGGTGGCAGCGTGTGAGGGATGAAGAAGAGCAAGGTAGTGAGCTTGCCATTTCTCCAGGAGTTAGACGATATTGAAATGGTGTTTTTGAGGCTAATTAGAGACTTCTCACGTCGTTTTGCGCAAATGTAGCCTATAGCGCTTACTAGGAATTGTCTGTTCTACACGTGTAAATACCTTAGCTGCTCAACTTTGCTGTCGCCATCGAACGTCGTGTCCCTTCCGAGGAAAGGAAGAAATGTGAAAGAAAAAGTATGCAGCTTCTCCTTTCTTCTTTCTGCTTGAACATGGGCAATGTGCTTAGATCACAGGTATACACGATGAAAGTCCACCTCGTCTTGGGACATGTCGTGTTGTTACAGGGGCCATTGTCCTTTTTGTTGTCATTAAGCGCCCTTTCTCAGTCTACTTGTTTAAACATTTCATTTCTCTCTGCTCGTCTATTTCTCCTCCGCATCCTCGCTCTTGGCCAAATCGTGTTCTTTCAGCAGCGCCGTGATCTCGTCTGCGCTCCACAGCCGATGGTAGATTTTGCCGTCTTCTGTCTGTCCCACCGTCGCAAATTCAACTAAAAAAAGTCAGCAACTGTCCCTGGAGAAGGAATTATAAGGGTAACTCACTCTTCTCACTGCTCAGCTTGGTAGAGTCCATCGTCTTGCTCAGCACCTTGACGGCCACGCCGCACGCCTCCTTAAGGGTGCAGTCCTCCTTGTAGTCCTGCTTCAGCAGACTCTGCGCGCTGGCATTGTTGGCTCCCGCGCTGGTGGCCTTCCACCCGCCGTAGTTGCCCGAGGGATTGCTGAGGTACAGCTGGAACTGCCTCCGGGGATCCCAGCCGGCGTAGATGAAGGAGACGCCAAACGGCCGCAGACCACCATGTTGTGTGTAGCCCTGCTTCAGATCGCACAGCTTGCGCACCAGCTGCTCGCAGGGGATGTCTTCGTTGTAGGTGAGGAGGTATCGCTGGGCGGCCTGGCGGGCGTAGTTGATGAGGATGTTTGCGTCGGCCGTCATGCCTGCTACTGCGCAGATCATGTTGCTGCCAAGGGTGTCAGCACGTTTCCACGGGTGATGCACAGGGAATCTCGAGACAAACGCACTCGTTGAGCACGTAGAGCTTCTCTGCCGACGTGTCTTGCTCCAGCAGCTTCGACGTCACCTTTCGCTCGGCGGCCAGGACAATGCCATCCTTGGCCAGGATGCCGATGGCTGTGCCGGCGTGGGAGATGGCTTCTAGTGCATATTCGACCTGGTAGAGACGGCCCTCGGGCGAGAAGATGGTCGTCTGTCGCACAGGTTAGTCCTCATTTCCGCATATTGGCTGCCGTCACTATATGTCGAAGCTCAGCCCAGCTCCTCGCAGTTGGAAACGTACTCGGGAATCGTAACGGCGGGACATGGTGGAGGGGCAATCTCTGTCTCTGTACTCGACTGCGGCAGGGCGTGGATGGAACCGAGTTCGGCGGGAGATTGAAAAGATTCGCAAGAGGGCGTGAGAGGTAGCAGCAGGCCGTTTGCTAGGTCGAGGCTGAAGATTCCAAGGTTGAATCGCCAGTGAGTTTGTATGGAGGGGAACAACAAGAGCAAGGCCGGCGTCACTTCTGGAGCTCCAGGCACGACCCGCCGCGTACCTGCCATGAGCTTGAAGTTGGGCAGCTTACCCTGGAGCTGCAGTTTGCTGAGTCAGCAGCCTCTTCGGGAAGTTGCTACCTGAGGCAACAAGCAAGGCTGAGGGAAGCTGAGACGAGCTCGCAAGTTTAGCCGAGGCTGTTCCGAGCAGCTGCAGTACTAACACGATTGGAATTACGGTATTTGCCCCCCTCATGACTAAGCGCCATTATCCCATCGTTGTTCCAACTTGGGCATTCACCTCGTCGCTGCTTCTATCGACGTCGACGGCCGTCTCTCAACTGCCCTTTCTTCCTCCTTCATCCATCTCTTTCAAACTCTTCCCTTTCCATATTCCATCTCATCCGTGGTACACGAGCGGATGTGCTCCCGTGATCGCGTCTGTTCTTGTGTTGTATCATCCTAGCGACACTCATCAGCATCTCTCACCGTCATCGGCACTCATACGATATTACCCACTGGAGCTGACCCCGGATATCGCACATTCTTGACGTCTCTCGCAGCAGCTGTCAGATACTGCGCTATAGAGTATCTGGAGGCTCGACACCACTGAAATACTCTATATCAGATCCTCCCAATCTTACAAATACAGGAGACTACACACCCGAGCGAGTCCCGACACCCGCATCAACTCGACGTCTCTCCATCCATCCAACAGCTGCTGTCAACGCAATAGTCCAGTCCAGTCCAGTCCAGCCCAACAAACGGCACGCAGGCAGTGGCCAAAAAGACGCGCCACCCGCCTCTGCTTCCATCTGTATCCACTCCAAGGGGGCTCCCGCAACCCCACGCAAGCTGCCGTCATCACCACCAACCCAAGCTTCGATTTTTTTTTTTTCGCTTCATCACAAGCTACCTAATCCGGCACACGCGCTGCCTCTGTAGCAGCGCAAAAGACAGCTTCACACAGCAGCTCGAGCTCCCATAGCCGGGGAGATCTGGTCGCTAGAAATTAGGCCTTGCGCTGGAATTAGGCCCATCATTTCTTCTTTTCTTCTACTTCTTGCCGCGGGGAGGAATTGCTCTTCATTAGCTGTCTGTGACTACCTACTAGTTGTCGTCTCTGTCTGCTTTGTAAATCTCCCAATGCCCGCCTGAAGCGAAGCGCAAAAGTTGTTCATCCATCTCGCGCTCGCTTCTGTAGTAGAATTTGCATCTCATTAGTTGGATTCGCACAATCCGCGCAAAATCACCCGTGGCGACGCCGTTGCGCGTGCCCCATTGCCATGTCTGGTAAGCTAGAAACGAAGGCATCACGGCCGACAATTCCCTCCTCCTCCCTCTCGATCGCAGCAGGTGGCGCAGACATGCGACTTACTGGAGGCGATTGCGCTGGACATGCGCCGCTGCTCAAGAGACAGATGGCTAACAGAAGCTGCCGCATAGGAGAAGCCGAACCTCGCCGCTCCGTCAGAGCCACCAAGGGCCAGCATACCAAGGCCTTTGACGAGCTGGAGGCCCCCGTGCCGAAACGTCGACAGACCAAGAAGAACAAAAAGGCGCAGGCGCAGGAGAAGGAACAGTCGCAGGAGCCCGACGAGGTGATCCGCTGCGTGTGCGGCGCCACCGAGCAGGACGAAGACTCCAACGAAGCCTGGATCGCGTGCGAGACGTGCCTGGTGTGGCAGCACAATGTCTGCGTTGGCGTGAGCTCGTACGAAGACGAGATTCCCGAGCACTACTGGTGTGAGCAGTGCAAGCCCGAGAACCACCGGGAGCTGCTGGACGCCATTGCCCGCGGCGAGAAGCTGTGGGAGGAGCGGCGAAAGGCGCACGAGGAGGAGGCCGAGCGGAAGAAGAAGCGCGGCGGCCGCAAGAAGGGCAAGCGAGGCAGCGATATCCGGGAGGAAGCCGACAGGGACGCGGCTCAGGCCAAGGCGTCGCCGACCCCGGATGCGGTCGCAAGAGAGAAGAAGGACGTGACGGGCGTGGCCAAGCAGGGCAAGCGAAAGGCGAGAGAGGACTCGCAGGATGGAGACGGAAAGGTACGTGTTATACTTCCTCTAACCGAAGGCACATGTCGCCATTGCAACCTGATAGGTACTAACCAAATGTTTGTGTATGATAGACCACCAAGATGCGACGTGTATCAGAGGACGAGGCCGTGGCTTCGGCTTCGGCTTCTGCTTCCGCCTCCGCCTCTGCCGCCGCGTCTCCCCAGGTCAAGTACACGCCTCCACCAGACTTGACGCCGTCCATCCAGGAGCTCCCCGGCACGCGAGTCGGCCCTGCAAAGGCGCTGAAGAAGTCGCTGGCCCATGTCATTACATCCCTATCCAAGAGCGGCCACATCCAACTACCAGCGGATGAAAGCGCAGAATCCCTCGCCGAAAAGTATGCGCTTCAGATCGAGCGCGCCGTCTTCGACACGCACCCGCTTTCCAAAGGCCAGAAGGAGTACAGCCAGCAGATAAAGTCGCTGACGTTCAACCTCAAGAACAACCCCGAGCTGTTCCAGGGCCTTTGGGCGCACGAGCACTCGCCCATGACGCTCGCCGTCATGACGTCGGAGCAGCTCGCCTCGTCTGAGCTGCAGAGGCAGACTGCAGAGATGAAGGCCAGGGCCGAGAAGCAGTCCATCCTGTACACATCCGACACAGGGCCTCGGGTGAGACGCACGCACAAGGGCGAAGAAATCGTCGAAGACGACAGCCTCATCAGCAGCGATGCACCCATGCCATCTGCCGGGGGCCCCCGTGCGGGAGGTGAGGAGAAACAGGGCCAGGCGGAGCGAGAACGACAGCAGCAACAGCAGCAGCAGTACCAGCAGGGGCAACAAACGCATCAACACGTTAAGCGCGAGTCGATCGGAGGAGGAGAGCTGGGAGGAGAGCACTCGCCCACCCAGTCGAATTTCGACATTGGCAAGGTCTTCTCCGCCGTAAAGTCCCCTACGGCTGCTCACCGTCGCCGGCCTTCCGCGCCGGTCTTGACCACAAATGGCCCTGGCTTCGACCCCGACGTCGACAGGATGCTGCAGGACGAGAACGAGTCGCCCCCTTACTCACCCACAGAGGAAACCTCGGATCCCGATGTCGTCTGGCGCGGCTCCCTGGCGATGAGCTCCATTGCCGACTTCGAGGCTACGGCCAAGCACATCGGAGGCGCCAACTTTGCCTCGTTTGGCCCCTGGTCGAAGCTGATCCCGCGTCAGATGACAGTGGCCGGCCGCATCCCTCAGCAGGCCGCCATCGAGTACTTGTGCAGTCTGCGATACAGCAACCTGACCGATATCATCGTTGTCAACATCACGCCCACATCGCCAGACGCTAAGCAGGAGTTCAACAACCTCATCAACTACTTCGTCAGCAAGAACCGATATGGCGTCGTCGGCAATAAGGTCGCCGGCAACGTCCGGGACACGTACCTGGTGCCTGTTCCTGCAGGTGAAGACGGCCACCCCGAGTTTATGCTGAACCTAGTGGACAACTACATTCCCAAGTCGAGGCCTGAGCCTCTGCTGCTGGCCGTCTTTGTCTACCGCAACGAGCCAGACCAGCTGAAGCAGCTTCTTAACAACGAGGCGGCTATTGCTGCTGCTGCGTCGTCTGCGACGTCGACGAGTCAGAGTCACGCGAATTCCCAAGCTCCGCCACCTCCTGCTCCTACGCCAGCCGGATACAGCCAGCGAAGCAACTCGATTTCAGGCCCGGCCTTTTCACCCGCCACGCCTCAGATAGCCTCCTCCCCGTTCCCCAATGCGCCTCCCCCCAACGGCCACGGACAGTCTGCTACGCCGGTTCCCGTCCCTCAGGTGCCGCATCACAACCGCCCTGCCCCTCCCCATAATGCGCAGGTACCGTCATCAGCGTCATCCCAGACAACGCCCCCTATGCAGCAGCAACAGCAGGCACCGGACGACCAGAGAAAGCAAGCCCAGCAGGATGCAGGGGTGATCACCGCGAGAGAAGTGCTGGGGCCCCTTATCAGCGTGCCTACTGTGCAGTTCATTCTCCCGCAGGCGTATCAAATGACGAGACGGGAGTGGGAGGTCATCAAGGTCATTATCGAAAGAGATCCGCGCGCTAGAGACGACTTGAAATATTTGGCCGATCTACTGGAAAAGGAAGGGACTGCTGGAGGAAACGCGGGAGGCAATGGAAATGGCAATGGGAATGAGAATAGTCAAGGTGCGGCAGCAGCAACAGCAACGCCATTACCACAGGTTGTAGCAGGAGTTGCTGCAGGAGGGGGAGGACCGCCTCCGCCTGTGAAGAAGCCTTAGGTATGACCTTTATGGGGGAAGGAAAAGAAAAGCAAAAGCAAAGAAATGAATTGTACGAGCTTGTACGAGTGTTTTTTGCCGTCTTGGTTTTGGGTTGTGTTCTTTATTTTAGATATCCTTAGGGAATATTTCCATGTAATGGATGATACCTCATTTTGTTTCCACCGACTCTTGCCCACGTATCGACTTCACTGCTTGATATAGTTGCTCATTCAGTGCTTTGTTTTGAATTATTAGGGGAATAGGTCTTAATCGCTCTATTCCCTCTTTCTGCATGTAGAGTGTACTGTTGCTCTCTTTCTGCACTGTTTTATGTGCTTGTGTGTTTGTGTACTATACAGACAGACCGAATCCCAACACCTCTCATGGAGGGAATGTTGTAAAACAAAAAAGACGGCCAACCCTTGTCCAATCAACCAGCAAGACGTCATTATCCATGAATCATCAACTGCATATGCAACGACTGGCCTGGCATCTCCACCATCATCCATGTAGTAGGGAGCCTCAAATATATGCCCCAAATCCCCTCCTTCGAACTGCGTTGCCCTTCCCCCTTGCTCCCCCATTGCCTGTTCTCTCGTCTCGTTGCCCTTTGCTTGAGCGCCGGCAGATGGTTCGGCATGTGCACGTGTACTTGCACGCAAAGTCGCATCCAGCCGGGCACCGGTAGCCGCAGCGATACGTGCAAGTGCCCACCGCGCTCGGCCACACAATGACGCGCGTCACGCGGACCGTCTCCAACATGAAGCTCGTCGTCCTCCACTAGTTGAGCAACGCATCGGCCATGCACCAGGCGGCCGCTGCCCGCTCGCGCCTCTCGCCGCGGTGCATGTCCGCCGCCGTCATGTCGGTCAGCGGCGACGCGTCCAGGATGCGGTCCGCGCCATCCAGCTGCTGCTCCTGGAACAGCGACAGGTCCAGGCTGCCCAGGCCCTCGAGCACCTTGCGCGCCTTGTCGACCTGCGTGCGGATGGCAGCCGTCTCGGTGCGCGTGCGGTCCAGGTGGTCCTGCATCATCTCGATGGCGGACTCGCGCGCCTGGTGCGGCCGGTACTCGTTGAGGATGTGGTGGATGTTGATGAAGATGGTGCGGATGTCGAGGATCTTGGCCTCGGCGTCGGCCGGGTTGCGCGCCAGGACGCCGTTGAGCTCGAGGAAGTTGAGCAGCAGCGACTTGACGAGGCGCTTGAGCTCAAAGGCGCGGTCGTAGTGCTTGGCGTCCTTTGCGCTGGACGAGGCGGTTGCGGGTAGGTTCTGGATGCCCTGTTCCTCGAGGGTCGGGAGCTTGTCGTCGAGCTGTAGGTGATTGCGGTTAGACACAATCCTGAGCCAAATCAACAGAAGCTTTGGAGTTGTTCAAACACACCATGTACTGATCGCCAAAGACTCGCCATCGTCCGTCTGCGGGTTCTGGCGGCGGCTGCAGATGCCTCAGATGCTCTGGCAAATCCGGGATTCGCCCAATGTTTCCGTCATCTTGATCTGGCGACGCCCGCGATAGCCGCAGCTCATTAAGCTCTGCAATCCTATCTGGCGTAAATTCTCTCCAAAACTCTGGCGGGTTTGGAAACGTCGACGCCAGCGAGTGCGGCTCTGGCTGGTCATCCATCTCTGCCTTTCTGCTTTCTCTCTTCGGTCTCTCTCAGCTGTTTTCCAATGCACGTAACCCCTCCCCGCGCTTTGAGTAAGAGTCGATGGATATCACCGCATTGGGGACTGAGAGAGGAAGAAGAAGAAGCTCTTCGGACAATAGAAGCTACCGCACTGGAGCAAGCAGCATGTAGAGCGACGGGAATATCGAGGAGAGAGATGCCGAAATGTTATGGCAGATGATAGCACATGCAGATGGCTGATAGCTTATCGCCTTTTGAGATTCGGTAGTGACATTAGTGGCTGCAGCGTCGGAGAAACACCGGCTCCGGGGAAGCTTCAACGCTCAGTGACGTTCCGGCCTGGAGCTTCAACAAGGAACAAGGAAGAAAAATTACCTGACCGTGGAGAGAAGGCATGGAGCTTGTATGATCTTACATGAGAGGCTCTATCCATTGATCCGCAATTACCGCTGTTACCATACTATTATTCACCCCTGAGCAATTGGTTGATGTAACAGGTTCTCTCATCGTCAACCAGTGCCATCATATCCAGCATCAGACATACCATCTCCCATCTCTGAATCCTTGTCAAGCTCAGCTCAGCTCAGCTCCTCCAGCTCTACTCTCCCCTTCATCTACCCCTTCATCTCCACCATGGCAGACGTCCGGGCTCTCCTCCGGCAGCAGCGAGCAGCTCGTCGCATCACCCATCCATACGCCACATATTCAGACACCGGCAAGCTGCTCTGCACCCTCTGCCGCGACCAGATCCGCGCCGAATCCCACTGGGACGCCCATCTCACCAGCGACAAGCACAAGAAGCGCCTGTCTGCCATTTCAGAGGCCAACAATGCCAATGCCAACGCCAATGCCAATGGAGATTACAGAGGAAGCGACGAAGAGGTCAACGACCAGGAGCAGAGCGAGGGGTTGGACGACGATGGTGAAGGCCGAGATCAGAGAGCAGATACCCCCTCGGCCACCCACAAACGGAAACTCGACCTTGTAGCCGCCACGGCCGCAGACGAGCATGACACAGATAAAGACATGGACGACGACGAAGACGAGGTCCGGAGGAAACGAAGCAGACACGCATCACCCGACAACGGCCGCAGGAAGCCACCACAAGGGCCCTCGCAGGGCGTCCAGGTCCAGATGCCCTCACGGTCGACAACGCCCGCCGACTCCCAACACTCTGGCAGTTCGGCAGCAAAGACGACGACGAAGCTGGCAACTTCTCTTCCCTCCCGCCAGGCTAGCAGTCTGGCAACTCCGGCATCCTCCTCCTCCATGAGCATACAACAAGAAGCACCACCACCACAACAACAACCGCAACCACAACCGGAACCGCAGCCCTCAGCATCTACATCTCAAACCCAACAACAAATCGACGAAGACGAATGGGCCGCCTTCGAAGCCGACATCGCCGCCGAAACCGCCCCTTACGACGCCGACGCCGTCATCTCCCGTCCCGCCATGACCGCCGAGGAAGCTGCCGCCGCCGCCGCCGCCGAGCAAGAGGCAGCAGGCCTGCAGAACCCTGAATCTCGCAAGGCAAAGGCAGATGCGGACATTGAGGACGAGCGGGAGGAGGCCACGCGTGCGCTGGAGGAGGAGTTTGAGGAGATGCAGGAGCTCGAGGCGCGGGTGCAGCGGTTGAAGGAGAAGAGGGAGGCGTTGAAGCGGAAGAGGGGGGAGACGATCGGTCAGGATCAGGCGGATGGTGATGATGTTGCTCCTCTGCAGGCGACGAAGAAGAGGCCGTCTTCTGACGCCCAGGGAGAAGGAAAAGAGAACGCCATCACGGCGGTTGATGTTAATGAAGCCGAAGCCGAAAACAATGACGAAGAAGATGATGAAGACGATGATGAGGAAGACGACTGGGACGGCTTCCGGTTCCGCACCGGGCGGTAGAGGAAGCCAATGGCAAGAAGGGAGGCCACGGCGACATGGATGCATTAACTGATGTTCATTTCTCCTCGCCGTTTTCTGCTTACTACCTCATGATTTATGTGTTGCATATGGAAAATCAAAGGATGGATCTGGCGTACACTGAATAGATGGGAGCCTCTGCTTTCATAGGCCGACACGATCGTTATCGGAGATATATTGTGCAAATAATGCATTGGTAATGGAAAACATGTCCAAGGTGTACGAACGATCAAATACAAATAGCCTGCTTATGTTCTGCTACATCACCTCTTCAATGACGGTTTCAATGAGTTGTATTGAGATGAGCTCGTTTGATCCAGAGCAGAGGAGACTGAAATCACCGGGTATATACGAACAAAGATGCCAGGAACCGCTCTAAAGAAAAGAAAAAAACAAGTCCAGAAACGCCCCGTCCAATCTGCGTAATCATCATGACATCAAAGGAAGAATCACCATGCTCTGCCTCCGTGAACTGGCATCTCACCACGGCTCATCCTCTCCCAGAAACGTCGCAGCTTCCAGACACGGCCGACGCCGCGAATCTCGTCCGACCTGCGCGCGTCTTCTGCCCGCTCATGGACCCGGTTCTTCCACGATGCGGAAATCCACCGCCTCAAGCCGTCCTTGATGCGCTCCTTCTCAACCGTCTTCCGCTTAGCCACCAAGCCTGGCGCAACGTGTACAGGGACCATGCCGGGAACACATTCCTGGGGCAGCACGCAGCGCTGGACGAGGTCGCTGGCGGAAAGCCGCGAGGCAAGACGGCGGGAGAGGCGGATAGAGATGAGGGACTGTGCCAGCCGGCGCGAGATGATGGTGTTTTGGGTCAAGAAGATAGATCGGGACATCAGATCGTTGCGCGAGGGCCGACACGGAGAGCTGAGATAGGAAGCCAGAAGGAATCGAGCATTGCGGAGGCGGTAGTGATGGATCACTGGGTCAATGGAGATGTTGCGAAGGCGACGGCACGTCTATACAGGCGGCTAGTCAGCAAAAGGAAGCATCCCCAACAAAGTGCCGGATGACGGCAACGACAGGGGGACGACATGTTGGGACCGGCGTGCGCTCCTATCTCTCTTCTTTGCCTTTTCCATCTTCCTCCCTCCCTCCCTGACTTTGTCTGATAAAAGCATCCATGTAGCCAAGGCTCCAGGGTCACTCAGTCAGTACGACACGGCATGGCAAAAGCACTTACACGAGAGATACGCAACAAGTCATCCACGTCGAGAAAGCTTGCAACGAGAGCCAAGACCTCGCTTGGCAGAGTATCCAGACGAGGCGGTGACGAGACGCTACTGAAGCCAGAGAGAGCGGATGAAAGCTCGGATAGTGACGAGAACACGTCTTGAGATCCACCGGCAGATGTGGCGGCTTGACAGCGATCGGGAGTGCTCGTAGTGTCTGTGGGAGATGCTGGTACGACAGTGGCGCTTGCAGAGCTGGCACCACCCACGCCGGCGTCGCCAGGGGTCGATGGTCCCGAGATGAGTTGGGCCTGGGCCGCTTGATGGGTCTCCGGGGCGGTTGAGCTGGCCATGGCTGCGGCTATCTGGAGGTCTGGATGTTGGATAGCGGCGAAGAGCTGCAGCGATGGCAAAAAAGACACGCCTCTTGTGTTGCCTTTGCCGTGTCCGAATCGGTTGCGTGGCGTCTGGCTAGGGTCAACAAGAGCCAGGAATGGAGAAAGTATGTAATAACAGAGGCTATCCAGACGTAGGTATGGAGGATGCGTGTATGTATGCAAGTACTGCATGCAGTAGTAACTGTGTATGCGTGTATATGTCAATGAGCAAATGTAGGTAGGCTTCTCAAGCGAAGATCAGGGAGCCGGTCAACGGCGATAGGCCAGCCAAGAATCACATCAACATGGGCGAATCACTCGGCAAATGGTTTCAAGGGAGCTGTTCCGCCTCTTCGCCTCTTCGCTGGCGTGTCTGCTGCCCGATTGCCCGGTCTGTCCGCTTCGATTGGTTCATTCATCGATACCCACGGGGCGTCGTCTCGGTATTGGCCTGTCCTTTTCTCACCACTTGATGCAGTGCAAAGTGACAAGAACACGGTTGCAGATGACAAGAGTTCGACCAGAACAGCATGTGCAAGTGGCACGTCGCAGCTGGGGTCAGTGGAGGGGAAAGACGTTGAAAACTTTCGGGCAAGGGAGGGAATTCACACGTTTCAATGTTTCACCAAAGGTCTTGCTGTCCCTTGTTGTCTCTGCTGTTCTTCTGTTCTTCTCTCTCCTCGAGTAGGGATTCCTCGCTAGGCGTATGAAGTAGTATCTAGCAGGAGTCGTAGTAGTAGGTGGTAGTATCTCGAATGCTACAAGACACAGACGAGACAGGATGGAGGGGACAGTAGCGAAAGTGGAGAGAGTCAAAGGTAGTGGCAATCGCAGTGGTATCCTATCTGGACCACGATCCCTGTGAGGCATGAGACGAGGCCATATACTCTGGCATGGCTCCAGTTGATGAAGTGGCTTTGGTCCTTCGCAGAGACGTGTGTACCGAGTACGAGTAGCGCTCACAGATGTTGAGACGAGGCTGCCTGTGTGTCCAAGTCGAGCCGCGGTATGTTGTACCTACACAGTACAGTAAAACCGATGCTGGGCCGAGTAGCGATACGAGCCAGGGCAGCGGCCTGCAGGGGTTTCTGAACCAGAGAGCGCTCGTGATGGAACGGAAACGACGAAGTCAGCGCAGATGAGGTCGAGCCACAGATGCTGATGCTGGCATCGCTTCTTGTTCCTTCTTTAGTTGCTGCTGCTGCTGCTTGTGCTTCTGTTGCTGCTGCTGCTGCCGCCGTCGGTTCTGCTGGTAAGCAGCCAGTGGACAGCGGCGCTGTGTTGCTGCAGTGTCTCTCTAGACGCTGCAGAGATGCTGCAGAGACAACAGCGTTGTCTGTCTGCTGCTTCGCTTTGCCTGTTGTCTGTCAGATACTGCGTCTGCGTCTGAGCCTGCGTCTGCTTCTGCGCGTCTGCGTTTGCTCGTGCCCATCTATGCTTGTGCGTGTGCGCGTGTCTTTCTGCGAGATGACGAAAGTTACGACAGGCGTCGGACCCGAAATTGAGGCCCAAAGCCGGGGGGGGGGGAGAAGAATCGCTGCGGAGGAATGCGGGAGAGGCGGGTGAAGAGAGCTGGACAGGAGAAGCAGGAGGAGGTGGTGATGGCGATGAGGAGAGGGATGAAGGGCAGAAGAGAAGATCGTGGTCAAGGAAGGCAGGCAGTTGATGGCAGTACCTCAGGCACGAGTTTATTGAGGCCAAAGACTCGAGAGTCGCAGCAGGAACGAACGGGCGACAGGAGTCGTACAGCCGAGGCTGGTGCCTCTCGGGATTGCGCAAGTCACTTTTCAAGTATTTTTCTTAGTACAGGTACACGCATCTTCAGCGCCTGGCAGCTTCAAGTCAACAGTCACTCACAGAATCCTAGCCCGAGGCTTCGCATTTCACCTCTCAGCCGCAATATCGGATCGTCAACCGATGGCAGAATGTAGTCTATCGGTTGTCCTGTGTGTAACTGTTTCTGCCATCCTGCAGCTGACTGATGAGTTGGAGTTGGGAGTGCGGAGGCGATTGCGTCAATACAGTGCATATACATCGTGCGCAGTGTACATGGCACAGTACAGGTACCTGAGATCGAGGCGGCCTCGACGTATCCGCTACTTGACATGTTACGCGCCTGCGATGGCCGGGGGTCCCCAGCATCGATCAGTGGGGTTCGCGATAAGTGCGGCTGCGCTCCGTTTAGGGCCGTCTGTGCCACCTGTTTTAGCGCATCGTCTGGCGGTTCGCTGGACGGAGGTACTGAAGGAACGTACCGGTACTCGAAGGCATCACTCCTGGTGAAGTACTTTAGCCAGAGGTGGCCTCAGAGTCTCTACCTATTTCGCAGCACGACGTTGCTCCATCGAAACATGTGAGCAGCTCCTCTGTCGAGACGACTGAGCTGACTGACTGTTGTAGATGTGAAAGGGGTAGTATAAGAAGAAAATGACACAGCAGTTGTAGCAGTAGAAGCAGAGCTGAAAAGGCGTCGTCCTCGCATTTGGCCATCAAACGGCCACTTACACCGATTTCGTCCCGCCTTCATGTAGTTTCGAATCGGACGCCACATAAGGTATGCATTCAGAAATAGAGACAATAGTCGACATATCCTCGTGACAGCGAATACCAGATGACAGCCTCTCGCAAATCGTAGAGACAAGTAGATACAAGCTCCGGCTGTGACGAACAGGGTACGGTACAGCAAGATCCCTGCAAACCGCCGCCGTCACATTTGGCGCCGTCATCGCTGAGCACTACCTTAGGCTGTTGGATGGAGCCCGTGTAAGTCAACATCCCAGCGGTAAACAAGTCGTTTGTTGCTGTAAAAGAACCTGCCGGTTGCCGAAGTCGTCAATCGTTGCTGTGCCCACCAAGCATAGAACTCCTGTATCAAATGTCAGTACATACCCTTTCATACCGCTTAACCAATTGCAAAAAAGCAAAGGGGATTAGAGAGCTGAACAACAGCAACTCTCGACTCACGACACTTTCTTTCATCTCCGTTCGCCGTCCGTCTCCATCGTCCGCGTCTCCGCGCCGCCCCGGTTTCCCTTCAGCCCCCTCCCATGACGTGGTGACGCAGCCAACAGCCGAGGACCGAAGAGACACCACACGTCTGCCAAAGACGGCGCCGTTTCCAGCCTCATACCTACTTGTACAAGCAGTAGCTCGGCCTCCTATGCAGCCATCCCCAGCCCTCGTCACAAGTCCGCACCCTCTCCGGCCACCACATCAAGCAGCCTCTGGCCCTCGTGCCGTGACATGCCATGTGAGCCTCCATTTTGTTGCAGCCCTCTGTCCGCCTTCGTGTTTAGCGCCTCGACTGACGGAGTAGCATCACATCACACACATGCCACTTATGTATGCGCCTGCAATGCCATGCCGCGCACACGTGCCGCCTCCCTGTCTGCATTTACCTTCCCCCCTGGTTGCCTCATCGGTTCGCCTGAAT